CAACCATCCAAGAGGGTCCAAGATCAGTCATGTCTTGACTCATAACCCACCTTGACTCGACTCCACTCGCTGCAGCACCACCGTCTCGACTCCCTCTGCCACCGGCCCTTCCGCCTCCACCCACGTGCCGTCATCCGCCTTATAGAGCACCACCGTTTCGCCATAAGCCGTTTCATCCCCCTTATAGAGCACAACCGTTTCGCCATCAGTTTCCCCAACAGACGATTCTTCCTTGGCTTCCTTCCCTGAAGCAATCTCAATGAAGCCACTTTGTTTCGTTTTAACGTTTTCCTTTACCGTTTCGATCCCCTCCTCAACCTCCTCCCCATACCCTACCACCTCGCCTTTCGGAGACCCCTCCTCCTCCTTCCGTTCCTTCTTATCCCGCTTCTCCTTTTTTCCCTTCTTCTCCTTCTTCTCTTTCTCCTTTTTCTCTTTCTTTTCCTTCTTCTCCTTTCTCTCTTTCTTCCCCTTACTCCCTCCACCTGATTCGCCACATGTCAGATCCACCACATCCTCGTTATTGCCACCCTCGCTAATGTCACTCCCGACTCCTGAAACTGCCAGCATTCGCAGAGCCTGCTGACGTGGCAGCGACGGGCCAAAACCCCTTGTGTGATAGAAACGAGAGACTTTCTCAAGGGCCAACCACTCGAAACCTGCTGGACGCGTGACTGTAACGGCTGGGGACAGAAAATTCACTCGGAAAGATGCGACTGCCGAAGGTGACAATAGCGAAGGTGAAAACGCCATTGTAGCAGCTGTTCCGCTTACAGCAGCTGGAATATTCAGAGGGGTAAATCTAAAAATGTCCGCGGTTTTCCAGAAATTACTAGCCTCGGGATTGCCTGTAACCGCGGGTTTGAATGGAGCCGCAACAGCAAAGCAGGCCAGCTTCTGAGGCGCCTCGAAAGTGGCCACGGAAGAAAAAAAGGTCAGCACGTTGGCTTGGATTCGTTTCGGGAGAGAGAAACCGCTGGAGAGAGCAGAGCGGTTCCAAAGGCGTTCGAAAGCGCGCGAGGACGCAGCGGGAAACGCGGCGGATAACGCGGCAATGGAAGTCATGCACTGCGCGTTGGCGCGTCGCCGTGTGTGACGCGGCAGGAAAGCTGACTGAAAACCGTAAGGGCAGATTCATGGGCTGATTCATGGGCTGGTCCGATTGCCGAGTGCTAGCCATAGGGAAGATATGTGAACGGATGATTCAGACATCCCCAGCGTCTCAGAAATAGGGTTGATGTTCACTACAGTAATTGACGTGTAACATGCCTCCAAGATATCCGAGGAAATCTGTAACGCGTACAGTTTTACGAAACGAGGTGCAGCGAAATCCAGACATAACCGTCGCTCGAAAAAAAACATTGGCGACCGCTTTTGAACTCGGGATACAATGTGCGTTTTGGTAACAAAGTAACCATAAATGTGGATAACCAGGACGTGTTGAGCGAGAATTGCAGACGAGACGAAGTTTGTCGTCGTAACCCCTGATGGTACTATATCGGAGGTGAATGTTACCCGGATAAGGGCGTGTCTCTTTTGTTTTCTATGATTTTCCGGACTGTCCAGTTGTATCGAAACGGACGGTCCCAAAAGCGTTTTTTTGCTTCTGGCCGTTCGCATTTCGAACTGACAGATGTTCACGACTCGAACCGTTGCTTGGAGGGAAAAGTGACGCGACGGTTCGAGCTGCTCGCAATGTCGCATAGATTTTCGCGAAATCATGGCGAATTCTCACGAAAATGGTAATATTTCGTTAAACGAACGGTCCATGGTTCGAACCGTCGGGAGAAAAAGCAAGACACGCTATAAACCGCTGATGTTCGCACACCATATTGAGGGACTCACGCAACTCTCGAGCAAAGAAACGTCAGGTACAAGACATGGTAAATTAGTTATGTCCGATTCCTCCTGCGGCTTTTTACAAGACCAGACATTGGCGATGACGTGTACCAACTGTCGCGCAAGCTGGCCTTGCTCATTGCCGAAGTTAGCTTGACACTCGTACGCACAATCCGCTACGCATGAATAGCTACGTTCCGTGCGAACCGTAACCCTATTCAGCCAATGTTACAAGACTAAAGCGTGAGCTACTATAACGCGTACGACGCTCGGGGTCAGCTCCGCATGGCTCATTCCCTCCTACCGCTTGCCGTGGCGGCGACAGGCGCGCTGCTGGTCTCCGCCTCCACCGTCACCGTCATGCTTCCTCTTCTCCCCGCCACGTGGACCAATCGCCTGCTACCAAGCGTTGCCCTTGAAGACTTGTGAGTTGCCAGCTCAGCTTACCATGCCTTGCTGCTCTATTCCAAATCCCCCATCCCTCACCCCCCATTCCCCCTCTTTCCCATAACCCCTTTCCCATCCCCTTCCCCCCCCTCTCTCTTGCACTCCCCCCCTCTCTCTTGCACTCCCCCCCTCTCTCTTGCACTCCCCCCCTCTCTCTTGCACTCCCCCCCTCTCTCTTGCACTCCCCCCCTCTCTCTTGCACTCCCCCCCTCTCTCTTGCACTCCCCCCTCTCTCTTGCACTCCCCCCCTCTCTCTTGCACTCCCCCCCTCTCCCGCTTGCCTCTCCAGCCTTTACTACTGCAGCCTGGTGCCCATGACAGCTGTCGTCCTTGTATTGGCTGTGTACGGCCACTGGCTGTGCATCAAGCTGTACAGGCACGCGTGATTTTAAGGGGGGGATGCATCAAGGGACATCCTTGTATTGGCCTCTTTAGTCGCTGGCTCTGCATTAATCTGTACAGGCAGGCGCCGTCTTAAGGTGGGGTGCATTAAGAAACATCATTATATTGGCCTCTATAGTCACTGGCTCTGCATTAAGCTGTTACATGCACGCGTGATATTAAGAGCGGGCGAGGGAGGGGGAGACCGAGGGAGGTTGAGGGTAGGAAGTAAGTGCTTAAAGGGGCTCTCTTGCTTAGGCAGTATTTTCTTCTCCTAGCTGTGCATCAAGCTGTACTGGCACACACGACTGGGGCAGTGCAGCAACAGCCATGCCTGCTCTTTCAATTTAATGATGTGATTGTAAGGAGCTGGGCTGGGGGATTGTTCACCCTCTCACTCTACTGCAGAAAAACAGATTGTGCTCCAATCAGCTGTACAATACAGTACCATCTGATAAATGTTTATGATTGACAGAGCAGAACGTATTAATGAGTAGCTGCTGTAGGAAGCTGGCTCGTCTTCCATTAGTATTTGTTCCATGGTTACATTCTCGTTGGTGTAGATGCAACAATGTGCTGCTGCTATCCAATGGCCAAAGAGATAATGACTGGTCAAGAAGCAACTGGCTCATCGTCCATGGTGATTTGCTCCATTGATACATTCTCGTTGGTGTAGATGCAACAGTCTGCTGCGATGCGCATCGCCTTTTTCACTGTAGACAAGACGAAGAAACGGGCAAAAGAGGAATCATGTTTACGAGTAAGCGAGGAAGAAGATACCAAGAAAGTGGGGTTGGAGCATGGCCATGCCTCAAGGCATGCCCGATCCATGATACAAGTACAATTGTTTTATCGACATATATGACGTGCCATGACATACATTACATGCCACTGCATGGGACGACAAGCCATGCCATCCCCGTACCATCCCCCCATGCCATGCACCTAAGAGCGTGTTCCTATGGCCTCATATCAGGAAACCTCGTATCAGGAATGGGAAAACTCGAGAAATTCGTTATAAAATCCAACTTTAGGACTTGTATTGCGCGAGAAAAAATAGCGCGCAAAACCTTTTGGACAATCCACATCAGCTGACCACGTCCAGGGATTCGAGTGGCTGACACACTATACCACGCGAAATGCAGCTCTGTGTTGTCGGGCATGAAAGTGATCCGTGTGACTGAGACACTGTACACGCGAAACGCAGCAAACCACGCAAAATCTTCGTCGCGGGATTTGTCAGCCACGTCAGGCAATCTCGCTTGACTCGAAGTGAAGATTCTTGTTTTGTCGGGTTCAGGGATGCGAAAACCACCCTTCGTTTTTTGTCGCGCATCAAACCAGGAAATAGACAATAAACACTCAAATGAAGCCGAGATTTGAGTGTTTTGGGCATTCCTGAGACGAGGTTGGCCTGATATGAGGCCGTAGGAACACGCTCTAAGGCTTCAGCACTCGGGTCAGGGATGTCTGCCAATGCTCTTGCTGGCTGGCACTAATGCATCGGACCCTCCACTCCACCCCGCCTACCCACAGGCCATGCCATGCGATGCCATACCATGACATGCCCTCTCACACATGCAAGCGCTCCCTGCCATGCCATCCCGAATCCACGCACCTATGGCTTCAGCACTGAGGTCAGGGATGTCTGCCAGTGCTCGTGCTGCTATGCCATGTTGCATGTGCAAGCACTCCTGACAGACATGTCATCACCACGCCACGCACCTATGGCTTCAGCACTCAGGTCAGGGATGTCTGCCAGTGCCCGAGCTGCTGCCAATGCATAGGGCCCTCCGGAACCAATGCCTAGTCACAGGGGGAGATGCATACAGAGGGAAAAAGGTGTTGGAAAAATAGGGGTGAAAAGGGGACAGTGGCAGACAAACCCTAGGGACCTGAAAAAACGATGCTTGGGCACAAGGTGAACCGGGAATGCACACCAAGGAAAACCCGGGGTTAAAAAAGAAAATAACTTGAGCAATTTCTTAAGGCCTTCCGGAACCAATGCCTGGGCAGGGAGGAAGAATAGCACACTCCAGGAGAATGAGCAACCGGAGGTTAAGAAGAAGAAACAGAGTGAGCAGAGGTTCCCTATCTGCTCTGCATAAACGATGTGGTCAATACCGACCCACCTACCTAATGCCCCATTGTACCTAATTGCCCGTTCTCGTGAGAGTCCCCTTGGTGTCCTCAGGCCATGATGAGGTGAGAGGCACATGATGCAGGGAATACCAATTTAAGGCCTCATGCTTCACACACCGATGATCCCATGATTCCATCACGTGGCTCTAGCACATCCCCGTTGCCCGTTATCGTGAGAGACACCTTGGCGTCTGCCCGCCACCCATCCACCCACCTTAATACTGCCGCACATTGCCGTCCCACCCACACACATCCACTCACCGATGATCCCATCATGCGGCTCCAGCACATCCCCGTTGCCCGTTATGGTCAGAGACACCTTGGCGTCTGCCACTACTAGCATGGCCTGTAATGTAGAACAGGAGAGAGGGCGAGGGAGAGAGGTGATGGTGGTTAGAGGCAATACTTGGTGCGTTTACCACCCCACACACCACACCCCACCCCACACACCCCATCCCACTACCCACCCCCCAGCGTACACATTCCACTGCAGGAAAACGACACATCATACCCGTCTTTGCGCCCTCCCTGTCCCCTGTTTTATTGGAGTGACTTTTGAGAATTCTCAAAAGTCCCTCCCTGTCCCCTGTTTTTCATCTCACATCCAGATTCCTCAGGTACTTGTCAGTTTGCCACGCCTTTGCCAGCGGCGGACTTTCAACCCAAACACCCCCGCACACACCCCACCCACCCCACTCCACCCCACTCCACCCCTCTTCCCCCCACCCCCCATCTCACATCCAGCTTCCTCAGGTACTTGTCAGTGCGCCACGCCTTTGCCAGCCAGCTCTAAAAGCAGCCCAATTAACACCTCCGCACCCCCACCAACCCCACTCCATCCCTCTCCTCCCCCCAACCCCTCAGCTCACATCCAGCTTCCTCAGGTACTTGTCGGTTCGCCACGCCTTTGCCAGTTCTACGGCCGCTCGCGTCAGCTGGTAGGGGGAAGAGGAAAACGGGAACGGGGGAATGGAAAGGGGTAAGGGGCATGGCGGATGGGGGAAGAGGGCAGGGGACGGGGGAAAGGAAAAAGTGCCTCAGTCAGATATCAGCTTCCTTAGGTACTTGTTGGTTCGCCATGCCTTGGCTAGCTCTACTGCTGCTCGCGTCAGCTGTTAAGGGGAGGGAGAGGGAAGAAGGGGGAAACGGGAAGAGGACATGGGAAAGGAGGTCGTGGGGAGGGAGAAGGGAAGAAGGGGGAAACGGGAAGAGGACATGGGAAAGGAGGTCGTGGGGAGGGAGAAGGGAAGAAGGGGGAAACGGGAAGAGGACATGGGAAAGGAGGTCGTGGGGAGGGAGAAGGGAAGAAGGGGGAAACGGGAAGAGGACATGGGAAAGGAGGTCGTGGGGAGGGAGAAGGGAAGAAGGGGGAAACGGGAAGAGGACATGGGAAAGGAGGTCGTGGGGAGGGAGAAGGGATCCGGGAGCTAGAAAAATGGGAAAGGCGGAATCAGTGGAAAGCAGAGTAAACGAGGGGAGGAAAACAGAGAAATGGAAAGGGGCGGAGGAGACTTCGAGCGGGCCGAAAGTGATCACGTTAACATGAGTTGGAACAGGGGATGAGGCGGAGAAGCAATTAATCAACAACACTGAGAATGCTGCGTGTGATGGCATGGCATGGCATGGGTTAGCATTAGAATTCTCGAACCTGGCATACATCTCATATCTCATGTACCTGGCCTGAAGGTTGGGACGGCAGTGAGCACAACCATTGGTCGATTGGAGGCATGAATGGAAGATGAACGCAGATTGAATTAAAGTGCCCCGCCGCAGGCAGTGCCGTGAAGCCGGGTTGCACGGTGGTGAAAAGGAAGGGGAAGAAGGGGGGAGGGCGAGGATGGGAGAGCAGAGAAGGGGGGGGTAGCGGGACATGGGAAGGGAATGTCGAGAGGTGCAACAGGTGCAACAAAAAACACGAGTAGTGAAACGAGACGGTTTTGTAAGCACCTTAAGATGTTGGAGAGCGAGAAAATAGAAAGAAGAAATGCAGCAAACTCCTGACTTGCAGAATTGAAAGTGGCTCGACTACCTCCAAGTCACCAGGCTGGCAGGCTAGCAAGGCAAATGCACCTGGATATTCGTCAATCCGAGACTATTCTTGAGTCATCTCAATACTAGACTCATTACAGGCAGGCAGGCTAGCCCGGGAGATGTACCTGGATATTCATCAATCCGAGACTCGAAGCGGTCGAAGAGAGTGAATGCATCTGCTGTGGTGCCTGAGGGGTGATGAGGGGTGGAGTCGGGTGGAGCAGGGAGGGGGGAGGTTGCAACGAAACCCAATGCAAGGAGAATTGGTGAGAGAGAGCGGTTCATACCTGACTTGCAAGGACCGCTCAAAAGGTTGCAATACTTGCATAGAAAAAAAAAAAGTCAGGCGCGACAAAATTTGTAAGGAGAATAAATACAAGGGAAGGTCGAGCCTGTTCAGGTCGAGCCTGTGCAGGTCCCCTGCGAATCAAGCAAACTGATTTCTTCTCCCCCAGAAATAACGGGGCACCTAAGAGACCCCGTGTCCTTTTGAGGCGCTTCAATGATCGCCTCACGTGCAAGGGATATACTTTCAGTTCAAGGGAAGGAGAAGCCGAGCCTGCATTTGAGGTGACTTCTGAGTCGAGGTGACTTTTGAGTTGACTCAAAAGTCACCAAGCCTGCATTTGAGGCGCCTCAAAAGCCGAGCCTGCAGCAGCTCGCTCACCCGCGAAGCCAGCAATGACTGATTTCTTCTCTCCCAGCCGGCGCACCTTGCGCACGTTGGGCTTTAAGATCTGCGCCCCCATGGTCACCTGTGGGTGCACATACATGGGCAAGAGCGCACAAACACATAAAGCATGCACATTGAATTGAGACGTTTATGGTATCCTGCTGGGCTTTAAGATCTGGGCTCTCATGATAAAATCATAAGTGATCGGATTGGAGCAATACATTCGGCCGCTCACCTGTGTGAACATCTGCGCTACTCACCTCACCCACACAACCCAGCTGCCACAACTCAACACTACACACCTGCCCGTCTGCTGCTCACCTGCCCGTCTGCTGCAATAACCACTGAGTTTCCTTTCCGCACACAAAGCACCGTCGTGCCATGGATATCCACCGAGCTGTACCCCCTAGCACCGCTTGATCCAAATGCGCCAGTAAAAGCTGTAGGAGCCCCTTCAATCTTCCCTTCTCCTCCCCTTCCGCCTCTGGTTAGAAACTGCAGCAGCGGCTGCTGATGGTGATGCAATAGCGAGGATGGCGAAGGGGATGACGAACCGGTGGCTGCGGTTTGGAAGGAGGTTCGGGGGTAGGTTTGGTGTGACGCGTGGGGAGAGGTTTGGACGGGGCATGGTGGAGGTGAGGAGGGTGACGTGGAGGGTGATGGTGGTGACGTGTCGTTGCGAAGGATGCTTGCGTCAGCAACAAGTGATGACGTGTGCAGAGCCAAGGAGGCAGTTGCTGGGACGGCTGCAGCACGAGAAAGGAGAGGGAGGGAGAGAAAATCATCATAGAGGGATCACGGAAGGGAGGAATTCACGAAAGGGAACACGAGAGACGGAGAGAGATCAGAAGTGGAGGTAGTAGCACGAGGTGAAATTTAATGTCGTGCTACTACCTCCACTTCTGAAACTGGGAGATCATAGCATTGAAACTGGGAAATTGAGTTTTGAGACGTCTCAAAACGCGAAGAACCCATCGAAACTGATTGGAACTGAGAATTCTTGACAGGCTGAGAACGAGGTGTAGATGGAACTGAACCCGAGAGTCAAACTGAGCCAGTAACAAGATTTTCCTGGAAATAACGACGGAAGAGACGGAAGCAGAGGGTGGGTAGCAGGAGGCTGAGACGATCAGCAGCAGAAAGCCTTTTCCGCGGCGTTCTCAATAGGCGGATAGCAGGAGAGCAATCGCTGCGCGGGAGCGGGGTGAATCGCACGGCGCGCGGATAGCGTCAGCGAGAAACCGCGAGAATCTGACCTGCGACGGATCGCGAAAAGACTCCGCATAGCGCCTTGCGGGATAGAGTAATCGCCGCCATTTGCAGTTCAGGTCGACCGTGACGAGCCAAGAATGCTGAGACGAATGAAACAAGGGGATGAGAGGAGGATGAATTGAAATCCGCGTTATCAATGGTTGCCTCGTTTTCGTTAAAATAATAGTAATCCCGAATGTAAAAAGCTGGTAAATGATCTAGAAAGAGCCGGGTGCACTAGAAACCCATAAATGACTCTAGGTTATGGTACAATACAAAATGCAGCAATTTATTTCATCACTACAGCAGTTGTGAGAACCAAACCATTAGTCTGTGCTGTCACACTGCCGTTCCATTTGTAGGCAGGTAAGTATGATTGGCAAGGCAGTTGAACTCCATGCGTGTACCCTATTGATGGTGGAAATATTACACGTTCCGTACAGTTTATACGTCAGTACCATTTGGACCGCTATCCGCAGCTGCAGTGAGATAAGCATGCCTAAGCAATGCATTCACTCTACGCCTAAGCGATGCTTCGTCCTCCAGCAAGTCACCAACAGCATGCCGAAACGCGCTGTCCACCATGTAAACCCGCCCCAATACACTGCCTCTATCTTCACCCTGTCCCTCTGCGAACGATCCATCACACCCGTCGATTGGTGCCTGCATAGCTGCTGTACCATCCAGTACACCCTTTCTCTCATCCGAAAGGCTTGTACTTGTATCGAATCTGTTGTCATCGAGTGCAGCAGCTGAGCTTCCAGGCTTCAGTAGACGTGCCTGCATGGTCGAATCGTGGCGATGGGAAACAAAATTAGCGTGTGGAGATCTAAAAATTCCTCAGAATCCGAGAGTAGGGGAAAGGGAAGGAAACAGGAAGAGAGAGGAAACTAGATGACTAGTCATTCTATGCAACACGCACCTCTGCTGCCAGCAGCTCAAGCCGTCTGTCCGACGTAACAAGCAGCTCCGTCTCCTCTTGCACTCCTGCTGTGAGTGCTGTGATTGCTGTGAGTGCGGCTGTGAGTGCTGTGAGTGCTGCCATGAGTGCTGCTGTAAGTATATATCACAGTGCTCCGCATCACATACCTCTGCTGCCAGCAGTTCAAGCCGCCTGTCCGACGTAACAAGCAGCTCCATCTCCTCTTGCACTCCTGCCGTGAGTGCTGCTGTGAGTGCTGCTGTGAGTGCCGTGAGTGCTGCTGTGAGTATACATCACACACTGCTCTGCATCACATACCTCTGCTGCCAGCAGCTCAAGCCGCCTGTCCGATGTAACAAGCAGCTCCATCTCCTCTTGCACTCCTGGCTGCACTCCTCCCCCTGGTCCCATTTCATTAACACTCCCTGCTGCTGTCTGCTCTGTCTCCCCCCCTCCTCCTGCTCCTCTTCCTCCCTCAGCGCCTCCTCCAGCGCTATTCCCATCCCCGCCTCCTCCCTTGCTCTCTCCTGCTCCTCCACCCCCTGAAAGACGTTCCACAGCAGCATTTTTCATGCGCTGCCGCAGCACCCGCACCTCATGAAGGAACCGCTCCGCCTTGCCCTGCCATGCTGACACGGCGGCAGCATGTGTATTGTCTTGAGCCTAAAGGGAGCAGTTGAGGAGAAAACAGGGGGGGAAAGCGCGTAAGAGGGAAGCACAAACCACAGCACTGTCTTTCATGCGCTGCCGCAACACCCGCACCTCATGCAGAAAGCGCTCCGCCTTCGCTTGCCACGCTGACACTGCGTCACTGTGTGTGTTCTCCTGACCCTAGGGAGAGACGTGGAGGTTGACAGAAATGGAGAAGCGTTAGATGAAGGCACAACACAGCAGCAACCTTCCTGCACTGCCGCATCGCTTGCACCTCGTGAAGGAACCGCTCCGCCTTGCCCTGCCACGCTGATACGGCAGCAGCATGTGTGTTCTCTGCCTGCCACTGCACCACTGTCAGCGACTACCACAGAGTCACATCACAGGTGCCCCACTGGCCTGACACACTCATCTCCCCATCTACAACCACAACTCACCTTCAGCCGTCCCACGCTCTCCCTCATTCACCCAGTGCCTCGTATGGGAGCCGAGTTTTTCGCCTCGGCTCATACGAGGCACTCGTTCGAGGGCGAGTGACGAGTGTCGTTTTCTGTGAAAATAACTCGTCCGATCCGAGGCGAGTTAAACTCGGCGAGTTTTTTGAACTTGCCGAGCACTCGATAAAGAGACGTGGCGAGGGCATAAAGAGAGAAGCGTCGGAGGGAGGCACACAGCACAGCAGCATCTTTCATGCGCTGCCGCAGCACTCTCACTTCGTGGAAAAATCACACTGCCTTGGCCTGAAATGCTGATACGGCGGGCAGCAGCATCACACTGCGCGTCTCATGTTGGGCGTGGAGAGGGATGCAAAGAGGAAAACATCAAATCGAACCCCAGAAGCGCCTTTCATGCACTGCTGCAATACTCGCATCCATCTAGATTCAAGTTCAGCCACGAAACAAACCCAACCACCCGCAACTGACCTCCAGTCCAGAAGTCTTGAGTCGACTCGATTCCATTTACATCCCAAAATACCTCTCCCAGGGTTTAAGGTTGGCTAATCACGTACCTCCAGCTCAGCTGCCCGCTCCTCTGCCGCCCGTCTCTTCCTCTCAGCCTCGGAAACGGCCTGCCGAAGCAGCTTCACCTCCCGAGCCAGCAGCTTTGCTTCGGCCCGAGCCTGAGCCTCTGCTGCCCGCACAGCTGCCAGCTCAGCAGCCTTGCCCTGTTGTGCCTTCTGGTGCTCCTCTGTTGCTGACTGTAGCTGCTGCTGTAGCTCTGCCTTCTCTTTCTGGATGGTTGGAGTGCAATACACAGGGTCAGAAAATGCGATTTTTGAGTTGAGCCGAGAACCTTTTGGCGCTCCTCTGTGCGTGTCTGTAGCTGCTGCTGTAGTTGTGCTTTCTCGAATTCCCAACTCACCTCCAGCCGTCCCACGCTCTCTCTCACTTCACCCAGTGCAGCCCGCTCCTCCCCTGCCTGCCACTGCACCACTGTCAGCTGTCGCTCCTGCTGTCACACGCCCATCCCTTCCTTTCCCTCACTCACCTCCAGCCGTCCCACGCTCTCTCTCGCTTCACCCAGTGCAGCCCACTCCTCCTCTGCCTGCCACTGCACCACTGTCAGCTGCCACAGTGCCACAATGTGCCCCACTGGCCTTCACCCCACCGAGTCGAATTTCTAACTTGCCTCCAGCCATCCCACGCTCTCTCTTGCTTCGCCCAAAGCAGCCCTGTCCTCCTCTGCCTGCCACTGTGCCGCCAGCTGTCGCTCCCACTGCCACAACCCTAAACCCTAAACCCAGCACCCCTTTACCCGGCTACAAGCCCAACTCACCTTCAGCCGTCCCACGCTCTCTCTTGCTTCGCCCAGTGCAGCCCTGTCCTCCTCTGCCTGCCACTGCGCCGCCAGCTGCCGTTCCCACTGCCACAAGCCCATCGCAACACTCCTCCCTTCAACTACACGCACAACTCACCTCCAGTCTTCCCACACTCTCTCTCGCTTCACCCAGCGCAGCCCGGTCCTCCTCTGCCTGCCACTGTGCCGCCAGCTGTCGCTCCCGCTCCTCCCGCACCTCCCTCACCACCTCTGCTCGCAGCTTCCTCCTCTCCGCGTCCAATTCAGCTTCCAAACCCCGCACCTGAGACAAACAGGGGTGGGGAGCTAGTAACTACTGAGGCATGATGGCTTGGATGGCTACTCCTCCCGCACCTCCCTCGCCACTTCTGCCCGCACCTCCCTCGCCACCTCTGCTCGCAGCTTCCTCCTCTCCGCATCTTATTCAGCCTCCAGGCCTCGGATCTGAGACAAACAGAACAGGGGTGGGGGTACTAGCAACTAATGAGGTCTAATGGCTTGAACACCCGCTCCTCCCTCATCTCCCTCACCTGCTCCACCTCAGCTTCCTCCTTTCCGCATGCACCTCAGCGTCCAGTCCTCGCACCTGAAGCAAACAAGGGCGGGGTGGGGAAAGGAGCCACTAGTTACTGGAGCATAAGCCTTTAGTCTCACCTTAACCTCTCACCCTAATCTCAACTTCCCCTCTCTCTCCTCTCACCTTGCTTGCCAGGAACTCCTTCACAGCAGTCTCCTGCGCCACTCGCTCCATCAACTCGCCCATGTCCGTATGGGCAGCTGGTCACACACTACAAGTTTTTTAAGGTTACCTTGCTCTCTCGTTCCTCTACCTGATCACCTTCCTCTCACCTTGCTCGCCAGAAACTCCTTAACAGCTGTCTCCTGCGCCACTCGCTCCATCAGCTTCCCCATGTCTGTCTGGGCAGCTAGACACACCTTACAAATTTCTTCTTACACTCGCTCCCCTCCTCACCCTCCTTCGCAGGCCCTCCGTCTTACTTTGCTGCCAGAAACTCCTTACTCACCAGATCCTCCTGTCTCTTGTGCCACTCGCTCCATCAGCTCGCTCATGTCCGTCTGGGCAGGTCATGCTGTACAAACGCGCTATAGGTTTCTGGTTATACTCATCACGCCCTCCCTCACCCTGGTCTCTCACCCTCTCCCTCACCCCCTCTTTCCTCTCACCTTGCTCGCGAGAAACTCCTTCACAGCAGTTTCCTAAGCCACTCGCTCCATCAACTCCCCCATATCCGCCTGGTTTGAGCAGCTGAATGCACACTGCAACTTCTTGTTACACATGCTCCCTTTCTCAACCTACGTCTCACCCCCTACTTCTCACCTTGCTTGCGAGAAACTCCTTCACAGCAGTTTCCTGAGCCACTCGCTCCATCAACTCCCCCATATCCGTCTGGGCAGTTACCAGTCGCCTCCGAAGCCCCATCAGCATCTTTTTCACCGCTGCCCGTTTCTCCTCGGGCAGGCTCAGCGCCACCTGCCCGGAAACGCCTTGAACCAGCTCCGCCATGAGCTCAGCGTCACCAGGGTGTATGGTGGTGTGCGGTGCGGTGGTGGGGTCGGCGGCAGTGTGGGATGTGGTGGCGGTAGTATCAATGGCAGAATGTGGCAGCACACTTGCATGCCCATCCATGCTACCATCCACACTGCCATACGTTGCCATCCTCCCCTCTCCCAACTCCCTCCTTCCACTAACCCGTTCACCCAATTCCTGCCCGTTGTCAACAATCCCCCCTCCCTCGAGCCTCCTTTCTCCCCCCGGCCCCACTCTCATCTCTTTCCCATCCATTCCTTCCACTAACTCCTGCGAACGCCCCTCCCTCTCTTCTCCCTCCCTTACCCGTTCCCCCTCTCCTCTTGCTCCTCTCCCTCCTCCTCCCTCTGCTCCTCCTCCTGCCCGCTGCCCTGCTGGCATGCCCGCACTATTCACACCAGCACTGTTCATACTAATACTGTTCACGTCTAGCTGCGTGCTCCTACCACCACCCCCCTCCCTGACAACCTCTCTGCTTAACGAACTTGCCTCAAACGAGGAAAGAGGGTGTGAGGCAGCGGCCGGGAGAGGAGAAAGCTTCTGAGATTTCTCAAAGGCAGGCGACTCAAGAGGTGCTTCAAACGAGGCGAGAGGGTGCGAGGAGGCGGGGTGAGGGGAGGGCGTGACAGCAGAGGAGACAACGGAAGAGGCGTCTGAAAAGTCCCGCGTGAAAGCCACCATGCGGGAGCCATCGTGGTACTCAAACCCGCTCCCAGCATCGCTCCCTCCTCCTCCTCCTCCTCCTCCTCCTCCTCCTCCTCCTCCTCCTCCTCCTCCTCCTCCTCCTCCTCCTCCTCCTCCTCCTCCTCCTCCTCCTCCTCCTCCTCCTCCTCCTCTTCCTGCATAGTCACGCCCCATGTTATCACTCCCAGCTGCTGCTGCTGCCGCCGTTGCTGCTGCTGCTGTATTCGTTTTAGTCACACTGCTAGCTGCCGACCCGCTTCCAAAACCCCACAAGCTTAAGCCTCCCACTCCCACTTTTCCTCCTTCTCCTCCTTCTCCTCCTGCTGCTGTTCCTGCTGCGGTTGCTGCTGCGCCTTTCCCTGCAGCATTCGCTACAGGTGCACCCACGGCCCTCCTCCGCCTGCCAGACGCTTCCAGAACGTTCTCGTCCTCCTCTGCTCCCCCCTCCCCTCCCTCCCCTTCCTCCTCCGCCTCGTCCTCTGCCAAAGCAGCTGCAAATTAGATGTCGGAGGGACCATTGGGGGAGAAGATAAGGAGAATAGCGAAAGACGAGGGGAGGAAAGGGCAGAGGGAAGGGGGGTTGAAAGGGTGCCACGGGTGCAGGTGCACCCACGGCCCTTCTCCGCCTGCCAGATGCTTCCAGAACGTTCTCGTCCTCCTCCCCTTCGGCCCTCTCCCCCTCCTCCTCCACCTCGTCTTCTGCCAAAGCATCTGCAGGGTGGATGGAGAAGCAGGGGGAGAACGAGCAAGGAGAGAAGAGGAGGGGGGAGGGTCAAACAGGTTGTGCAAGTACAGGTGCACCCACTGAAGGTAGTCTGGACTGGAAAAGGAGAGCAGACGGGGGAGTAGGGCGAGCACAGGAGAGGAGACCTCCATATCATCCAGCAGCTGCTGCAGAGTTGACTTTTGAGTTGACTCAAAAGTCAACATCGTCCAGCAGCTGCTGCAGAGTTGACTTTTGACTTGACTCAAAAGTTAACATCGTCCACCAGCAGCTGCTACAGCCACGCTTGTAGAGCACGGCGCCGCCACCAAGTCAATCAGACACCTTACCTGCTCAGGCAACTCTCTCGAGTTCAAGAAACGCCTCCATGCGGCAAGCACAGGAGAGGAGACCTCCACGACGTCCAGCAGCTGCTGCTGCAGCCACACGCCCAGGGCGTGGCTCTTTAAGTGTTGTGTTGTTTGTTGAGCTGTGTGCTATCCCAACACTACTCTGGCTCACCTGCTCTGGCAACTCTCTCCAGCTCGAGGAAAGCAGCCATGGGGCGGGAGCGGGACACCTCCACATCCTCTAACAGCTGCTGCAGCCACGCATCTAGAGCACGGCGCCGCTGCTCCAGTCGATGGCTGTCGGTGGAGATTCTTTGCAGTGGCAGCTTGGGAGGCGGGGCTGGGAGGCGGCGGCGGTCAAAGGAGCGAAGAAGCTACATGGGGGAAGGGGAGAGAGGAGGAGAAAAGGGTCGGGTTAGGGGCGTCTCAACGGTCTCTACAGGCGGTGGCTGTCCGTAGATATTCTTTGCAGTGGCAGCTTGGGAGGAGGGGCGGGCAGGCGGCGGTGATCAAAGGAGTGGAGAAGCTGGCTTGCAAAAACGGGGGGAAATGGGGAGAGAAAAAAAGGGCGAGAGGAGGGGAGATTGGGGGGTATGATACGACTCAATGCCCTCTCCAGACAATCGCTGCCAGAGGAGACCCATTTCAAAGGATGATAACATATCTGCAACCATAAACAAGCCATACCAGTAATGTGTATATGTATATATAACATATTTAATACGTGTACATATGTTACCATGCTGTAGAGATTGATGAAGTCGGAGAATCTCCTGGGAACACGAGTGACAGAGGTGATGCCTCGAGGGGACCGCACTCCCACACACACGTGGAAGAACTGGGAGGAGGGAGGAAAGACAGGGATGCGGGGGTACGGATTCTAAATTAAGGAAACAGCAGCAACAAGTAAGCCCTTTTATAGTTGCAGTACGATCACTGGAACTGGTGATGACTCAAGGGGAAGGGAGGGGACCACACTCACCACACACCCGTAGAAGAACTGGGACAAGGTAGAGAAGACGAAGAGAGGAAGAGACACAGACACCAGAGACGCACACAATCGCCACTGCTGCTCCCTGCCCCTCGACTCCTAGGCATGGCTCCTCCTCCAGCAGCAGCAAAACCAGAAGTAGCACCTCTGATACTCACCACGACAGGAGCCGGATCAGACGCCTTGGGGAAGAGCGCGGAGACCAGAGACGCACCCAGATCGCCGCTACCCCCCCCTGCCCCTGGACTCCTAAGCCTGGCCCCTCCGGAAGTTGTTGCAGCAGCCGCTGCACCACCAGCAACACCAGACGAATTAGCAGCAGCAGCACTACCAGCAGCAGCAGAGGTGGGAGGGTAGGCGGGGGTCCAGGTGGGAATGAGGGTGCAGAAGGCCCAGCAGCCATCAGGCACGTGCGGCCATGCTGTGGTGCGCCGACCCGCCTGGTTTGAGGGTAAATGGTGGGGAGCGGGTGGAGTTATAAGCATCACCAGCAGCACCACTACCGGGAGGGTAGGGGAGGTCCAGGTGGGAATGAGGGTGCAGAAGGCCCAGCAGCTGTCAGGCACGTGCGGCCATGCTGTAGTGCGCCGACCCGCCTGGTTTGAGGGGGAAGAAAGGGAACAAAGGGAAAGCATCAGCACCACCAGAACCACCAGCAGCACCAGCAGCAGCACCAGCAGCAGAGGCGGGAGAATGGGGGGGGTCCAAGTGGGAGGGTGCAATAGGCCTAGCAGCCATCCGGCATGTGCGGCCATGCTGTGGTGTGCCGACCCACCTGCTTAGATGGGGGAGGGACGAACGGGGAGGGGAGGAGAGAAAAGAGGGGAAGAGAGAAAAGAGGTGGGAAGGAGGCAAGGGGGTGCGAAGACCTGGTGGTGCAGAAGGCTCAGCAGCCGTCAGGCTTGTGCGGCCATGCTGTGGTGCGCCGACCGGCCTGGTTTGATTGATTGGGGGAAAGTGCTGGAAACGGCTTTTGAGGAGCCTCAAAGTGAGGCGAAAGGAAGAGAAACGAGGGGGCGGAAGGAGGAGACTACAGGGATTGTGAGACGTTTCTGCAGTCGTCAGGAAAGAGCAGCCATGCCCTGTGCTTGCGAGAACCAGGCGATGGCAGACAAGCAGGGGAGCGGAAAACAGGAGTGCGAGTGCAGGTAGGGATTCAAGTGGCTCGACTTTTAGGGATGTCCTAAAAGTCGTCCGATTACACGCTAAAAGTGGGAAGAGAGGCGAGCAAGTCTGGGAAGGGAAGTCTGAAAAATCTCGCACAGACAAGCAGGGAAATTACATGCCAGAATTAGGAGGAGAAACAAAGTAATGAATTGAGGAAGAGCGAACGATCCAATCTCTGGGAGAAATCCAAGGCGGAGGTAACGGCGACGCGTCATAATGGAGAAGGTCAAGCGCTGAGAGAACTAGCATGAACTACCATGGAATCACTAAGAGAGGTGGGCCGGCGGCGGGGAGGAGTCTACGGCCAGCGGTAAGGAGGACGTGCCATCGCGGCGAAAGACACGTGCTGAGAGGACTAGCAACAACAACAATGATAGAACCATCACTAGCAGGAGAGTCGTAGTGAAAGAAACGGACCCAGTGGGCTGGCGGCGAGGAGGAGTCCATGCCAAGCGGTAAGGGCGACGTGCCATCGTGGCGAAAGACACGTGGATTCGACACCGTTTCTCCGGCACGTAGCTGCTGCTGATGTCGACTGTGCTGACGTGGATCGCTGTGCTCCTTCCATCCCGTGCCTTCTTGGCCTGATTGTCGCCCTAGCATAGTTCCGAAATGGTATACGGAATACGAGAATTAAATCGGAATTCTACTTAGCTCCTTGGTTAGTCAATTGAGACGGGAGAGATTGCGACATACTAGACAATCTGACAACTGTTCGCGCCAACTGATTCTAGGAGACAGGGAACTGGTTCTAAAAGATTAAAGCGCTGCTGCACGAACAGATGTCAGGAGGTAGTGGACTGAGGACGCGTCTCCTGAACGCCGACCCTACGATCGTTTGTCAGAAATCGAACTTCCACCGCATAAAATTTACGCGCATCGCAGGTAATATTTCTATCTGTTAATTAAACCACGCAAAAAATCGAACCTACGTAGGATCGATCCTGCGATCGGCGTTGAGGAGACGCGTCCTGAATGCCAGTGCTTGATGCGAAATAGCATGGGTGGTGCCTTCTGCCTTGGGATTGGTTCCTCGGTGTATGCAAATATCAGGGTGGTCATGTACGGTGTCTTGGGTTTCCTCGCTGCAAATATTTGTATAATGAGCAAGCCACAAAGAGATGTGGCACTTTAGCGAAACGAATGGCAGCTTATATGGAGGTTGGCAGGTTCGAGGCAAGGCGAATATGCTTGGGGCCAACCAACCAGCCACCAACTGACTGGGAACAACACTACCCCATTCCGTTCATGATCAACCTCGCTCTTGTTTCCCAATCTCTGCTTTTTCAGCAACATTGCCCACTCTCAGCGATTTTGAATCTGCTCCTTGCATTTCGCTGTGCACTGCTTCGTTTTTCTGGAGCTCATCTACAAAGTGTCCTCAGATCTCGGCCCGTTACGAGTTGCTCTATTGTCTAGCAATGGCCGACAGACTTCCTGGGGTGATCGCTCTGTTCGATGTCGATGGCACCCTCACGCCGCCTCGGAAGGTGCTTTTTTTGCCAACCTAGCTATCTGGTCAAGCATCGTGCTTCTGATACCAACTCGTAAAATCCGAGTTGTAGCATTCCGACGCGTAACGTAGTCTTCGCGATTGTAACATTTTCTTCGCGTTGTCTTCGCGTTCTTGTGCTGCAGCTAGTGGAGCCAGAAATGGTGGAGTTCATGCAGAAGCTCCGCAAGGTAACATTCTCCCAGCTTCTCCACGCCTTTCTTGTCTCTCCGTCCAGAAGGCTTGATATTTTCGCAAGTGTTATGGATCAAAGGGCCTGATTAAGTCCCCTTATTTTTGCTATTGATTTTATCAGACAGTGACCGTTGGTATCGTTGGAGGATCGGACCTGTCAAAAATCACCGAGCAACTGGGGCCTGACAGTAAGTGGGTTCTGCTTTAGCCTTTGCCGCGTTGGTCCAGCTCACCAATCGAATTCGTGAAGGCTGTCAAAGAATCATACGGAATAATTTCTCTAACGCAACAATGCTCTTTGCAGCTCTGACGGCATACGACTATGTGTTTTCCGAAAATGGTCTCGTGGCACACAAAGCCGGTGTGCAGATCGGTAGCCAGGTAGGCGAACTTAAATCGCCTCAATCGGTAGTCGTACACAAGCACTTCTCCCGGTTTAAACCTACGAATCCTGACCCGTTTTGAACGAATTCGTCTATGTGTGTGGATTCCAGAGCCTGAAAACCTTCCTGGGAGATGATAAGCTCAAGGTAATGGGGGTCACGAATTCATTTGTACAGTACCGAGTCCTGGCTGGCATCGGCTGAACGAAACAGCGTGGTTGTAATGCAGGAATTCATTAATTTCACTCTCCACTACATTGCCGACCTTGACATTCCTATCAAGAGGTGAGGAAAGCCTGCTGAATTGTTGGTTGACCAATTTTCGTGGCAATGAAGCTTGTAACTAGGCTCCTGTCCCGAATTAAAATGATTTTTCTCTTCTCCCTGCCTTTGCCAGAGGAACATTCATAGAGTTCAGGATGGGCATGCTTAATGTGTCTCCTATTGGACGCAACTGTAGCCAAGAAGAAAGGGACGAGTTTGAGCGATACGATAAGGTACAGTCCACCTCTTCCTGGTGCCTTCGTTTCTGGCTCCATTTTTCCCTCATGTACTCCCTCCCTCTACCCTGCCTCCTCCCCTCACCAGGTTCATAAGATTCGTGAAACTATGGTTGGAGTACTGCGGGAAAAGTTTGCGGACTTGAATCTGACATTTTCTATTGGTGGCCAAATCAGCTTCGATGTAAGTTCCTGTTCGGCACTCACTTTGTCCAATACTTCACAGCAAACTGTAAAATGGGTACCACTCTAACGCGACCTTTGCCAACCAGGTCTTCCCGACTGGCTGGGACAAAACGTACTGCCTCCAGTTTGTTGACAAGGACTTTCCAACCATTCACTTCTTTGGAGATAAGACGTACAAGGTATGTATATGGTTCACAGATATACAGGATAATCCAATCAAGACAGTTTGTTCTAAACTTGTTGGCACCTTCTGATGCAGGGGGGCAATGACCACGAGATTTTCATTTCAGAGAGGACCATTGGTCACACAGGTAAGCTCAGTTACGTTTGTTTTAAGCTCAAGATGGCTGTACCTTTGTTCTCATCTTTCTTCATCTCTACTTGCAGTAACTAGCCCTGCTGACACTCGGGCCCAATGCACGGAGTTGTTCCTCAAATCGGCTTGACAGCCTGATGAAGCACTGTGCTGTGGATGCAACTGAAGGGTTGTTTAGTGTTTTATCAACTGTATCCAGTTCAAGAGTATCAAATTACCTCACTGTTCAAAATGGCAGAAAGTTTTAATCAGAAAGCTGGTAAAAACAACCCTTAGACCTCTTAACGTGAGCAAGGATTCATGAAGCTTCTACAGACAGGAACCTCACTTATAAAGAGCAGGCAAGATTTCAGTAGTATTTGGTTCTACTTCCGGGCATGACCCGCCTTCATATCATTGCCTTTTTGAGGCTCACTCGGCGGGTCCTCTTCATCGTGCCTCCAGAACTCATAGAGGGAGGCACTCAGATAAGATCAAGTGAGAAGAATGCGGAAAGGCATGCTGAATTTATAGTCCGATGTGGAATGAAGGACACCCCGATTGTTTGTGACTGGAAGAGCTGGTCGCACCAAGTGAGGGTATTGTACCCTGTGCGCCATGGATTATGGGTAACTGGCGATGGAATCATTAATTGTGGGGGCGAAATCCGAAAAATAACCTAAGAGTTTGGGAGTTCCAAAGCTACCAGCCGCCACCATGCGGTGAACCTTCTCCAGGAACATGGTCATAGTACATCTTCGCAACTCGGTATGAATCGGTACGGGCCGGAGCATCCGCATCGTTGACAAACATTTCAGGGTACCTTCCCGCTCTCACTGGCTCGTCCACATGTTCAGCGTAATCAGCTCCACTTTTTCGGGCTCCCTGCCGAGCCGAACACTTTTCGTGCTGACAGGGCTCTCGGTCAGCCACTGAGCGCACTCCACCACAGCCCCACACGCTTCCATCGAGGGCCTCCCGTCGGCCGTCGGTACGTCACCCAATCCACAAATACTGATTTTCCACGTCAGTGCAGCTATTTGCAAGGTCTTGCTTTCCACGTCAGATGAAATTCATGTGATTCCATCAAGGCTGGAATCCTTGCTTCCCGCGTCCTCTGGAAGTTTGCTCTCCTCCACCACTCTCCCGCCTTCCATTCCGTTCCTTCCGTGCTCTCTGATCACTTGCCTCCCAGCTGCTCCAGATTCTAGATCCTATCAGCTCTTCAGCAGCCTTCTCTCTGCTTCTCAATTCATCTCTGTTACTCAATTCACACTCGCTTCAAGTCCTTAGTGCTCCGATTCTCTCTGATTCATTCTGTGTGTTCGGCACTGTCCTAGCCTCCCTTTAATTATTGTTAGCTGTCCCGACGTTTCCACAGCAGCATGGCAACAGCTACCGCTCATCTTTCCTGTTCACCGGTGCACGTTGCGGCTGCAGCGGACGAGCGTGCAGCTCCAAGCGTTAGGAATGTTTCAGCCATTGGCTCGCTGAAGCGGTTCGACGGGCTGCGATGCCACGGGGTGACTGCTAGGGTTCAGCCTGCACAGGTCAGGGTAGCGCAGAGGAGGCTAACAACAGTTTCGGCCACAGCCACGTCAGCAGATGCGCCTGCAGCTGTGACGTCTTCATTTATTGGCGTAAAGACCGAAGAAGGTGAGATAGCCTTCTTGCATTTGCAATCGCATTTGCAGTTGCTTTTGCGAGTGCCAGTTTTCGTCAAGACGCGCAACATGCTGCTTCATTCAGAAACGGTGTTGGAAGGTGATTTGTTTCATGGCGCGTGGAGTCACCGCGGAAATGCGACGGGTTGAAAGGAAGGTTGATTGAAAACTTGTACGTCCTTGTTTCAAAGAGAACGAGAGCGTTCCGTCTTGTCGTTTCCATCGAGTACTTTAAAACAAATAAACTGCTGATAAGACCGTCAACTTATGTCAATGACGTCATCTAAGTCCGCTGCAACGGACCATGTAGCGAACCTTCGGCTTCCGAGGCGTCTCATAACTCTGTTGGGATTCTTAGCTTTGGCTTCTGCGGCATCGTCCCTTACATTTCGCGCAGTTTGCAACATCGCCAGCTTATCGCACGGCGTACAACCCCATGATCATTCTCTCCCCTCCTTGCAAATCACGTTTGAGAATTCTCAAAATCGATTTCATTCGCCACTTGCTATCATCGCCAGCTTATCGCACGGCGTACAACCCCATGATCATTCTCTCCCATCCTTTCTGTCGTCTTGATTCGTTTCCGTGACGTGCGCAGAGATGATGGATGCGATAACCAAAGAGGCCGCCACGTATCGCCTGCCCGAACGCGTGGTGCTGGGCATGCGCGACTTCTACCACTCGTACGCGAATGCGGTAAGCCGAAACACGAGACACGGGCAAACGCGTATCAATGGTAAGAATGGCAGCACTAAGTTTGTTCGCCTTCCTGAGCTTGTGGTGGTGGGCATGCGCAATCTCGACCACTCGTACGCGAATGCGGTAAGCTATAATTCGGAATACACTCAGTCAATCGCGTATACGAAATAAGAATGGCACGACTCTGATCGTTCGTGGTCCCGAGCGCGTCGTGCTGGGCGTGCGCAATGCTTACCGCCTGTACGGGAATTCCGGTAAGCTCGTCTTTGTCAAATGTTACCACTTGTTCGCGAATTCGGTACGCAATTTGATGTTCCCCGCTTGCTCACGAATGCGACGTTTCCAGTAGTACGCAGATGCGGTTAGCAAATATCTGAGAAATACACCCATCAGATCGCTCGTGTGCCAGAACACGTGATGCTCATGTTCTCACTGCACGATGAATTTGTCCTCACCCACCGCAGGCATGCATACTCCTCCCAACCCAACCCAACCCCACCCCACCCCACTCGACGCACCACGTTCATCCCCCACCCTCCCTCCCCTCCCTTCCCCTTTCCTTCCTGGCCCCTCCTCCGTTGCGGCGTCGCGGCTCGCCCTGCAGGTTGCGTCCAGCGGAATCGAGAATGCAGAGCAGCTGTCTCTGGAGATCATGTCAACCGTCTTCGACAGAATCATGTTCCAACTCAGGGTGAGCGGTGGGGAGGGAGGCATGATGGAGTGCCTATTGAGTAGACCCAAAACTCAAGTCAAGTGAAGAGCAGCTGTCTCTGCAGTCACCTTGAACGCAGAGCAGCTGTCTCTACACATCATGTCAACCGTCTTTGCAGTCACCAGTTTGAATTGCACCATACTGTGTCTTTGGTCAGAACTGCGTGCAGAACCACATGCAGTGCACCGCTGTGAGGAACTAGACCCTGCTGCAGAACTAATTCTTCACTAAATCTTCACTAATTTCCCCCGCTTCTGTTATATCCGGTTCACAGGAGCGCCACCAGTTCGAATCGCACCATCTGGCCGTGCGGGAGCCTTTCGACTACTTCGCCTTTGGGCAGAACTATGTGAAACCCCTCATCAACTACTCGTAAGCAGCTCTTGAGTCAACTCAAAGCACACCTTTGGGCAGAACTACGTGAAACCCCTCATTAACTGCTCGTAAGCAGCTCTTGAGTCAACTTAAAGCACACCTTTTGTGCAGAAGTATGTGCGACCCGTCATTGATTACTCGTAATCAGCATTTGATTAGTGCAGTGAAACCGATGCCCTCATTCTGCGTTCATAATTTTGCCACTAGGTGCATGCGAGTTTCAATGCAAACGTCCTCTCCCTCTCTTTCCTTTCTGCAGGCGCTCCTACATCGGCAATGTGAAGATATTGGACCAGATTCAAGCCAACCTTGACGCTGTGAGTGCTGATTTTTTTATGTTGTGCGTGCTGTTTTTCTTTTCATTAGACCCAAAATAGTATTTTGTCGGTAGTGTGCAAATTTTAACAAGATTGAAGCCAACCCCGATGCTGTGAGTGCCTCTGATAGTGCGTCTTCCTTTTTTAGTTTTCCATAGTATTGCTTTCATCACCTGAATTCAAGGCTGGGGATACAAGAATACAGCCGTTCTCACCTAATGGCTTAGGGTTGAAGGCTGGGGATTCAAGGGGGTGTGTTAAAAGTGATGACTGAAGCAGGTACTGCTGATTCCGCCAGATCAGCAAGAGAGGGCGAGCAAGAGGGCATGAAGAAAGACAGTGCATGCGAGGGAAACAAGGGCGGCAGAGGGAACGTGGTCAACAGGCCATGTTTCCAACCGGGCAGGCAGGAAGCAACCAGTTACCCTGTATCTTGAGGCTGCTCCTGTCTGCTGCTGGTTCGTCCCCTTCGCTGCCTCTTTCCTCCACAGTCATCTTTCTCCTCTTCTCTTGCTGCTGCTGGACCCTGGTTACGTGATGAAACTTGAAAAGCAATCCTCTGATTCACAGACCCTCGTTGTGAGAGCAAGCGAAGTCGGTCAGGCGACTATTGAGGCGCCTCAAAAAGTATGCGATGAAACTTGAAACGCAATCCTCTGATTTACCGACACTCTTTATGAAAGCAAGTGTACATTGTCAGGCAACTTTTGAGTGCCTCTAAAGTACAGATGAGACTGAAATACGAATCCTCTAATTCACCGACCCTCCCTCTGAGAGCAAGCATAGGCTGTGAGGCAACTTTTGAGGCGCCTCAAAAGTACATGATGAGACTGAAATTCAAATCCTCTGATTCCCGACCCTCCTTCTGAGAGCAAGGGTAGGCTGTCAGGCAACTTTAGAGACGCGTTAAAAGTACGTTATGAGACCGAAATAAGAACCCTGTGATTCGCAGACCCTGTTTTTCAGAGCAAGCGTAACCTTTCTTTCACTCCTCCTTCCCCCTTCAACCCCCCACACATCCCTCTTCCTTCCACTTCCCCTCTTTTCCATTCATTTCCTCTTCCATTTTCCCACCCCCCTCCCTCACATAACATCAGGGCCACAACGTGGTGCTGATGACAAACCACCAGACAGAGGCGGACCCGGGTGTCATCGCTCTCTTGCTCGAGAACAGCCACCCTCGCCTCGCCAAAGACATTGTACGTCATTCGTGCTGTGCGCCAATTGCTCTGTCTGTGAGGCCAATTGCTCACTCACCCCCCAAACCGTTCCTGACCCATCATGACTCCGCCTCAACCCTCCTCACCCCACCTCACCCCGCCTGACCACCCTCTGGGTGCAGACGTATGTAGCTGGTGATCGGGTTGTCTTCGACCCCTTTTGCATGCCCTTCAGCCTCTCTCCTGCTCACTCACCCCCGTGACCTTTCCCGTCCCCTCCTGACCCCGCCTCAACCCCCCTCACCCCTTCTCACCCCCACCCACCCCTCCTCACGCCCCCTCACCGCACCTCACTCCACCTTGCCCCCCGGTGTGAAGATGTACGTGGCGGGCGACCGGGTTGTCTTTGATCCCTTCTGCGTGCCCTTCAGCCTCACCCCTGTTCACTCATTCCCCCCCTTGCCTTTTCCAACCCCTCACAACCTCGCTTCACCCTTCCTGACCCCTCCCGACCCTCCTTTGGCCCGCCTGACCCCACTGTGTACAGATATACGTGGCAGGCGACCGGGTTGTATTTGACCCCTTCTGCGTGCCCTTCAGCCTCGGAAGGTGAGAGGTTCAGTGCGGTGCTTCACCCCCCATCTCACTCACCACCCTCGCCCCGCCTCGCCCCGCCTGGCCCCGCCTGAACCCCCTGTGTGCAGACGTATGTGGCAGGCGACCGAGTTGTGTTTGACCCCTTCTGCATGCCCTTCAGCCTGGGCAGGTGAGTGCATGCTAGTTGGTGCATGGCATACAGAGTGGGTGACAGGAAGAAGAGCAGGTGCCAGGGGTGAGGCTGTTCTTCTCCTTACCCCACAGAGTGGAGTGAGGCTGTTTTGTGACAGCAGTGCATGCGTTTGTGGCAGGTGCGTGCATGGGCAGGGTTCAGGCAGAAGCACCTTTCTCCTCACCCCTCAAAACACCCCCTTTCACCCCTTGCAGCTTACTTTTCACCCTTGAAACCCCCTGTACCCCTCCACACCCCTTAGGAACCTGCTGTGCGTGCACTCCAAGAAGCACCTCAACGACGTGCCAGAGCTGGCAGAGCAGAAGCGAGCGGAGAACCGCAAGACACTCAAGGTGATGGCGAAGCTGTTCAAGCAGGGAGGCAACTTGTTCTTCACCTCTTTCAACCCCTCTCCACCCTTTCCAACCCCTCACAAATCCCCAGAAATCTCCTGTGCGTGCACTCTAAGAAGCACCTGAACGACGTGCCAGAGCTGGCAGAGCAGAAGCGAGCGGAGAACCGCAAGACGCTCAAAGTGATGGCAAAGCTGTTCAAGAAGGGAGGCAACTTCGTGTGGATCGCTCCCAGTGGCGGCCGCGACCGCATCAACCCGGAAACAAACTATGTGCCTCCGGTGAGTGTGCTAGCAGGAAGGGTTCGCCTGTCAAAGGCAGTGTGCGCAGGTGGCACGGGGGTGCCTCTAAGGCATTAGCACACTCAAGGTGATAGCGAAGCTGTTCAAGCAGGGAGGCAGCTTCATGTGGATCGCTCCTAGCGGGGGGCACAACCGCATCAAACCCGATGCCAACTACGTGCCTCCAGTGAGTGCAGTACCCGTTTGACCCCTCTGCTGTGGCTCTCATGGACTTACCCATATTGAAATCGAGAGTGTGGAGCGTGTAGTGCCGATATGTCTGGGTGTATCTTTAAAGAACCTCATGATCAAACCCCACTCTTCCTTCTGCAGAGGGAATGGAACTCTGACTTACCTGTTAACAAACTCTACTTCTCCTTCTGCTCCAACCTCCTTGTTCCCCTTCTTTCTTGCCCTCCTCCCCCTCTCCCTGCCTCCTTCCATCTGCCAATCTCCCTTTGACTCTTTTGCAGTGGCTCTCATGCATCGACTCACATCGGACTGTAGAGTGCATCTTTGAGGCGCCTGAAAAACAAACTCCAATTGTCCTTCTCTCTGCTCCCTGCTCCCTTCCTCCCCTTCCACCCCCTCCTCACCTTCCTCCCCTTCCTCCCCTTCCTCCCCTTCATCCCTCTCACCCCTTCCTTCCATCCCCCAGTCCCCCTTTGACTCCTCTGCTGTGGCACTCATGCACCGGCGCACATCAGAATCGAGAATGCATCTTTGAGACGCCTAGAACCCTTTCTCTTTTCCTTCCTCTCTCCTCTCCCTGCGCCCCTATTTCCTTCTTCTATTCACCAGTCCCCGTTTGACTCGTCTGCTGTGGCGCTCATGCACCGGCTCACATCGGAATCAGGAGTGCGTCTTTGTTTCATCTGAAAAGCAAACTCTGTTCCTCCGTATCTCCTCTCCCTGCGCTCTGTTCCCCGCCCCCTTTCCCCCCATTCTCTTTCCATCCACCAGTCCCCGTTTGACTCGTCTGCTGTGGCGCTCATGCACCGGCTCACATCGGAATCGGGAGTCCCCAGCCACCTGCACCCCACCGCGCTCTACTCATATGACATCATGCCGCCGCCCCGCACTGTAAGTGCTGGTGTGTTTTCCACTTGTTTGTAGCGAAATGGCTTAAATTGACCCCCCAGCCATCTGCACCCCACCACGCTCTACTCATATGACATCATGCCGCCGCCCCGCACTGTAAGTAGTGATGTGTTTCTTGCTGGTAACAAAGTGGCTTAAATCAGCTTTTTAGCCACCTGCACCCCACCGCCCCCTACTCAATGACATCATGCCACCGCCCCGCACTGTAAGTAGTGATGTGTTTCTTGCTGGTAACAAAGTGGCTTAAATCAGCTTTTTAGCCCCCTGCACCCCACCGCCCCCTACTCATATGACATCATGCCGACGCCCCGCACTGTAAGTAGTGATGTGTTTCTTGCTGGTAACAAAGTGGCTTTAATCAGCTTTTTAGCCACCTTCACCCCACCGCCCCCTAATCATATGACATCATGCCGCCGCCCCGCACTGTAAGTAGTGATGTGTTTCTTGCTGGTAACAAAGTGGCTTAAATCAGCTTTTTAGCCACCTGCACCCCACCGCCCCCTACTCATATGACATCATGCCGCCGCCCCGCAGCACTGTAAGAGAGTATTTGCTGGCTGACAAGGAGATAGCTTGAAATGAGTCCCTCTCATCTTCCCCCCCTGTGGCAGCTGGAGAAGGAGCTGGGGGAGAAGCGAATCATCGGCTTTCACGGCGTGGCATTTAGCGTGGGGGAGGAGTTGGACTTCGGTACCGTCACAGCTGACATTGAGGACCGCAGGGAGGTGAGCAATTGGTCTAAATTATCAAGATGTCCAAATGTTTACTATGCGGTTAGGAGATCAAGCTGTTTAGGGCTGAGTGTGGGGGAGGAGCTGGGGACTTCAGTGCTGTGATCGCTGGAATCGAGGACCAGAGGGAGGTGAGCGATTGGTCTGAATAGTTAAGCACTTGAATTGGTCCTGTCCTGTGTTTGAAGTGTAGTTGTGAGACGTCTCAAAACTACTCTTCAAACACGTGGCAGTTCAAGCACTTGAATGGGTCCTGTCCTGGGCAGGTGGAGGCGAGAGGAGTGATCTGTAAGAGGGTGGCTTGATGTCCCTTAAATGGGTGGTTTGAACAGTGTGGCATTGAGCGTGGGAAGGAGTTGGAGTTTTGTTCTGAAGTTGAGGACAGGACACGAGGGAGGTCAGCAATTGGTCAGATTAGTTCAATGAAACAATTTGGTCTACCAAGGAGCAGGCGAGCGTAGGTCATTGGAGCATAGTGGTTTGTTGAATGGGAAAGTTGTTACGGTGTTGTCACCGCTGAGACTGAGGACTGGAGGTGAGAAGAGGAAGGAGGCAAGGAGGGGAGGGAAGTGGGGAGACAGACAGGGCATCTGATGCAGACTCTAAGTGTCTTATCTTTCCTCATTCACTACCACTCTTCCGCATTCCCCCTCCCCCCTTCCCACTGCGCCCCTCACGTGCCCATCCTCCATACAAGCAGGCTGCGGAGAAGTACAGCGACGCGCTGTTTGCAGCAGTGGAGGAGCAATACGACCTGCTGGTGCAGGCGGTGCAGGAGAAGGGACTAGAGGCTTCCACAGATAAAGTCAAGCTGGAGCAAACGTGGCTGTAGTGGATATGGCACGTGGCTACAGCAGCGTGGGCTGTAGCAGAGGGGGCTGTAGCAGGTGCGGCTGTTGCAGTATGACCTGCTGGTGCAGGCAGTGCAGGAGAAGGGGCTGTCCACAGATACGGTACAGTCAAGCTGGAGCAGACATGGCTGTAGCTGATGCATGACTGTAGCTGATACGGCTGTAGCAGTTGTGGCTGGAACTGACATGGCTATTGTGGTTGGCAAGGGAGATTAGTACAGCGGCCCTGACTACACGCTAGGCGTTTTATTATTTCTATCTTGTTTTTTTAGTAAATGTAGGTCGCATTTGAGCTGCATTCAGTCAGTTCATGGTCATCACAAGAGTTTGACTGAAGAAGCTCTTTTATTTTTATACATCTGGTTTGTGACACTAACGAAGACTTGCAACAGGGTGACATACCTATCCAGGTAAAGGTCACAGCTGCCAGATTCAATAACTGCATGAACATTTGGGTTTTGGAAGAATTTGTATAAAATGAATGATATGTGAAAAAATAGGTCCGCCCTTGAAATTAAAGGTGCCTTTGTACTTGTTATCATTTTTGTAAGTACCATGAGAGAACTGCATCGCACATCTTAACCCCATCCACTCTAAGGCGATTCCAATATGGAAGTGCAATCACACAGTGTGCAATCCCCACTGGGATAAACACACCACTACCACTCCCTCTCTGCTGCACGCTTCGAACAAACTTCCCCACATTCTGCCCTGCCCACAGCGCTGCCAACTGTTCACTGCTAGTACACTCCTTACTCGCTTGTTTCGCCGATAAATACAGCGCCAGTTGCCGCGGCGAGCTGGCGGTCAGCGATTGGACGGTGAGGTTCGGGAGGAGCCGAAGCAGCTCGGCAACGCACCGAACTGAGTAGGTTTGGTTGTAGGGGTTAAGCTGGTTACCGAGCATTAGGGCCCGATAGTCGAAGAGAGAGTTGATGACATAGAGTGGGAGGGAGCGGGGGATGAAGGGCAGGGCGTATTGGGGGAAGAAGCAGTGCCATCGCTCACTTACAGAATGGGCTGCATGAGGGAGGGAATGTGATGTGGGGAGGCGAGGATAAGAAGGAAGAGTGAGTGAAAAGTGAGTGATGCAAAGTTTAGTTGGTTCGTTGGCTGGTCGGCGGGGATGAGCTGGTTACCAGGCATGAGAGCACGATAGTCGACGAGACAGAATTGGCGACAAACTGGGGGAGGGAACGAGGGATGGTTGGTGACGTCAAGCGTTTTAAGGTTTTTGAAGAGACTCAACTCAACCCTTACCTTGCGTACACTTGGTGCTGCCAGTGAACTTATGCAGAGCAACAATGTCCGACGCCATTCTCTGAAAGAACGGCTGCCCATAGCGATCGTTGGAATCTGCAGCGAAATTCAGACATTTGTGGGACGAATGAGTGGGCGGGGAGGGGTGGGGAGGAGTGGGAAGAGGTGGGGAGGGGCGTGAAAGGGTGAGAGGAGAGCGAGGGGGAGGGGTGGGAAGGGGGTTCAACAAAGGGGGTTCAACAAAGGGTGTTCCAGAAAACAGGTGTTGAAACTTGTGCAGAGTATCAACGTAAGAGGCCCTTCTCTGAAAGCTTCCCATCATCAAAATCAAGATCTAAGATTTGGCCAGTGAAGGCCAGACTCATCGAAATCATCAGAATCAAAATCTTGGGGCCCTTGGCTGGCCTTGCACTCAGGGCACAAGGGTGGTTATACACCGCTTAATACCCCTTATCACCACGTATTACCCCTTGTTACCCTGATGTCCATCTTCTCCCTTCACCTGCAAATGAGCCAGTGTGCATGAGGCATTTGATCTTCATTGCATTCGGCACACAAGGGTGGTGATACACCCCCTCAGTATCCCTTAGCACCCCTTTCATACCCATATTCACCGCACTCACCTGTAAAGGAGCCAGAGTCCATGAGACATTTGATCGTCTTTGCATTCGGAGCATACTCCCTCATGTGTTCACACAGTGCCAGCACCGTCTGCGCCCCTGCTGATTGGCCTGAATGGGAGGGGACGCAGGGCAGGCAGACGGCTTGAGTTGAGTTGACTTGCATTGACTTGCGTTGACTCGATCGTCTTGTCCATCCAAGCACGCTCATTCATGCGCTCATACAGAGTCGACTCACACATGACACGCCTAAGAATTATTGCTTATGAAGAAGGGCAGCAGTAGGATGGGTCGTGTCGTGTCCCATTGTAACGAGGTGACTTTTTGAGTCGACTCAGTATTCACCTAGGAGACGATAGTCATTCTAGCCGTGAGTCCTTGTAAATCCCTTGCAGGCCCTCCTGCTCTGCCCTCCGGTTTACCTATCCTCTCATCCTTTCTGTCAAAAGTGCCGTGTGCCATTGTAACGAGGTGACTTTTGAGTCGACTCAGGATACGATAGTCATTCTGCGAAAGCTTAAAGTTGAACCAATCAGTTGATTAGGGGGTGTCCAGCTCGTACATTTACTGTTCGTAAACCCCATCAGTTACCACATTTTTTGTGGTAACCCTGTATTGAACGTGTCCAGCGGACACAATCAGCTTTCGTTCACAAGACGGCACGCCCCCTGCACGTACCTAGAGTCGTCTGACTCACGTTACTGGAATCAGCAGGGACGCGAACAAGGGTACAGCGCCGCGTCCTGGCCACTACATTTCGTGCCCCTTGTATCGCTTGCATGATTTCGTCAGTGTTTCGCTTTACTCGCCAACGCCCCCTGCGCCTGCACAAAAATTCTCAAACTATGATTGACGAGGGAAACTGTTACCTCGTTTTCAGCGTGGTCAGAGCACTGTTGATTTGTGTGGCGGGGAATGTGTCCGCGCTTCTGAAATTACAAGATGGTTGGACTCCACTCACAATGCATTCGTTTCTAGGTACGGTGGTCATTTTTGAACCTCGATACGTGTGTTGGCACGTTAAATCCCGAAATGAACGAACTGGACACGCCCTTAGAGGAGGAACAAGCATACATAGGTTGGATGAGAAGCTTGAAGGGGAAAGGTTGGGTTGACCATAGGTTGGGTTGGCTTCACTTTGGGAGGTGAGGTAACCTAAGGTCAAGTGGGTTGGGTTGACCACACTTTGTGGGAAGTGAGCTAACCCAAGGCCCATTTAGGTTGGGTTAGCCTCACTGTTGGGAAGTGAAGCAACCTAAGGCCAAGTGGGTTGCATTTGGGGACTCCACCACAATTGGGTTGGATTGGCACCCCACAATGTAAGACTACACCCAAAGTTGGGTGTAGTCCCAACCCAACTGTACAACACAGTTGGTGTACAGTCACAAGTGTTAGCATGCTAGAACATATAATTCTAACACATTCCACCCGTCGGTCCGTGTGACGAGGAGACTTTTGAGTCGACTCAAAAGTCGCCCTTGCAGGCCCTCCTCCTGGCCTGCCCTCTGGCTTGCCCATCCTGTCATTCGTTCTGTCAAACGAAACACACCTGAAAACAACACAGCACGCATATGGCTGATAGCATTCCTTGTGCTTCCTTCACGTCTGTCAACACGGCTTTGATTCCATTCCACCAGTCCACCTTCCAAGTACATCCCTTGCAGGCCCTCGTTCACTCAAGTGGCAGCAATTGCTTTTGAGGCGCCTCAAAAGTCCCAAAAAGGCACAAAGAAAAGGCACCAACAGCAATGAAAAGGCAGCAATTGAATGACAACAGCACTCGAGTTTTGAGACGTCTCAAAAGGCAGCATTTGTGTGGCTGGTCCATCCCCATTAAATGACAACAGCACTCGAGTTTTGAGACGTCTCAAAAGGCAGCAATTGTGTGGCTGGTCCATCCCTCCACATTACCTGACAGCAACACTCGAGTGGCTGACTGCATTCCTCGTGCTTCCCTCACGTCTGTCAACACAGCTTTGACTCCATTCCACCCGTCCATGTAAATCCCGAAATCGTTATTCACTTTGACCCATCCCGCTGTAGTGCCTGGGAACCCTCATTACCTGACAGCAGCACTTGTGTAGCAGACTGCATTCCCCGGGCCTCCTTCACATCTGTCAATACGGCTTTGATGCCATTCCACCCGTTGCATGCTCTCGTTCACCCACATGCTCTTGTTCACCCACATGCTCTTGTTCACCCACATGCTCTTGTTCACCCACATGCTCTTGTTCACCCACATGCTCTTGTTCACCCACATGCTCTTGTTCACCCACATGCTCTTGTTCACCCACATGCTCTTGTTCACCCACATGCTCTTGTTCACCCACATGCTCTCGTTCACCCACATGCTCTTGTTCACCCACATGCTCTTGTTCACCCACATGCTCTTGTTCACCCACATGCTCTTGTTCACCCACATGCTCTCGTTCACCCACATGCTCTTGTTCACCCACATGCTCTTGTTCACCCACATGCTCTTGTTCACCCACATGCTCTCGTTCACCCACATGCTCTTGTTCACCCACATGCTCTTGTTCACCCACATGCTCTTGTTCACCCACATGCTCTTGTTCACCCACATGCTCTTGTTCACCCACATGCTCTTGTTCACCCCAAGCAAACTCATCAATCCGCACATATTACCTGACAGCAAGACCCGTTCGGCAGACTGCATTCCCCGTGCTTCCTTCACATCTGTCAGCACCGCTCTGATACCATTCCACCCGTCCATGTAAATCCCGAGGCTGTTGTTCACTTTGACCCACCCCGCCGTGCCCTGGAACCCCCCTCCATCACAGTAGATGGGCACGACGAGGTTCCAGTTGCGAAAGGCTTTGTTGACGAAAGGACCGGTGCTCAATATCCCCAGGTAAGCATAGGAGGCCTGAGAGAAGGGGGAAGGGGAGAAAGGGAAGGGGAGGGATGGAGGGAGGTAGTAAGGAAAGGAGAGGGAGGTGGTTGGGAGATGCATATATGTTGGTGCCTAACCCCCCTCCGTCGCAGTAGATGGGCACGACGAGGTTCCAGTTGCCAAAAGCCTTGTTGACGAAAGGACCGGTGCTCAATATGCGCAGGTAGGCATAAGAGGCCTGTGGTGGATTGGATGGAACCAGGGGGGTTATTGGGAAGGAGGGAAGCAGTAGATGGGTCAGACAAGGACCCGGAAAACCCCCCCGCCCCATCGCAGTAGATGGGCACGACGAGGTTCCAGTTGCGAAAAGCCCTGTTGATGAAAAGGCCGGTGCTTAGAATTCCCAAGTAGGCATAAGAGGCCTGCGAGTAACGGGTGGGGGGAGGGAGGGAGGGAGGGGAGGGAGGGGAGGGAGGGGAGGGAAGGGCCCAGGGTGCTGAAAAAAGCCCTCCCCCCCCTTGTCGCAATCGATGGGGATGACGAGGTTCCAGTTGCAAAAGACTCGGTTGATGAACGGACCCGTGCTTTGAATTCCCAAGTAGGCGTAAGAGGCCTGTGGTAGATGGAATACGAGGGATATGGGGAGGGAGGGAAGCAGTAGATGGGCACGACGAGGTTCCAGTTGCAGAAGACTCGGTTGACGAACGTCCCGTGCTTAGAATTACCATCTCAAATAGGCGTATGATGCATATGGTGCATGGAATAAAGAGAACAGAAGGATTGTCCTCGGGTCTAGAGGACCCGAGGAACGTGGTGCTGCCATTTGCACACACGCTGGTCAACGTGGGTCAACGCACTCACGTAATGCCTCGGTCAGCACTGGTCAACGCGGGTCAATGGACTCACATTGCTGTACGGACGGATTGTCTTTCTGGAGCTCGGGTTTAGAGGAGCCAAGAAAGGTGGTGCTGCGATTCGCACACGCGGAGAGGGTGGAGCACCAGCCGCCAGGGGGCAGGTGGATGTGGGTATGCCTCGGTCAATGCTGGACAAAGCTGGTCAACAGTGGTCAACGCTGGTCAATGTACTCACATTGCTGTAAGGGTTGTCCTTCTGAAACTCAGGCTTGGAGGACCCTAGAAAGGTGGTGCTGCGATTGGCACACGCGGAGAGGGTGGAGCACCAGCCGCCGGGCGGCAGGTGGATGTGCCACGACGACGCACCATTGCGGAAGCCGGGGCGGAAGTAATATCCGGGAGGGCTGCGGGGAAGTGGGGAGGGATGGGGGATACACGGGCACAGAGAGAGGGGAGAAGATCACATACGGTGGGAGGGTGGAGCACCAGCCTCCAGGCGGCAGGTGGATACCAGCCACGACGACGCACCGTAGCTGAAACCAGGGCGGAAGTACTATCCGGGGGGGCTGGGGTGGAACGGGGGAGGTGATGCAGGGGATAGAGGGAACGGGGAACGGAGGAAGGGGAGAAGGGAACGGAGAGGAAGTGAGCGGGAGACTGAGACAGGACGCGAGGAGCAGCACCGTCCTTTGAGGCGCCTCAAAAGACAGGACGCGAGGAGCAGCACCGTCCTTTGAGGCGCCTCAAAAGACAGGACGCGAGGAGCAGCACCGTCCGCCGGGAGGCAAGCAGATGTGCCATGATAACGCACCGTAGCCAAGACCAGGCGCGGAAGTAATACCCGGGGGGGCTGATAGAAAATGGGGAGCTGATACCCTTTACGCGAATGACGGGTTACCTTCCGTCGAGGCACGTGGCGTTGTATCGGTCGTTGGGAAGCACCATTACAAGCACGCTCGGTACCGTTACTGCGACTTTCCTCTGAGTCAAACTCGTACCTTCCGTCGAGGCACTTGGCGTTGAATCGGTTGTTGGGAAGCAACAATGGCGACACGACTGGTACCGTTACCGCAGCTTTTCTCGCGGTTCGCGTCGATTCGATCCCCGCTGTAAGCCGACCCGTTAACGCGAGCAGCAAAACGACTGCCAGTACGGAAAATCTACGCCGGAAAACGCCGACAACGGCCACGTCTGTCCCCGTTACAGCCTTCCTCGTTATGAGTTTCCTAAACGACTGTAGACTCGCTGATCGTCTTCCTTCTTCTACTTCATTGATCGCGTTCAATGATGGTGATTGGGAGGAACACGTGACAGATGGCGAGGATCCTTGTAACGCGGAGATTAGCCCTCTACCGCTAAAGAAATAAGTAAATGAAGCCGTTGCGATCGGAAATAAATTTTCGACAATCGGAAATGCTTGTAAACGTAACAGTGGTTGGGCGCCACGTTTGGCCGCCATTCGCGGCAGAATCGGTAGTTAAAACCGAAATCATGTGCGATCTCGAGCTTTGCAAGGTCTCGCGATTGACGGAGGAACAGGAACCGATAGCACGCCTAGATTAGAACTGAGCGGGTAAAACAAGCTCTCGAAAACAGCAAAGGGAGGCCTTGATTGAGAAATTGTTCTCCAAAAGAAAATAGCACCGCACAACACGGCATTAGTAGGTGTGGTACAAGCTGTAGCTGACCCCAGAACGTAAGTCTGGCACAAGCGTTCAACCAATACCTAGCACACGGCATGACACTAGGTATCGTAGAAGGATGCGTGCTGCATTTTATTTCCTGGTTCTGCTCGGTCTGCTACACTATCATCGCGTTTTCGTACGAGGCAGAAGCTTTCTGCGCGGTTCTGCATTCTTGTACAACATGTCTCGTTGTCGGTGTGGGGAGGTTCCAAAGTTGCGCGGCGCGGGTGAGCAAATGTGGCTGGTGTGATCCATTCGCCACTATAACGGGGCCCAACGCCAGGGTGAACGGGGATACAGAAATGAGTTATTTGTGCTACTATTCACCCTTTCACCCAATGACCGTATAATCCAGTCTGAGTGTGAGACGGAGTTGAACGTGCAACCCTAGACCAGAATGGCAGTTTCAGTTCGTCTTTCTCAAAATACCAAGTTTTTCACCCTGCAACCAACACTTTTCGACGACACAAGGAGCGGATTTCACCAGAGCTGCCCTTGAAATTGCTATTGTGAACGAAGTGCTGTAAATTTCACCCTTCCAACCGACAGTGTTGTAAAGAGTATAAACTGTTGCCCCACTATGCGCACGGAAACGGAGAAACATTCCGAATGTGCTACATTGAAAACGCTCTGCATCAACAGGCGAATTTCTAGGAGTGCAGGCTGACATGCGTGTGTGCAATCAATTTCTCAATTAATCACCTTTCTTCCTGCTCTGTACAGTTCTAAAACATAATCGCAGCTGCTCTGCACAGTGCCGAGAAACATTATGGCAATTACTCACTCAAGTTCCCCACAATCCTTACTAATGTCATCCTCACTATCATCCCAGTCAACCTCTATCTCCACAGTAGCTGCGTGCAGCTTATCCAAGCCCGTTATTTTCTCCAGATACGTGGGATCGTTGAACGCTTCCATAAGGAAAGCAAACCCACGTTCCCTGTATGCTGAAACCACCTGCGGTAAGGAAAACAGGGTGGTTGAGAGCAGGAATAGAGGTCGTGAAAGAGAGGAGATACGAAGGAAACAGGGGATGCATGTGACAATAGAAGGGGATGTGAGATGCTGGGAGGCATAAGGAAGAAATAACAGAGGCAGTAAACTCACTGTCGGGGAACAGGCAATGCACTGGTCGAAGGCGAAACCAGTAATGCGCAGCTGGTTGGAGGAGAGGAAGCCGCGCGGCTGGGAAAGAGATAACTGAAGCAGCGAACTTTCCGTAGAGGAGCGAGCGTTGCACTGGTGGGAGGCGAAATACTGCTTCTTGTAATAACTTACATAGTTGATCAATGTAAGATTTTTTGTAAGCATCCTCTTAAATATCAGTGATTTCCTTTTTTTTTAATGCCATAAGGGATGGGCAGCTGGGAAAAGGAGGCGAGGAAGCCGAGGTAACTAAAGCAGTACACTTACTGTGGGCGAGCAGGCAGTGCACTGGTGGAAGGCGAATCCAGATGGGTAACTGGGAAAAGGAGGAGAGGGAACCACAGAGCTGGTGGGGCATGCATGGGATACCTGAAGGAGTGAACTTACTGTGGGCGAGCAGGCAGTGCACTGGTGGAAGGCGAATCCAGATGGGTAACTGGGAAAAGGAGGAGAGGGAACCACAGAGCTGGTGGGGCATGCATGGGATACCTGAAGGAGTGAACTTACTGTGGGCGAGCAGGCAGTGCACTGGTGGAAGGCGAATCCAGATGGGTAACTGGGAAAAGGAGGAGAGGGAACCACAGAGCTGGTGGGGCATGCATGGGATACCTGAAGGAGTGAACTTACTGTGGGCGAGCAGGCAGTGCACTGGTGGAAGGCGAATCCAGATGGGTAACTGGGAAAAGGAGGAGAGGGAACCACAGAGCTGGTGGGGCATGCATGGGATACCTGAAGGAGTGAACTTACTGTGGGCGAGCAGGCAGTGCACTGGTGGAAGGCGAATCCAGATGGGTAACTGGGAAAAGGAGGAGAGGGAACCACAGAGCTGGTGGGGCATGCATGGGATACCTGAAGGAGTGAACTTACTGTGGGCGAGCAGGCAGTGCACTGGTGGAAGGCGAATCCAGATGGGTAACTGGGAAAAGGAGGAGAGGGAACCACAGAGCTGGTGGGGCATGCATGGGATACCTGAAGGAGTGAACTTACTGTGGGCGAGCAGGCAGTGCACTGGTGGAAGGCGAATCCAGATGGGTAACTGGGAAAAGGAGGAGAGGGAACCACAGAGCTGGTGGGGCATGCATGGGATACCTGAAGGAGTGAACTTACTGTGGGCGAGCAGGCAGTGCACTGGTGGAAGGCGAATCCAGATGGGTAACTGGGAAAAGGAGGAGAGGGAACCACAGAGCTGGTGGGGCATGCATGGGATACCTGAAGGAGTGAACTTACTGTGGGCGAGCAGGCAGTGCACTGGTGGAAGGCGAATCCAGTGATGGGCAGCTGGGAAAAGGAGGAGAGAAAGCCCCGTAGCTGGTGGGGCAGCGGACCGAGAGGCGAGCAGAGGTTGGCGGAGGTGGAAGTGGAGGAGGAGGAAGAAGGAAAGCCATCGGCAGAGGTGTCCTCTGCTGGTGCTGCAATTCTGAGTGGTGTTGGGCAGAGATGAGAGGGGGTGAGAGGGGGCGGGAGGGAACAAGAGTGGGAATGAGCCACAAGTGCACGATGAGAGAAAAGTAGCGAACCAGAAACTCCAAAACACCCTCAACGACTCATCCTGAAGGATGGTGCATATAGTAAGTCGATATTTGAGTCGACTCAAAAATCGACTTACTAACACACGACTCATCCTGAAGGATGGTGCATAAGCCCCAGCCAAGACCGAGGCCCTAATACTTTTGAAACGGCTCAACCCTAGAGGGTGATGCAGCAGCCCCACTAACAGCTCCACTGTAAGAGCCCCCACTATGACTGCCAGGCCACTCACATACTCCTTCCAACCGCACCAAATGTATCCCTGTTCCTGTGGTAACCTGCTACGTTCATACCCAAGAGCCCTGAGGGCTTATCCCAGGGCATGGTGCAGCAGCCCCACCAATAGCTCCCCTGTCAGAACCCCCGCTGTGGCTGTGAAATCACTTAACTGCCCCTAAAACCCACCCATGCTTCCAGGCCAGTACACTGCTCCGTCAACTCCAGACTGTCCCCCTGTAACCCGCTACGCTCAAGCCCACGACCCCACTAACACTGGAATTGAACGGCTCACCCCAGGGGATGGTGCAGCAGCCCCACCAATAGATCCTGTCAGCCCCCCCTATGGCTGTCAGCCCACTCACTTGCCCCTTCCACCCTGCTGTAAACCGCCATACACATTACAGCCAGCCCTTACCCCAAGGGATGGTGCAGCAGCCCCACCAACAGCTCCTCTGCCATTGCCCCCGCTATGGCTGCCTGGCCATTCAGCTGCCATTCCTACACTTAAACCCAATACATCTGAGCGCTTACCCCAGCGGATGGTGCAGCACCCCCACTAGCAGCTCCACGGCCAGAGCTCCTGCTATAGCGGCCAGGCCAGGGCGCGTGACTGTGCACTGCTGGTCTAGCGTGCGATGAGCTGTGGACTGGTGGGAAGGTGATATGGGAAGGGAAGGTGCAGAGACGAAATGATGGAGGTGACTGGGTAGAGCAGCACACAGAGCAAGGCAGCTAGAGCCCCACCAGCAGCTCCACTGCCAGAACCCCTGCTATTGCTGCCACGCCAGGGCGGGTGACTAAGCACTGCTGGTCCAGCGTGCGATGAGCCGTGGACTGGGGGGGGGAGCAACGGAAAACGCAGGAAGCGTAGGAGAAGCAATGAGGGAAGGAGAACCGGTTCCCTGCTGTGGCTTCCAGGCCAGAGGCGGGTGAATGTGCACACCATATCCCGCTATAGGCTGAGGTGGGGAGCAAGTGCACACCAAGGCAGCAACGCACAGAGCAAGGCAGCCAGAGCCCCAGCTATGGCTGCCAGGCGAAAGCGAAAGCCACATTGAGGGGAACATGCAGAGGAAGCTCACAAGAAGAAGGGGACTCTTTAGGGTGCTGCTCGAAGAGAGCCGTTAATATAGGAGTCTCGGGAGTTGCATAAAGATGAAATGAGGCAGAACGAGGCTCACATTGGGGGGAGTCACTTTTGAGATTTCTCAAAAAAGGTGCATAAAGGAGAAGTGAGGCAGAGAGAGACTCACATTTAGGGGGGCAACGACATCGATGCAGAAGTAGCAGCCGAGACGGTTGGATGGTCGTGTGTGCGGTGTGGTGAAGTGTGGTGAAGTGTGGTGGAGTGCGGTATAAGGGCAGGGAGGTCGTTGGGAAGCTGGTGGCATCGAGAAGCAGCAGGGCAGAGGACACGAGCGGAGGGCAGCTCACATTGAGAGGGGCGACAACATCGTTGCAGAAGTAGCAGCCAAGGCGCTTGGATTGCGCTGACTCAGACGCTGCTGGTGCTGACTCAGACGATGCGGGTGCTGACTCAGACGCGGCTGGTATTGACATGGCATGCAGAGGCGGCAGCGGTGCCCCGTGGCGCATGACAAGGAAGGAGTCGAAGCCGAGAGCAGCGTTGATGGCCACCTGTGAGTGAGGGGCGTGGCGTGGTGGGGTGTGGCATGGTGGGGTGTGGTGTGGCATGGTGGGGTGTGGTGTGGCATGGTGGGCTGTGGCATGGTGGGGTGTGGCGTGGCACAGTAAGTAATGGTGGTGTGGCATGGAAGGGAGTGCAGGTGCCCCGTGGCGCATGACGAGGAAGGAGTCGAAGCCGAGAGCAGCATTGATGGCTACCTGTGAGTGAGGGATGTGGCATGGTGGGGGGGCCATGGTGGGGTGGGGTGATGCATGGAAGGGAGTGCAGGTGCCGTGTGTGTGGCGCATGACGAGGAAGGAGTCGAAGCCGAGGGCAGTGTTGATGGCCACCTGTGAGGGGTGTGGTAAGGAAAGGATGGTATGGGAGGGACGGTATAACGGGGTGTGGCATGGAAGGGAGTGCAGGTGCCCCGTGGTGCATGACAAGGAAGGAGTCGAAGCCGAGAGCAGCATTGATGGCCACCTGAGTGGATCGTCGCATCGGATGGATTGGATGGACTACATTCAAGTCCAAACCCCTGAACCTTCAACCCTCATCTTCCCGTCTCCAGCGCACAGCAGGGTGGGCAGCCAGCGGCTCTCCCTCAACCCCCACTCACCTCCCCCTCACCCAACCCCAGTCCCTAAAACCCTGAACCACGCCAACCCCCCCCTCCCCCTCACCTTCCCCTCACCTTCCCCTCCCCTTCCCCTCACCTTCCCCTCCCCTTCCCCTCCCCTTCCCCTCACCTTCCCCTCCGCCGCGCAAAGCAGGGTAGGCAGCCAGCGGCTCTCCCGTGTGTCCGTGAGGAGGAACACAGCATCTGATTGGCGGATGAGTGCCAGCAAGGCTGCCACGTCAGCCTGCACACGTGGCGCCTCGGAGGGCGACACGGGGTGACCTGGCATGGGGATGGCGAGGCGATGGCCAGACGTGCGCTGGGCGTGGAAGAAGAATGTGGGAGGACGTGGTGATTAAAGCCAGGGTCTCAAGTAGACCAAGTGCTTTGCAGTCGATGAAAAACGGGCCTGTCTGATTGGTTTACAAATTTGGGGCCAAAGTTTTGACAAATCGATACTCTCCAAAGAACCCACTTTTCGCCCAAGTGCTTTGCAGTTGCACGGCCAACCCGTACATGAGACCCTGGCTTTAAGACTTCAGGTTCAGGGTTCAAGAATTAAGGGTTTAGGGCTGGCTATTGGATGTTGAAGGGGGATGGTTTGTGGAAGGCTGGATAGGAAGAATCCAAGGAAGGTGTGAATGAGTGTGGATGGGGGGAGCGTGTTTGAAGAAGTGCTTTGAGACGTCTCAAAACACTTCTTCAAACACGTGGCAATCCAAGGAAGGTGTGAATGAGTGTGGATGGGGGGAGCGGGAATGCATCAGCAAAGCATCTGCAAGTTGGATACGGAGAATTAGCGAGAATTAGCGTAAACCAACTTGTGAGAATGGAGGGGGGAGTGTGGGAAGCATCTGCACGAATCGAATTCAAGTGAAAATCTTGCGCTTGAACTCAACTATTTAAATCTCACACTCACAGCAGTGGGAAGAATCTCCTTGAGTGCGTCTGCTGCTGCCTGCACCTTTGGAGCGCCACCATTCAGGCAGTTCTTTTGGGTGCTTCATCTTACTGGCTTTTAACATCAACACCACACCACACCACACCACACCACACCACACCACACCACACTCACAGCTGTGGGGAGAATCTCCTTGAGAGCTTCTGCTGCCGCCTGTGCCTTTGGCACCCCGCCATTCAGACAGTGCTTGAGAGAGAAGAGGCACTGCCGCACAGGGTTAGAATACGAAACCGCCCCGTAGTCCACGAGGGTAATGTCTCGAATGCCCCAAGCCTGGCGGGTTCAAATTAAGGGGGAGTGGTGGGATGGCAACAAGCGTGTGAGAAATGAGGGGGAAAAAGACTCAAACTCAAACGTCCTCAAGGGGGAGAGATGAGAATGTGAGAAAAAGACTCAACCCAACAGCAAGTGAATTGCGAGTTCGTTTCTTGAGGCGCCTAAAAAATCGAGTTTGTTTCAAGCGCTTCAAATCACTGGACGTCTTTGAAGTGATTCAAAGCAAGTGCTTCGCTTCGCTCGTTCTCCTGCGCTATTCTCGAGCTAGCAAGCAAGCCACCGGACACCTGACCTGAGAGAGTGCCAGCCAGCCCTTAGCAGCACGCATTTTGTCGCATTCAGCCTGTCCAGCTGCAGCTGAGGCAGCACGCACACACCACCTCATCAGCTTCAGGTTGAGCGTCGATGACCCACTGAAGGGAGGTTGTTGGAAGGAAGGCCTTTCCTTACCAGCAGAGAGCGAGCCACTTGGTACCCGAGCGTGCCAGCTCCAGGCAGAAAGCACTCGGTTGCCTGGGCCTTCTCCTGCTGCAGCTGAGGCAGCACGCGCCACCTCATCAGCTTCAGATTGAGCAACTCTGCCCTACTGAAGTGAAGCTATTGGAAGGAGGCTTTTCCTTACCAGAAGAGAGCGAGCCACTTGGCAACCAAGAGTGCCGGCCCCCAACAACAAACACTTTGTTGCATTCAATCGTTCCAGCTGCAGTTGTGGCAGCACGCGCCACCTCATCAGCTTCAGGTTGAGCGACGCCGCCTCGTCTGCCAGCCTGGCAGGGTCCATCAGCGGCGCCAGGTCAGCGCACCGCGCCCCGGTTCGCCCCTTGGCGTTCAGCTCCCAGCCAGTGGCGGATGGACACGTGGCAGGTGCTGTGAGAGGGTTCAGCCAATCAGCTGGGAGGGGGAAAGGGAGAGAAAATACCCAGAAACGTGCACTAGTTTCTTTTAAGCATTTTCCATACTTAAGATTTGCCGCTCTCGTTAAGAGTGAAGACCCAAAGAAAAAATGCTTGCCAAAAAGCAACCCATGGTTATTCAGAATGCCTAGGCGGTAAAAACTGGACGAGCGTAGTGGAAGTCGCACCTGAACGTCTGGGGGAAGTGGTATCTGTCTGGACGTGCCTGGGGGAGGTGGTATTTGGACGTGCAGCAGCAGCGAGTGGTGCAGGCTGATGCGGCCGTGGCGCTGGCGTAGGCAGAGGACGGGAAGAGAGGTGGCCTGGGGAAGTGGAATGGGGGGTACAGAAGGGAGGTGTGCGGCTGTGAGTGGTGCATGGTGAGATGAAGCGAGTGGTGAAGGCTGATCCGACCGTGTCGCTGGCGCAAACTGAGCACATGGAGGGACGTGGCCTGGGCGGGATAGAAGTGTGAGAAGGCACGAAGGGGTATGGCAGTGGGGGGTTGGATGGAGCGAGGTCAGCAGCGTGTGGTGCAGGTTGATCCGACCGTGCTGCTGCCACAGGCAGAGCACATGGAGGGAGGAGGCCTGGAGAGTAGATTGAGGGGTAAGGGACAAAGGGGTGTGGCAGTGGGGGTTTGGATAGAACAAAGGTTACAAGTGATTGGTGCCAGCTGATACGACCGTGGCGCTGCCGCAGGCAGAGCACGTGGAAGGAGGTGGCCTGGGAAGGGATAGGGGGGGGGTTGGATGGGGAATGGTATGCAGGCTGATTCGACTGTGCCGCTGCCACAGGCAGAGCACATGGAGGGAGGTGGCTTGGGAGGGGGAGAAAGGGACAAGACAAGGGAGGGGCGGAGAGGGTGAAGGGGATGAAAAACATAAAGTAAAGGGCAACAGGTGAGGGAGGGGAGGGGTGAGGGGGATAAATAACATAAATTAAAAATGGTGTCCAGGCTGATGCAACCATGCTGTTGCCGCAGGAAGAGCACATGGAGGGACGTGGCCTGAGAAGGTGGAATGGGGGTACAGAGGGGAGGTGTGCGGCTGTGAGTGGTGCATGGTGAGTTGAAGGAAGTGGTGCAGGCTGATCCGACCATGGCGCTGCCGCAGGCAGAGCACACGGAGGGAGGTGGCCTGAGAGGGAGAGAAGGGGGTACGAGACAAAGATAGACCCAAAGGGGCGGTGCAGCAGAGAGGGGACGGCTGGAGCGGGCTGTCGTTGCCTCAGGCAGAGCACATGAAGAGAGGTGGGCTGGGAGGGAGGGGGAGTGGGGGGGAGAGCAGAAAGTGTGTCGGATGGAGAAAGGTAAGAAGTGCAGCAGCCAGCCACCCATGTAGGCTGGTCCGGCCATGCCCGTGCAGCAGCCAGAGCAGTAAATATGGACTGCTCTGGCTGACATGGACATGGAGAAGGGGGTGCAGAAGGGGGTGCAGAAGGGGGTGCAGACTGATCCAACCGTGTTACTTCCGTGATCAAAGGACATGGAGGGAGGTGACCTAGAGGGAGGGATGGAATGGAGGGGGGAGCGAGAGAGGCAGATGGCAGGGATCGAAGAACGCGAGGAGGAGACAAGGTGGAGGGGGGAAAAGAGGAGGAACAGAGGAGCACGGTCACTGACATGCCAGCGAAGAGAGGCCAGGAGAAGCAGGTTGCGGAGAGACCAGCCGGGGGAGAGAGGGAGATGGTAGGCGGGAGAGGAAAAAAGGACCGTTTGAAAGAGAGGAGGGGTGGGGGGGGGGGACGAGCGATGTTACTGACCTGCCATCGCAGGGATGCGAGGAGAAGCAGGTTGCGGAGGGGCCAGCCGGGGGAGAGGAGCAGATGGCAGGGGTCGAAGAACGCGACGAAGAGACGCAGAGGAGCAGAGGTTGAAGAGGAGGAGAAGGATTCGTTTTGAGATGCCAGACGCCTGTACTCTGATAAAGGATGTGCTTTTACTGAGGGCTCTGCTGAGGTGGTGGAGTGTACATGGAGAAGGAAGAAAGGGGAGCCTCTCTCCACTAGTGTTGTTTCCAACACACATTTTTCTTCAATAGCTGCTGCTGCTGCACTGTCTGCTGCTCCCACTCCGCTCCTTCCCTCTTCATCCTGTCCCTCGCTGCCCCTCTGTTGGCTTCCCTCTGAGTCTTCCCCTGACTCAGCTTGCCCTCCCTTAACTGGACCCTCCTCTACGTTTTCCCGCCCTCCCTCTGGACTTTCAGCCTTGCCAATCTGTGCTGGTTCTTCCTCCCCCCTTGCCCCTCTCCCATTACCATCTTGTCTCCATCGCTCACATTCCTTCTCAATCTCCTCTGCCTGTATGGTAGGTGGGAGGAACGGGAGGGGGTGAAAGAGGTGGGAGGAGGATGAAAGACGACTGGTTACCCAAATTCAGGGTTTAAGGTTTGGTCTCTTCTACACTGCCTCCTTCGATTCGTAAGCATCTACTAATGGTCTTTGATTCGTGCTCCACCTCGCACACACACACACACACACGAAGAAGCACGAGCTGGGTAGAAAAGAGGAGCCAAAGGATAGGGAGAGGACTCGTGAGGAACACTCAAAAGTCGAAGTGAGAAGGCCTGAGTTGGAGGCAGACGGGGGGGGGAGACGAGGGTGGCAGGGGAGGGAAAGCGAGAGAGGGGAGACGTGAAAGTGACGCAAAGTCAGTTGAGGCAAGAAGAGGAGCCAGCGGATAGGATAGGAGCACTCACTCACCAGTTGGGGAGAAAAGGCTTCTGTTGCAGGGAGAGGCGGGGAGGCGAGGGTGGCAGGTGAGGGGAGGGCGAGTGCGGGGAAAGCGAAGGCGTAGTGGAAGCGCCAATGCTTGATGTCCGGGTAGACAAGCAGGAAGAAGGCGTTGAGGAGAGACGGTTGACGCTCTGCCTTGCCGGATAGCATGTCATGCCAGAGCTGATGAGAAGTGGGTGTGGGGGGAGAGGGAAAAGGCACAGAAGAGGGGGAATTGGCGATGAAATACGACAAAGGCCTGTAGAATTGATGTGGTAGAAAGATGCATGACAGAGAGATGCATGACAGAGAGATGCATGACTTTGTAAAGAAAGAATGGTTTATTAGTCGACTAAAAGAACAATCTGATGGAGATGATGGAGGACGCATGGATAACTAACGGTGAGAGGACATTGAAAGAAAGGACTTCTGTTTTTCAGGATAAGTTTGCGTGACAATTTCATCCACAATTCACCCTATTCCCCTCACTTCTTGCCCGATCCTCCCTTCCCTCCCCCCTCACACACACTCAGTCAGTTCACGCTCATCCCCTCACCTGCTGAGCCACTCTCTCCATCATCCTCCGCCGGTCAAACGCTCGAAATGACTCCACTACGATCACAGGTCCCCTTACCCCCATCTCACTCACCTGCAGCCAGCCGTGCGGTAACCGCACGCAGTGGTAACCACACATTCACATGCACGCTCTCATTCTCACCTGCTGAGCCACCCCCTCCATCATCTTCCGCCGGTCAAACGCCCGAAACGACTCAACTGAGCTAGCAATCCGAAGCAACCCCCCATTGCCTCACACCATGCTGCTGCCATCACTGGTTGTCCGTCACCACACTAATAACCAGGCTGATAACCACTCTGGTAACCATGCTGATAACCGAATTGATAACCACACTAGTAACCACACATTCAGCCTCACCTGCTGTGCCACCCCCTCCATCATCTTCCGCCGGTCAAACGCTCGAAACGACTCCACTGTGTTGGCAATCCGTAGCACCCCTGCCACGACGCTCCTGCCATCACTGGTAACCACACTGCTGCTCTCATTGCTGCTGCTCCTGCTGCTGCTGTTCGCAACACCTGTGCTGCTTGCACTAGTGATGTGACCTATGCCACTGACAGCGCTGCTGCTGCCAGCAGTAGTGGTGAAGTCAACAGCGGCGGCGACCTTGGCAGGGGTGGTGACGTCAGCAGTGGTGACGTCAGAATTGTTGGTGGTATCAGCCGGTTGGATAAGATGGAAGCGAGGAGGCGGGGCCGGGGAAGGGGGGAATGAGGCGGAGGAGAGGGAGAGGAAGGAGGAGAGCTGAGAGTGTGAGGATGGAGTGAAGAAACCTGTGAGTGAGAAAATAGATTGGGAGAAATATACACAGGTTGAAGAGGCAAAAGAAGGGGATCATAAAAGAATACATCAAGGACGAAGGCATATGCCGCTGATAACCCGAAACAGATAGATTGACCCAGACTTCCTTGTTTCATAAAGAGCTATGAATTCCCCCCCCCCCCCCCCCCCCCTTCTGTAAGGAACCGCCGATAATACCACCAATAAGAAAATTAATTCAGAAACATCTGTCGTTATTTTGCAGCTCAAATCGTATCTTCAGCCAGCGGCACCCAGCCTACCATGAATTGCCACGTCTTCCTCTTTCAGGCCTTGCGAATCGACCTTCAGCGACGCGAGTTTTTCCCAGAACGACAAGTCAACGGAGCTCTGCCACGTGGCGAACTGCAGGATGGATGACGTGGCCTCACCCGCCATTCTGCGCTATTACGCAACGCCTTACTATCAAATTGATATCAGAACTCACGTAAGATAAGCTGTACGTAGCCTAGGCGTGACCACAGGATGTACAAATCAGAAAAAAAAGTTCAGTAGAGTATCATACACACGATTACAGTAAGATACACAGTATTTCACTAACTATTGTAACGATCATTAATCTGTACAGTAGGCTGTGTGGGGGTACTTCGAACGAATGCGCTGCGCCGTAAGCAGGAAGCCGAGCGCCCAACGGTTTCCAGCTATCAGTCAACTAAATCGCAAGCGAGGGATCAGCCTTCAAATAGTTCACTAAATGAGTAAAGGATGGCAGACAGACCAAAAAGGGGTGAAAGAATCTGACAGCCGCGTTTGCAGTTGTTCGTTCAGGGATCTTGAGTCGCTCGACGTAAAACTACTAGGGAAAGATTTGACCAATCATCTCGCATTACGGTTTACAGAAACACCCCGCTAAGTCACTCAGTACGTATTCAACACGGTTGCGACCTGAAAGTAGACCGAACCTGCAATAATGAACGGGTCGTGAGATTCAGCATGACTGATAGTCACCGGTCGCGAGTTGCTTAGTAGGACTCAGAAGCATGTACTGATAAAGTTTATAAGCTGTAAAGCATGTAACAAGAACAGACTAAGAAAAGAGCTAATCTGTGAAATTAGGGCATTGATGATATACAACAGTTTTATTGCACAGGCTGGAGCTCGTACACAATGAATATACTTCTAATAGAACTGCACATAACATCACAGAGCAACCCCTTCAATCATGGGACATGACCAAGTCCCATCGCCACAACCAGCCATCGTCATCACAGCTCATTATTATACTGCAAGGGGGTTCACAGAAGGGATGGTTAATTTAGTTGTTTTCTGACATGTACAAGCATGTGTAGCAGCAGAACTTGGAAGTATATGGAGACAGAGTGTGAAAAAAAGTCTGACACATGCACCTACTAAAAAAAGTGGTCCCTGCGCTAACCTGCCATCATGTGACACGGCTGTTTGTCTTATTTGTGTTTTACAGTCCTTCCGTGAAAGCCTGCTCGGAATTGGGACGGGTGAAAACTGTCACAGGCATTGGCACGATCATCAGGTGGTAATCATCTCGGAAAAAAAGGGGAAGAAAAAAAAAAGTAGACCCTAAACCCATCTTATGCATACAACACCACACAACACCTAGACGTGCCATGCCACGACAGGCCTTGAACACTGACATTGGTGCCAAGTCATGCCCATCCCACTAACATCGGTGCCATGCCATGTCATGCCCATCCCACTTACGTGCTGAGGAGAATGGGCGGGCTTGATTGCAAGTCGTATACAAACACCTTGCCCACACAGTTGCCTGCGGTGATGGTGATGGGTGGCATAGTAACAAACGGATGCATGGGATGGTGTCTGTAAGAGTGAATTGATTGCAGGACGTATACAAACACCTTGCGCTCACAGTTGCCTGCGGTGGTGGTGATGGGCAGAGATGGTGGTGGTGATGGGCAGAGATGGTGGTGGTGATGGGCAGAGATGGTGGTGGTGATGGGCAGAGATGGTGGTGGTGATGGGCAGAGATGGTGGTGGTGATGGGTGGCATGGTAGCAAACGGATGCATGGCATGGTGTCACTGAGAGCGAATGGGAGGGCTCAATCGCAAGTCGTACACACACACCTTGCCCACACAATTGCCTGACGTGGTGGCAAAGGGTGGCATGGGATACATGATATGCCACGATGAATCGATTGAATCTTATGGTGTAACAATTGAACAGGAAAAATATACTGAACACCGAAACAAAAAGGAAAGTTGGCAATAAATAAACGAAGGCATACCTAAAGCCATGCTGTTGGCCATATAGTCACGATCAAACTTAATGAACCAGGGGGTGATGACTAAGCAAAATTAAACAAAGACAGGTATGACAGGAAATGGTTCCTATGGCCATGATGTTGGCCATGAAGTCAAGATCAAACTTAATGAACCAGAATCCACAGTCCGGCACTGGGTAGCGTTGCAGAATGTCCAAGTGTCCCTGGGATGGCGGGATGGCACATAGACACGCAAACGTATTGTATGCACCAATCAACGGGTGGCTGTGCAGAAAGCGCTGCAGAATATTCAAGTGTCCCTCGGATGATGGCAGGATGGCAAGATGGCAGATAGTAGTATGATTAATGAGGGTGCAATACTTTCATCAACAAGGTACAACAGATGCATACGCATGCATCAACCGAATTGGAGGTGTGATGGTTTAATTTACAGGGAACCTCACATAATCTGGTGTGATGGCATATCTTGCAGCGCTCAAACTCACTCCCGCTCTTCATCTTCGCTTTATTGATGACGGGCTAATTCTCTGGGAGGGAACAAGAGCGGAGTTCGAATGTTTACGGCAACGGTTTGATTCACTTCATCCTTCCATCCGACTGACATGGGTTGTTTCGGAAACCACAATGGATTTTCTGGACTTGACAGTTTTTAAGGGGCAGAGATTCTCGACTTCTGGTACTCTCGACATGAAGCTGTATCAGAAGCCGATGAACCGGTATTTGTACCTGCCTTTTAAGTCTTATCACACTCGGTCTACTAAAGTCGGCTTCATCCGGAGTGAGCTACAAATGTTTCTCTTACGCTCCTCCTCCCGTACTGACTTTCTCAACTCCCGCGCTTTATTCTTCGCTCGTTTACGAGCACGTGGGTACCCGGAGAAATTTCTCCTCCCAATCTTCAAGTCAGTCCTCTTCGCTAACTGTGGGGAACTACTCCAGCGTGCCTCTGCTATCCATAACTCCCAAACCCGTGGCCCCCTGGTGCTGAAACTTTTGCTCAACCCGCTGGTTGACCGTTCGCGCCTGGGGAACATTTTGAGTCGACTCAAAAGTCAACTCGGTATAATGTCACACGGTGTTTTCTCTACACGCAGGGCAATTTTAGCTTGGAGTTTACCAAAACGAGTTGGTAATTATCTTATTTCAGCTCATAAGTGCTAGTTTACTGTAGATCTGTTTTCTACTGTTTTTCATCTAGCTTTCCCCCACCTTCCCTGGCCACGCGGAGGAATGCCTCGCGATTGAGCCCTAGGGGTTGGTATTTAGCCTAGCTTGCTTCTCATTCTGAACCTGTGGTCTGAAGAAGGCTCGAAGAGCCGAAACTAGTTACCACCAATTTTTTCTACACAAGGTTTTTTTACAAGCAAGCAAAAACTTAACCTAAGCATCTGTTTGCTGCTTTTGGTCCTGCTTATGTTTTCTTCTGATCCCTTTCCTTTTCTTCTCTCTTATCTTCCTCTCTTCTGTTTTGCTCGTTAGGTAATATCACCCCCCTGACCCTGCAGCAGCGGGTGGACATTCTGATAGGAGTGGCGCGTGCGCTGGACTATCTACACAGCTTTGGCATCATGCATCGCGACATCAAGCCCGCCAACATCCTCCTGGACTCCAACATGCAGGCAAGTGCATGCGCTGATGGGCATGCAGGTGAGTGCATGTGCTGATGGGCATGCAGGCGAGTGCATGCACTGATGGGTATCACGTGAGAAGCCAACATCTCATGCAGGTGCCTTCTCTTCACAAACCGCCAACTCTCTTTGGATTTGGATAAGCAGTGACTCTGCAGCAGTGCGGATCTCTCTGTGTCTGTTTCTTCCCTCTCCATCCTGCAGGCGAAACTGGCAGACTTTGGTTTGCTGAGGGTGGGCGAGGGCAGCCGCTCACTGCAGTCCACGCGAGTGATGGGCACGCCGGGCTATGTGGACCCGGTCTATAGTATCACTCATAAAGCCACTATAAGTGCTGATGTGTACAGGTGGGAAGGGGTTTGCGCACGTGCATATGCTGTCCATTTTTTTTATTTGCCCAAGTACGCATGTCCTCGTCCCTTGTCTCACTCAGATGCTCTCTTTCACTATGGTGCATTCGTTGCACATGGTGCATTCGTTGCACATAGTTGCACATGGTGCATTCGTTGCACATAGTTGCACATGGTGCATTCGTTGCACATAGTTGCACATGGTGCATTCGTTGCACATAGTTGCACATGGTGCATTCGTTGCACATAGCAAGGGTGGTAGAGCCTTGTTCAGTGCCAGGCTTGTGACACCAGCGCCATAGGATGACCTCGTTATCCACACTCTGTTGAATGGATAAATTTACACACAGATATACACACGCATAAGGATAGAATACACACTGGAAAACGTCAGTGGCAGGCTTGTGGCACGCACCAGCAGAACCTTAGAATGACCGCTTTGACCCACGATTTACAGCGTTAAAAAAAAAGATCATTTACATACTGCAGACATCAGTATGTGCATATATAGCTACACTACTACGTATTTATACATTATAAGAAAGGCATACCTTAGAGAGCAGGAAGTTGCCGTACATAGATGTACATACATACATACATAGTATATATAAATATATATATATATTATAATAAAATAACATACCTTAGAGAGCACGAAGTCGCCCTACATAAATATACATACATACGTAGTATGTATTTATATTATCAATATGGCATACCTTAGAGAGCACAAAGTCGCCATACCACCGCAGGCAGTCAATGTAGTTGGTGTGCACGTCACACACCACGTAGAGCTGGGCGGGGTGTGGTGGGAAACGGTGGGGGCAGGTGAAGGGTTGTGGGGTAGGAGAGGGTGAGGTGAGGGCAGGTGCAGACAGTCAATGTAGTTGGTGTGCACGCCACACACCACATAGAGCTGGGTGGAGTGAGGTGGGAAGTGGTGGGGGCAGGTGAGGGCGGGGAAGGGGAGGAAGGCGCGAAGTGGGATTAGAAGGTAAAGCAACGACAAAAGAGAGGCAGTCAATGTGATTGGTGTGCACATCACATACCACATAGAGCTGGGTGGAGTGCGGTGGGAAGAGGGTGGCAGGAGGGGGCGGGGAGGGGCAGGAAGGAGCATAGTGGGATTAGAAAATCAGCGACAATGAAAGAGAGGCAGTCAATGTAGTTGGTGTGGACGTCACACACCACATAGAGCTGGGTTGTGGGCGAGGTGGGAAGAGATGGGGGCAGGTGATGGGAGCATCAATGAAAGAGAGGCAGTCAATGTACTTGGTGTGCACGCCACAAACCACGTAGGGATGGGTGGGGCAGGAGGGGGCAAGGTGAGGGCAAGTGCTGCAAGAAAGAAGTTCAATCATCGAGTATGGAAAAAACTTGGTTGGGATTTTGAGTCGACCCAAAAGTCAACCTTCTGCAAGAAAGAAGTTCAATCATAGTGTACGGTAAAAACTTGGTCGGGATTTCGAGGCACGAAAAGACGGCCGTAAAGAATGTCGCACGTTGTTTGATGTTTGGGGTGCCTCAAAGGAAGACGACTTCACGTACAGGGTACTGTATGCTCTTGGTGGGGAACCAAGACATGAGACTACCAAGACACCTGGATGGGAGGTCTGACCAGGTGAATGACTGGTCTACCACGTGCCTCCACTCTGATGACCTCAGAGGAAGACGACTTCATGTGCAGGGTGCGGTATGATCTTGGTGGGGAGCTTGGATGGGAGGTCTGTCCAGATGTTTGACTGCTGTACGGCTTCACGTACAGGGTACTGTAGAATCTTGGTGGGGAGCTTGGATGGGAGCTCTGACCCGGTGACTTTTGAGTCGACTCAAAAGGAAGACGACTTCACTTACGGGGTACTGTATAATCTTGGTGGGGAACTTGGATGGGAGGTCTGCCCAGGTGAAGGACTGGTCCACCACGTGCCAGCACTCTGGTGAAGGGGAGGGAGAAACATAGAAAGACAGGGAGAGAGGGTGGAGAGATACGTGAGGGGCTTGGATAGGAGGTCTGCCCAGGTGTTTGACTGCTCTAGAACATGCCAGCACTCTGATGGCGAAGGATGAGAGAGAAGAGAGGAGAGGAAGAGAGGAGAGAAAGAGAGGAGACAGACGGAGAAAGACAGGGAGAAAGGTGGGGCGAGTGGTAAGAGGCTTGGATGAGAGGTCTGTCTGTCCAGGTGAAGGACTGGTCTACCACGTGCCAGCACTCTGGAGGGGAGGAGAGGAGACAAGGAAAGGAGACAAATGGAGAAAGACAGGGAGAAAGAAGATGGAGAAAGACAGGGAGAAAGAAGATGGAGAAAGACAGGGAGAAAGAAGATGGAGAAAGACAGGGAGAAAGAAGATGGAGAAAGACAGGGAGAAAGAGGATGGAGAAAGACAGGGAGAAAGAGGATGGAGAAAGACAGGGAGAAAGAAGATGGAGAAAGACAGGGAGAAAGAGGATGGAGAAAGACAGGGAGAAAGAGGATGGAGAAAGACAGGGAGAAAGAGGATGGAGAAAGACAGGGAGAAAGAGGATGGAGAAAGACAGGGAGAAAGAGGATGGAGAAAGACAGGGAGAAAGAGGATGGAGAAAGACAGGGAGAAAGAGGATGGAGAAAGACAGGGAGAAAGAGGATGGAGAAAGACAGGGAGAAAGAGGATGGAGAAAGACAGGGAGAAAGAGGATGGAGAAAGACAGGGAGAAAGAGGATGGAGAAAGACAGGGAGAAAGAGGATGGAGAAAGACAGGGAGAAAGAGGATGGAGAAAGACAGGGAGAAAGAGGATGGAGAAAGACAGGGAGAAAGAGGATGGAGAAAGACAGGGAGAAAGAAGATGGAGAAAGACAGGGAGAAAGAAGATGGAGAAAGACAGGGAGAAAGAGGATGGAGAAAGACAGGGAGAAAGAGGATGGAGAAAGACAGGGAGAAAGAGGATGGAGAAAGACAGGGAGAAAGAAGATGGAGAAAGACAGGGAGAAAGAGGATGGAGAAAGACAGGGAGAAAGAGGATGGAGAAAGACAGGGAGAAAGAAGATGGAGAAAGACAGGGAGAAAGAGGATGGAGAAAGACAGGGAGAAAGAGGATGGAGAAAGACAGGGAGAAAGAGGATGGAGAAAGACAGGGAGAAAGAAGATGGAGAAAGACAGGGAGAAAGAAGATGGAGAAAGACAGGGAGAAAGAGGATGGAGAAAGACAGGGAGAAAGAGGATGGAGAAAGACAGGGAGAAAGAGGATGGAGAAAGACAGGGAGAAAGAGGATGGAGAAAGACAGGGAGAAAGAAGATGGAGAAAGACAGGGAGAAAGAGGATGGAGAAAGACAGGGAGAAAGAAGATGGAGAAAGACAGGGAGAAAGAGGATGGAGAAAGACAGGGAGAAAGAGGATGGAGAAAGACAGGGAGAAAGAAGATGGAGAAAGACAGGGAGAAAGAGGATGGAGAAAGACAGGGAGAAAGAGGATGGAGAAAGACAGGGAGAAAGAAGATGGAGAAAGACAGGGAGAAAGAGGATGGAGAAAGACAGGGAGAAAGAGGATGGAGAAAGACAGGGAGAAAGAAGATGGAGAAAGACAGGGAGAAAGAAGATGGAGAAAGACAGGGAGAAAGAGGATGGAGAAAGACAGGGAGAAAGAAGATGGAGAAAGACAGGGAGAAAGAAGATGGAGAAAGACAGGGAGAAAGAGGATGGAGAAAGACAGGGAGAAAGAAGATGGAGAAAGACAGGGAGAAAGAAGATGGAGAAAGACAGGGAGAAAGAAGATGGAGAAAGACAGGGAGAAAGAGGATGGAGAAAGACAGGGAGAAAGAGGATGGAGAAAGACAGGGAGAAAGAGGATGGAGAAAGACAGGGAGAAAGAGGATGGAGAAAGACAGGGAGAAAGAGGATGGAGAAAGACAGGGAGAAAGAGGATGGAGAAAGACAGGGAGAAAGAAGATGGAGAAAGACAGGGAGAAAGAAGATGGAGAAAGACAGGGAGAAAGAGGATGGAGAAAGACAGGGAGAAAGAGGATGGAGAAAGACAGGGAGAAAGAAGATGGAGAAAGACAGGGAGAAAGAAGATGGAGAAAGACAGGGAGAAAGAAGATGGAGAAAGACAGGGAGAAAGAAGATGGAGAAAGACAGGGAGAAAGAAGATGGAGAAAGACAGGGAGAAAGAGGATGGAGAAAGACAGGGAGAAAGAAGATGGAGAAAGACAGGGAGAAAGAGGATGGAGAAAGACAGGGAGAAAGAGGATGGAGAAAGACAGGGAGAAAGAGGATGGAGAAAGACAGGGAGAAAGAAGATGGAGAAAGACAGGGAGAAAGAAGATGGAGAAAGACAGGGAGAAAGAAGATGGAGAAAGACAGGGAGAAAGAAGATGGAGAAAGACAGGGAGAAAGAAGATGGAGAAAGACAGGGAGAAAGAGGATGGAGAAAGACAGGGAGAAAGAAGATGGAGAAAGACAGGGAGAAAGAGGATGGAGAAAGACAGGGAGAAAGAGGATGGAGAAAGACAGGGAGAAAGAGGATGGAGAAAGACAGGGAGAAAGAAGATGGAGAAAGACAGGGAGAAAGAAGATGGAGAAAGACAGGGAGAAAGAGGATGGAGAAAGACAGGGAGAAAGAAGATGGAGAAAGACAGGGAGAAAGAGGATGGAGAAAGACAGGGAGAAAGAGGATGGAGAAAGACAGGGAGAAAGAAGATGGAGAAAGACAGGGAGAAAGAAGATGGAGAAAGACAGGGAGAAAGAGGATGGAGAAAGACAGGGAGAAAGAGGATGGAGAAAGACAGGGAGAAAGAGGATGGAGAAAGACAGGGAGAAAGAGGATGGAGAAAGACAGGGAGAAAGAGGATGGAGAAAGACAGGGAGAAAGAGGATGGAGAAAGACAGGGAGAAAGAGGATGGAGAAAGACAGGGAGAAAGAAGATGGAGAAAGACAGGGAGAAAGAGGATGGAGAAAGACAGGGAGAAAGAGGATGGAGAAAGACAGGGAGAAAGAAGATGGAGAAAGACAGGGAGAAAGAGGATGGAGAAAGACAGGGAGAAAGAGGATGGAGAAAGACAGGGAGAAAGAGGATGGAGAAAGACAGGGAGAAAGAAGATGGAGAAAGACAGGGAGAAAGAAGATGGAGAAAGACAGGGAGAAAGAAGATGGAGAAAGACAGGGAGAAAGAAGATGGAGAAAGACAGGGAGAAAGAAGATGGAGAAAGACAGGGAGAAAGAGGATGGAGAAAGACAGGGAGAAAGAGGATGGAGAAAGACAGGGAGAAAGAAGATGGAGAAAGACAGGGAGAAAGAGGATGGAGAAAGACAGGGAGAAAGAGGATGGAGAAAGACAGGGAGAAAGAAGATGGAGAAAGACAGGGAGAAAGAGGATGGAGAAAGACAGGGAGAAAGAAGATGGAGAAAGACAGGGAGAAAGAGGATGGAGAAAGACAGGGAGAAAGAGGATGGAGAAAGACAGGGAGAAAGAGGATGGAGAAAGACAGGGAGAAAGAGGATGGAGAAAGACAGGGAGAAAGAAGATGGAGAAAGACAGGGAGAAAGAAGATGGAGAAAGACAGGGAGAAAGAGGATGGAGAAAGACAGGGAGAAAGAAGATGGAGAAAGACAGGGAGAAAGAAGATGGAGAAAGACAGGGAGAAAGAAGATGGAGAAAGACAGGGAGAAAGAAGATGGAGAAAGACAGGGAGAAAGAAGATGGAGAAAGACAGGGAGAAAGAAGATGGAGAAAGACAGGGAGAAAGAAGATGGAGAAAGACAGGGAGAAAGAAGATGGAGAAAGACAGGGAGAAAGAAGATGGAGAATTTGGGAGAGTGTATGGGAGCGAACATTGCAGGCTCCACACGTAGATGCTGCCGTCCACGCCACAGATGGCAATGATGGTGGCCTCGGTGAAGGCAATAGACATGTGAGACTGTGTGTGTGTGGGCAGTTGAAAGGTGCCTAACTCTGAGTGAGAGGCCACGTGTAGAGAGTGATTTTTTGAGATGTCCCAAAAAATCACTATATACATGCAGTAGACATGTGAGAGTGTGTGTGTGTGGGGGCAGTTGAAAGGCGCCTAGCTCTGTGTGAGAGGGGCGGTGTCCTACCTTGGAGACTCCACACGCGGATGCTGCTGTCCATGCCGCAGCTGGCGATGGTGGCCTCGTCACCCGGATGGAAGTCCTGCGAGGCATGCAAGGAATGCCAGTTTTGAGGCGCCTCAAAACTAGGCATGCAAGGAATTCATGCGTGTAAGCAAGAGACGCATGTGAGAGAGGGAGAGGGTCACAGTTATATGCTGCAGCTGGCGACAGTGGCCTGTCACCCGGATGGAAGTCCTGCGAACGAGATACAGCAAGCAAAACATATGACACAGCAAAACATTATTTGAGACGTCTCGCCATAATGCCGTGCCGTGCCATACCATGCCATGCAATGCTATGCCATACCATACCATACCATACCATACCATACCATACCATACCACACCACACCACACCACACCACACCACACCACACACACCACACCACACCACACCACACCACACCACACCATACCACACCATACCATACCATACCATACCATACCATACCATACCATACCATACCATACCATACCATACCATACCATACCATACCATACCATACCATACCATACCATACCATACCATACCATACCATACCGTACTCTACCATGCCATGCCATGCCATGCCATGCCATACCACTGTGAATGATGCTCATGATGTGTCAGTGTTCCACAGCCGGGAGGCTGGTCCTTAACTCTAGTGCACCGGCTGCGCCCCATACCATACCCTACATGGTTAAAAAGAATTGTGAAATTTACTGTACCGCGCTGAGGACTTCGTTTCAATGCCCATCCGAGCCGCCCATGATTGCCACGCACACGCCCGTGTCTGCATTCCACAGCCGCAGCGATGAAAACTAGATACATATTATACTATAGTGAGGACCTATACTGTACCGCGCTGAGCACTTCGTTTCGATGCCCGTCGCTCCCGCCCACAATCGCCACACATACGCCCGTGTCTGCGTTCCACAGCCGCAGCGACTCATCTTTCCCCGCTGAGAGCAGCAGCGCGGGGTGGGACGGATGCACCCTCACCTCGTTCACTGCGCCGCCATGCCCGATGAAACTCTGAAGTAGGGGCGGCAAGAGGAGCAAAGGCAACAAAGGAAACAGCTTATTGCCCGTCTTCTTCTCTCATCCTTTCCAGCTGAGAGCAGCAGCGCGGGGTGGGACGGATGCACCCTAACCTCATTCACTGCCCCGCCGTGCCCAATGAAACTCTGAAGGAGGGGAGTGGGTGGGGGGAAAGAGATGAAGGTGCCTCAAATGCTCGTGCATGGGTCCTTGGCGGCTGACTGAGAGCAGCAGCGCGGGGTGGGTCGGATGCACCCTAACCTCATTCACTGCCCTGCCGTGCCCAATGAAACTCTGAAGGAGGGGAGTGGGTGGGGGGAAAGAGATGAAGGTGCCTCAAATGCTCGTGCATGGGTCCTTGGCGGCTGACTGAGAGCAGCAGCGCGGGGTGGGTCGGATGCACCCTAACCTCATTCACTGCCCCGCCATGCCCAGTGAAACTCTGAAGGAGGGGAGTGGGTGGGGGGAAAGAGATGAAGGTGCCTCAAATGCTCGTGCATGGGTCCTTGGCGGCTGACTGAGAGCAGCAGCGCGGGGTGGGTCGGATGCACCCTAACCTCATTCACTGCCCCGCCGTGCCCAATGAAACTCTGAAGGAGGGGAGTGGGTGGGGGGAAACTCTGGTTGGGGAGTAGAGGGAGGGAACGCGGGGTTTGGGAAGAGGAGAATGGAGAGCACCTAATGCCCGTCTCACTCTCTTCCTCGCCAGCTGAGAGCAGTAGGGCACGGTGGGATGGTTCAGATGCACCCTCACCTTGTTCACTGCCCCGCCGTGCCCAACGAAACCCTGGAAGGGGTGAGTGGGGGAGCGGAGGGTGGGGGAAGGAGAGGGGACAGAGAATGATCGAATGGATGCGTGTTGAGGCGCTTCAAAAGCAGCTCATTCCCTCGTTCACTCACTCATTCGCTCACTCACACACTCCCTCCCTCACTCACTCACTCACTCACTCACATGCACAACTGTCTCTCTCCAGCAGTCGATGATCCGAATCACCCCGCTGCTGCCACTAGCTGCCAACAGCGGCTGCCCGTGCTTCCCCCTCATCCATGCCACTGTGTAGAACGACTCATCCTTCTGTGATGGATATGGGATGGCAGCGCATGGACGCATAGGCAGCACATGTCTGAGTACATTGCAGAACATGAGTGAGTACATGACAACACATGAGTGAGTACATGACAAACACATGAGTGAGCACATGACAACACACGAGTGAGTACATGACAACACATGAGTGAGTACATGACAACACATGAGTGAGCACATGACAACACATGAGTGAGTACATGACAACACATGGTATGGCATGGCAGCAGATGGTATGGCATGCACATGGTAAGGAAGGACATGGTACCGCAGGAAAGCATCAGGCATGCACATGCAAGAACTCCGATACGCAAATGCCCCCTTGCAGTACATTTTCATCAAGAAACAGTTGCACGACGATGGTTGCACCCCCAGGCTCGCACTTGTACACTGTAACCTGCAATACAAGCACATATATCAAGCACAATATTCAGGCAGCCCCACAATCGTCTTAGGGCGTATCCAACTTCGGGTCATGAGCACTGTTCTGGCTACTGTTTGGGTCATGCGGAATTTGCGCATGACCCGAAGTGGGCTGCCGAGCCGCGCGCGGCCCCAGCTTTGGGTCAATGTGCAGGTGTTGGGCGACTGACGTGCACGACCCACCCCCAACCAATCACCTGACTGCACGATTCTGTATTTGCTGCCATTTTTTTGCGGTCGTCAGTCGAGTGTCACATGAGGGCAATGTCCCACGTCTTACACCTCTGTACCCAGCCACTCGGCAATTTGACCCCAGTGATCATGAGTGTGTCTAGAATTTCCCGCGTCGCGCTCCCAACATTTGGGGATTCACGCCGGGAATTTAGACGATTGTGTTTTTTCGGTGGGTTTCGCGTGGTCTCGCTAAGGATCGTTCGAACTGTTTAGGCATCCTTCCATTGGATGCGACTGTTGTGGGGAGCTTGATTTTGGCGCGAAAACCTTCGCAGCTCTTTGGGGGTCGCATGAGTTCGGAAGACCCAAAGTGGCGTTTTATGTTGTTTGGGTCATCCGCAAATTGCGGATGCCCGGAACAGTGCTCATGACCCGAAGTTGGATACGCCCTTATACATGCAGACGGGAAAAAATCAAGGTTGTGGGAAAACTTGTATGGTGTATTCCTCAATCACACACAAAAAGCAGCACACAAGCAGCTCCCTCCTGGCTCCAATACACCAACTCGTTTGTTCACTAGGCGGCTTTTGAGTCGATTCTAAAGCAGGGTGACCTTTAAGTCGACTCAATAACAAGATGGCTGATGAGTCAACTCAAAAGCAGCGCACAAGCAACTCCCTCCTGGCTCCAATACACAAACCCGTTTGCTCACTTTTTGAATCCGAATCTTCGTACCCTGTCCTGTTGCCAGACACGTTCCAAGTCGCACCCTGAACCCTGTCCCCACAAGAGTGCCCTCCCTCTTGCAAGACACCTTCTTTGTGACGTCTTAAAAGTCATACCCTGTTGCCTGAGATGCGAGTGAGCATGTTGAGGTAGCGAGGATCAATGGCGGTGTTGAAGCGTCCCCCAAACAATACAAGGGCGTATGCCCTCACTGACACACAAAAGAGGAAAACTATTATTCCTGGCTTTAACTGAAAGTATATGATCCTGACATTTATTCCGCGTACCCTGTTGCCTGAGACGCTAGCGAACATGTCGAGGTAGCGTGGATCAATGGTGTTGAAGCATCCCCCGAACACGGGCTTCCGACCTTCGCTAACCTGCATGCACGGGAGCAGAGTTAAGATGCTTGTAACGCGGACAACAAGAGCACATGTCGAGACGGCACGGAAAGAAGGGTCGATGGTGTTGAAGCATCCCCCGAACACCGGCTTCCGGCCTTCACTGACCTGCACGGGGGGGTGATAATGAGGACGGGAGGATGCTTATATGGGGGACAACAGGAGCACATGTCGAAAGAGCAAGGTGAGCGGATAGTGACAGAAGGACCGAGGACACAAATAACTCAGAGATCGTCAAAAGTCACCTTCATAACGGCTTTGTACTCGCGTCGCTTTCCTCGCAACGCAGCGCCGCGATTCGGACCTCCCGGCGCCATGCCGAAGTTATTGCGTTCTACACTGTAGCGTATTCTACTGAAGAAGTAACGATTCAAGCTCTACACCGAGTATATCACGTTGAGACATAATCGCGCTGCCATCGACAACCACCGCGATTCCGCGTTTCGTGCAGGAATATCCAGGAATTACATAAAACTACTTGGGAAAAAAACGGGAAATGCTTGGCAAACCAGAGGACTTGGTATTGATCTACGTCGCACAAGCTACAGGCGAGGCGCTCTCCTTAAAGCCCACTCGTAAGTGACGTCACGACTGCAATCATCGCTGCACGGTAAACTCTCTTATTCTCCAGACACGCGATGCGAACCTAGTCTACGACACGCTTGTATCGCATTTGTACACTCCAGACACGCGAATTCGCCACTCGCGCATTTACGGGAGATGAAACTGACGATGGTACAAACGACAGACCTATATGCTAGGCCATGGAGATAAAATGCCTTTGGCTTTGACAGCTCCACTGTTTTGTATGGTGCAATGCGACTCTCGGCTATATGAACTATACGACACGGTACGTTGCGGTGGAATGGTTTCAGTTTACGTAATGGTCCGTTTGTTGCACCTTTCAGCTTTTGTTCACGAACATCTCTTCGCTAAAGAATGGCAGTTCGCAATACCTCGTGAATGAAACACAAGAATCGCTAACCTAAAATATACAGCGATCGACAACAGCGAGAATGTCATTTGGTTACCAGATTGCTCATTTTCCTGGGAATCGAAAACCGAAAGCAGTGTTTCCTTGTTCAGTCTTCCCCACCTCATGAACTGCTGGCTGCCTAGAATATTTCGCGCCGCCCATTGCGCGCAGTAGAGGTAGCGAAGCGACCCGTTGCTCAAGTTTCCCTTTTGCTGCTCCGCTCTCGCTCGAGGTGAGACGAAGCAGCGGTTGAACTGAGAAAATACCTTCTTATCATGATGGGAAGTCGAGTCGAACTGCTTAGTGCTCTAGGAGAATTTTTTAGGGTTTTATTGACGAATGTTAGAAACACGTGATTAACTGGCGACATCAAATGCTACTCTCGTTTGAATCCCAACTCGACTGCAAAGGCTTTGCTGTCCTCACAATATTCACAACCCCACCATCCCCGCACACCCTTTCCCGTGTGTTTCCGCTCCCCCCGCTGTGCCCTTCTCGCGCCCTGCTTCCCCTTTCGCTTTGCAAATCCGTCCCATTCCGCATCCCTCCTTCACCTTCTCCCCCCCTTTCTCGTTCTGCGTGTCTCCTCTCATGACCCCGCTGCAGGCACAGGAAGATCCAATCAGCATCCGACCCAAGATTCGATCCATCATTAGAGCAGAGAAACACACTCTTTCGTTCACGAAACACACCCTCTATAGTCCAGCAGTCCAGCAGCATTTCACACTACAGCTGCACCAGCCAGCCCACAGCACACGCACCATGCCCAGCATGCTTTCATGCAGCCGCGTGCCAGTCACGCACCACCACTGCACACTCAGACGAATGCACACACCTTCCTGCAGAGTGACAAGCAGCACCAGCCGTACTCCTCCTCCTCCTGCTGCTGCTGTCTGCCCTGCTCCCTCCTGCTGCCACACATCTTCTGCTGCTGTCGCGTCCTGGAACAGCCATGGCAGCATCAGCAGCAGCATAAGTTTTTACGGTAGTTTAAGTCCTAGCAGCAGCAGCACGGGTCAAATCAGGGGCGGGCTGTCAGGGTTGGGATTCGAGACACCAAGGGGAAATCCGTGGGTGGCAAGCTCAGGGGCAAGGCGAGGGGTTGTTGCTCACGTCAGACGCAAGAGGGTGAGTGTTCAAGTCATTATGTGTCTTCACAGTAGCATTAATAGTAGCAGCAGCAGCACTGGTCACAGGAGGGGCCGGCTGTCAGGGTTGGGATTTGAGATGCCAGGGGGAAACCCGTGGCTGGAACGCTCAGGGGCAAGGCGAGGGGTTGTTGCTCACGCCAGACGCACGCAGGTGAGTTTTGGAAGTCATTTCATGTCTTCGCATTAGCATAAGGATTAGCAGCAGCAGCATGAGTCACAGCAGGTTCGGGCTGTCGGGGTTGGGATGTGAGACGCAAAGGCGAAACCTGTGGGTGGAAGGCTCAGGGGCAAAGCGGGGAGTTGTTGCTCAGGGGCAAGGCGGGGAGTTGTTGCTCACGCCAGACGCAAGAGGGTGAGTTTTCATCCGTTTTTTGTTTTTGCAGTAGCTGAAGTCATAACAGCAGCAGAAATCCTAGCAACAGCATGGGTCACAGCAGGGTTGGGATGTGAGGCGCGGGAAATCCGTGGCTGGTATGCTCTGGGGCAAGGCAAGGGGTTTTTTCTCAGCTCACGCACGCGCGACGCAAGAGGTTGAGTTTTCAACTGTTAGCTCCTGCCCATCTCTCCCCACCTTGGCCCAGTATGGTGTAGGTGAATGGTTCACCAAGCCCTTTCAGTATAAGGCTGACTGACATATGAGCTCATTGGTTCGTCGTGGCTCTCCTCTATCACCTTCCCATCCCCTTTACAGAAGAACCCGCAGCCGGATAAGCTCATGGATGGTGTAGAACAGATCGTCGACGACTATGACATTGAAAAGGTTGCGTCAGCCCCGCAGCTCTCAGCTGATGACGTGGCAGCAGGGGAGCTATCGCTGGACTGCAACCGCTTCCTGATTGGTCGCAGCATGATCAATGACCGAGTGAGCGACCATGAGGAGGGGATCACGTGGCTGCGGTCAGCCCCGCGCCTGCTGTGGGTGGCTCGGGAGAGGCGTGCCGAGGCTGATGCAGTGGAGAGGCAGAGGAGGCGGGGGGAGAAGTAGGGAAGATGCAAAGGGTGGGCGCTTTGTGTATGTGGCTTTGATATAATACAGTAATTGAAGTGCTACAAGCATGCTGGATTCAGAATGGTACAGAAAACAAGTCCTTTTACGGCCGAGTGAATGACCGTGATGTAGGGAGCATGTGGCTGCGGTTGGCCCCGTGCCTGCTGTGGGTAGCTCGGGAGAGGCGTGCCGAGGCTGACGCTGCAGAGAGGCAGAGGAGGCGGGAGAAGTAGGAAGGATGGGCGGGCAATAGGTGGACGCTTCATTTTATCAATCTGTTAACTGCAAGCGGTGGTGCGGCCCCCTAGTTGGCGCCTCTATCAAAGCCCCTATGACTGCCAGTTGTTAGCAGTGGTACCATGACACCCAACCGATATATTTTACCCTACACCTTTGATAATGTGCACCCTATTCAGCAGTGCTTCTAGCTGCTGGATGACATTTTTGCACCAAAGAATTCCGCCTTATTTCTGCAAAAACACAATGTGGACTTGTCTGTGCTGCTCTGGGACGTGGAAAATCATTAATGCATGCTTGTTGGTGGCCTTTTGGCCATATCTCTTAATATTCTTTGTAGTTTCACTTGTAAGGTTAAAACCTTAGGTGTGCAGTGTCGTGGAATTCTGATTGGGTGAGGTCTTTATGCGTCAACTCTTGTCAAGCAGGGGGTGGAGAAATGCCAGCAAGGCAAGCGAGCACAAATCATGGTCGAGCCACGACACGAGCCTCGCTGCCATTTGCTGATTCCAGACTCCCTGGCATTTGCTGATTCTAGCTTTCTTGCCCATTCGCTGACCAGCCTCCCTGGCATTTGCTGATTCCAACCTCCCTGCCATTCGCTGATTCCAAGCTCGCTGGCATTTGCCAGGAGGGCCCGAAAGCCTCATCGGAACTCAGTCGTCGGACCCGTTTTGCCAGTGTCGACGGGAGGGGTCGTCGGAGGAGGGCCTGACGAGGCGGGCGACTGACGCGCGTGCGGGCCCGCCAGCCTGGCCCAGGGCTGGGCCGAGCGCACGACCGCCGCCCCGCAGCCCCGCTCCGAAATTGAACAGCGACCCACGTTACCGGGTGGGGTCGGCGAACTGGCGACCCCTCGCGCGAGGGAAAGTTACCCTCGCGCGAAGGCAGCCCACACGTGCTGCCTGCCCGCGAGGTCCTAGTAACCCATCGCGGCCTGCCCGGACGGGCAGGCGAGGGCCGTGCGAAAATACGGGCCCCCCTCGGGACACTCGACAATTTCGCGATTCGCAGCGGTGGCGCCACGTGTTCGCCCGTGGCTTCGCATCGGGCGCATGCGAAATTTTTGACGACGCGGAAACAAATTCTCTCCCATCGCATGCATTCTATCGTCGCGAACCGCTACGAAATCGACACGTGTCGATTGTAGCGTCGCTCCGCGCGCAGGAGGATTCGTGCGTCCCCTCGCCGACCTGGGCCAATGGACGCGAAGTCGACGCTCTACCAAGGCGGAGACGGACCACCTGTGCCACTTGCGCATCCGCCCTCCGAGCACTGCCGAGCCAGGCCCTGCACCCTTGGGCGATGCTGAACGGGCCTGGGGGGGGGGGGGGGGGGGGGCACCACCTCCTTTTCTTTGTGGAAGGTGGCCTCGCTCCGCATTTTCGGCATCTCTTTTAGATTTTCAAACATTGACAGCTCTGCGCCTCCCCTCTCTCCTACCAGAGCCGTCCGCCTCTTTTCTTAGTCGACAGATATGGAGCCGATCTCCGCCGCCGATAAGTCGGCGCCGACATCGGCCGACTTTCCCCTTCGGGTGCAAATGGGTCGCGGTCTCAGCTTCACCTTAGAGTGGAACGACTACGCCGTCCTTCGCGACCAAAAGAAAGAGTTCACCGAGAGATGCTTTGGACTCGCCATCAGGTGGGACGCGGGTAGTCGCGGTAGTCGAATAGGGAAGATGTCGGTGCCGACCAACCCTAGTAGGGCGCACTGTCGCCGATTGTCTTCCGACGTACGTCGGCGGGCGCGTTTGACGAAGCACGTCGACATGGCAGCGTTTGCTTACCAGCCATGTTCTCATCCCTCGTGCTCACTCGTGCGCTCAGGTTCGCTTGGTTTGACATTGGGCGGGACGACCTGCGGTTGTGGGTGCTCGGGATCGGCCCGCTTCGATCGGCCATGAAAGCCGCCGACCATTCTTGCTTTGCTAAGGCTTTCGACGCCGACATCGCCGCTATCCCGCTGAAATCGACGTGAGCTGTTACCCCGTTGTCCAGTCATCGTTTTTCAGTGTCGGCCGCATCAACGCCTTATGCTGTGGTCGACGCCGTCGTTTATTGCGTGTGCAGCGGCGGCCCGCTTCCAGGGTCACACTGCAGCGTCATAGCCATCCTCTACCCAGGAGATGTGCTGAAGGCTGAGGGACAGGTCTGCAGGACATCGATCCGGCACATCGACCCGCACACCGGAAAAGGGAAGCACCGCGACGAGGCCGTCCGCGTCCTGAAGTAAGTTGTGAATAGTCGTCGCTGTCGAGTTTGTTAGTCGCCGACACAGGGAATCTCATGCTGACCTCCTCTCCACTACGTTGCTCCAGGCTATTCCGCACGGCTGCCCTGGCCGAGCTGGGGCGTCCCGGTAGGAAGTGGGACGGGGCGCCGCCATCACAAGCAGTGGTGGAGGAAAGGCTTGCCGACTGCGACGACCCTATCCGCGACGTGAGTTGCACGTTTAGGCTCCGCTACGGTCTGCGCGTATCTGTATGCACCGCTCATATTGTGCCGCGCTTGCCTGTGTTGTATGCAGAAAGTGCCGGGCACAGTGTCGGACGGGCATGTCGGCACCGGCATGCTTGCCGCGACGTCGTTCGGGTGGGTGGCCAAGCAGATCGGCCTGCTGACGGGCGACAAGGCTCGGAGCGCTGTGAGCATCGAGAACATCAAGGTCGCGGGTTTGAGGTCGCTCCGTGATAGCATGGTCGATTACATCTGCCATCGTGTCGCCGAAAACCGGATAGCGGCGCCGACGGACCCGCCGAGGGTGCGATTGATGACGACGGCGCGGAAAGTCAGACGGCGCCCCAAGCAGCAGCTGCCGCCCAGCGCCAGGAGGACTTGCCGGTGTCCGCGGAAGGAGGAACCGGTGGAGGACTAGGCGACGATGCGGCAGGCGCAGGGAGGAAGGAAGAGGAGTTGACGGACTCTGGCTCAGAGTCGGAGTCGGAGGGGGAGGAGGAGGACGAAGGGGAGAAGGAGAATGAGGACGAGGAGGATGACGAGGGCAAGGACGAGAACGATGAGGTGGTGGAGGTGGTGGCCGGGAAGGATGAGGCGGCGCACGAGGAAGGGGTGGAGGAGGAGGTGGAGTACGAGCTGGAGTACGCAGACGGCACGGTTGAGGCGGTGGGGTCGGCGGACGAGAAGAACGAGGAAGCGGAGGATGGCGATGCGGGTAATGCTACGGGGTCGGCAGGTGAGGGGAAGGAAAAGGATGAGGTCGGCGTGGAGGCAACGACGGAAACGGGCCAGGAGGAGGCGGCATGCGAAGGTGCGAAGGTGTCGGTCGACGCCGGCGAAGGTGCGAACATCGCGGGCGTGCAGGAGACGGGGGACGCATCTGGTCGGCAGGGCCCTGCAACGGACGACGTCGAGGAGCTGCGACGGGAGAACTTGCTGTTGAGGGCGGAGAACGCTCGGCTGCAGGGTTTGCTCGATGCGGAACGGGCTCGGCTGGACGCGTTTTTTGTTGGGCTACGTGGACTCGTCGACCACCTGAAGGAGTTGGCCGAGCAGGTCGACGACACCGAGAAGTATGCGGCGGAACAGCTGCGAAACGCGGCGGAGGCCATGTCGCAGACCATCACGGGCAACATCACCGGCAGCTTCGACGAGGCGTGGAAGACGATGAAGACCTTCGCGGAACAGGCGTCGGCGTGGCTGGAGGACTTCGACAACCCGGAGGGAAATGTGGCGTATCAACGCGCCTTAGCGGTCACCACCTTGGCCGACCACGTCGACAAGGTGGTGGGCGATGCGCAGGAGGATTTGCGGGAGCACATCACGAGCCAGTTGTCCGCCGCAGCTGTCAACATCGCCACAGCTGTGACCGGCAGGCTCCCCGTGCAGCCGCCGCCACCGCCTCAGCCCACGCCGCCCGCCCTCCCGGAAGAGCTCTTGAAGTCGTTCAAGGCCGACATCATGAAGACGGTGACGGAGGCCACCGAGCAGTCGTTCGTTGCGTCCGGGATGAAGATGTTGACCGAGATGATCGGCACGGTGGCGCCTGGTCGACGTGGGTCGTCGCCTTCGGCCAATGACGCCGACGCCGCGCAACAGAGGGCGGCCGACAAGCAAGGCCTGAAGAGGTCGGGCGACGGTGACGACAAGGAGAGCTCGAAGCGGAGCAAGGGATCGGACGGGAGCCGCGTCACGAAGCCTCCTGCGCGGAGCGTGGTCGACATGCTGAAGGCGAAGGGGTGGAAGGTGAGGGGAGGGTCGACCAGCAAGGGAAGCGGAAGCGGGGGGGCGGACGGGAGACCTGCCGACGGGATCGCGGCTAACGTCGATGCACCGCCTGGCCCGCCTTTGGACGCCGAGCAGACCCATCCTCAGGCGAGCGGTGGGAAGGACGCGGCCCCCACTGCCCAGGCGGCGAAAGTCGGAGGCGCCGGAACCACCCAGGGGCCGTCTGACGCGGTGCCGGCCAAGGGCAAGGCGATGTCTGCGTCTGCTACGGTCGCCGGAACCGGCACGGCGAAGGCTGCCTCTGCTTCAGTCCCCGGAACCGGCAAGTCGAAGGCTGCTTCTGCTACGGTCGCCGGAACCACCAAGTCGAAGGCTGCTTCTGGTACGGTCGCCGGAACCACCAAGTCGACACCATGTAACCCGCCTGCGGCAACCACCGGGCCCGCCGGCCAGTCAGGTGCGGGGAAGCATGGGGAGGCCCGTGCGGCCCCTCCAGCTCCAGCAGCCCCTACTGCCGCCAAGGTCGACGCGAAGGCTGCTTCGGCACAGGGGCCACCCGGGAGTAACGCGCTTAGGGTGTTGCTCCACCGCATGGAGTCCCACCGCCCGGGCGCGCAGCAGCATCCTGTGGTCGACGCCGGCCTCGCAGAAACAGCACGTCGCTCCGTCACTCCGCACGTTGCCGGCAAACCGTCCGATGCCCAATCTGCCGCGCGGCCGGTCGCCGCCCCACCGCCTGCGGACCCCAAGTCCGCGTTTCTTCGCGCCCATATAGGCGCACGCAAAGCGGCAGCTCCACCAGTCACTCAGCCGGAACCCGGCACAAGCGCGACGCCGACGGCTGTAAATGCGACCGCACCCTCCCCAGGAGCAGCTGTGGTCGATCTGGCGGCGGAGAGGGGAGTCAGTGCAGCGCTAGCCACCGGCGGCCGCGCCGACAGGCATGCCGCCCTCGAATCCGTCCTGGCCCAGTTTGAGGCAGCAAAACGGCCCGAGCATGCCCCGGCACTGGCCATCGTGGACACGGCGCATGCGGAGCCGTCGGCGACCAACACAGGGGGTTCGGCGGAGCCGACGGCCGCAACGGGTGTTGTCGCCGAGGGAAATGCGGGACGGAAGGGTAAGGACGACACCGGGAAAGGGAAGGCGGTGTCGGCGGGGAAGGAGATGGCGGAAGACAAAGGGAAGAAGCCGGCACGGAAGACGGGCGGCAAGGGTAAGTCGGCAAAGAAGAAGGAGGAGGAGGAGAAGGAGGAGGAGGTGGGGGAGGGGGAAGAGCATGGACGCCGGGGTCATGGCATCCGCCGAGACAGGTCTGGCGACGGGCAGGGGTGGGTGGGCGAGATGAAGTTCAAGAACCAGAATCGGTACATCGGCAAGTCCCGCGACAAGATGGAGCTGGCCTACGAGCACGCGATTGCGTACTTCGTCTACGACGGCTACGTGAGCAAGGTGCTCATGAAGGAGCTCACCGCCTTGAAGCCGGGAGAGTTGGATGAATGGAAGGCGGTGTGGGAGGAGGTCAAAATCCTGCCGACCGGGATGTGGACGGTGATGTGGGCCAGAGGCTTGTGCCATCCGAGACCAAGGTAAGTCGGTTACCGACATGCCGTGTTTTGACGACCAAGTCGGTGTCATTAATTCTATGTGTACGTGTTCGCTCGGCAGGTTCGACGACATACTCGGCAGGTTCCGTGGGTACGCAGGTTCGGGTGATGCGCTTCATGGCGTGCTCTGGCCGGCGATGTGGTTCCCCATCATCGAGGACACGGAGGAAGGCAGGGCGGAGACAAATGCCAACATGTCGGCGATGGTGAATCGCGTGTCGATGTGCGCGGCGTATGGAAAGGTCGCGGCGAGAGTCGCGTATGGGAAGGTCGACGGGAGCGCGGAGGCGACCGCGGGAGAGACGACGGATATGGAAGGCGCGGACAGGAAGGCGGACGAGAAGGTGCAGATGGGGGCCCAGGCGTTAGCGGCCTCTGCATGCGCCCTCTGGTGCTACATGTCGACGCCGGCGTCGGTGCTCGGTGCTGTGGGCGAAGGTAAGGCGGCCGCGATTCTGGCAGGTGCGGGGAAGGAGAGGGGCGAGCACTTCGCGATGGTCATGCACGTGGTTATCGAACACGCACGCACTCGGCAGGCTCCCGCGGGGGAGGTTGCACATAACGCTATGGAGTGCAGCGCTATGGAGTGGCCAGGGCCTTCGAGGCGGGCATTGAGGAAGACGAGGCCGACATGATCGCAAGAGCGACGGTCGAGACCTTGGCGTTCTGGGGAATGTGCCCCCTCGACGGGCCCAAGCTCAAAGCGGAGGGCATCGATGTGCCGTGTGACGCGAAGATGGAGTACGACTTGGATCACAGGGGGAGGAAGGGGGAGAAGGTCAAGCAGGCCAAGGGCAGCAAGAGGAAGAGGTAGTACGGATGCGTAGTCGGCGGAATGATGTTTGCTAGGTTGCTAGGGTGTGTACTATATTGGTATGGACGGCGCCGATTTTGGCGTAGATTTGTTAAATGTGGCCTTTTTTTGTTCAAGTGCTGTTCGTTTCAATATTGGGCTAACAACTCGGTGTCACTGTATAACCATGCTAGCCGAATATCACCCGATGAGCCAAGTCGGCGCATATGTCGACATGATATGCACATGATACGTCGGCGATAAGCAGTGCAGAAACATGGTTGTCGGCATGACGTCGACAGTGATTTTTAGCCACACCTACTGTACTGGGCGACAAACAACCAACATCGGCAACATTCACCGACAACTACGGTTCGCATGGACATTGATGTGGGATGTTTACAAACTACCAGAAACATCAGTCGGATGGGGCGGGGGGGGGGGGGGGGGGGGGGGGGGGGGGGCTGTTTAAGTCTGCCAAAATCTACGCAGACGCATATCCCATGAGGGACTTCATGCCGTCTTCTTGCGCTTGGTCGGAGGACGCTGCACGGGTGCGGTCGGCTTGGCCGGTGCTGTCGACTTGGCAGGTGCGGTCGGCTTCGCCAGGTCGGCCTTGGTCTTCGGCATCTGCTCCTCCCAGGTGTCTGGAAAGAGGGCTTCGAGCCAATCGGCCGGCTTCAGATTGAGCGCGACAAGCCCACAGGCGAGGCGAAGCTTAGAGACGACCTTGGGGCCCAGCCCCTTGACTCCCATGCCAGGCTCTTTCGACTTCATCGGTTCCGTTTTCGGGTTGAGCACCGTGAGGGCGTCACAGAAGGTCCCAATGCCCGGTGCCGCGATCCTGTTCAGTGCGTCGACCACGGCCTCGGTGTCGGCGTCGCCGTCGCTCGCGCGTAGCTGGCGCACCGCATCCATGGCCCTCATCATGCGTCGCACTTTCGTGTCGAGCCCACCCTGCGTCGCGCCCTTTCCTGTGAGGAGGGTGTGGCGGGCGACGAATCCCTTCTCGGCGACCCTGTCGCAAAGGCGACGGGTGTCATTGGCGGTGGCGGAATTCCATAGGCGCCAAGCGTCCCTCACAGTCTTTGCCTCCCGCCACGGTTGCACCACGTTGAGCTCGTAACTGGCCTCCTCGTCCGTCTGTGGGGGGGGCGGGGGTTTGTCATCCCCTTTCTTGGCTCCAGCCCCCGTGCTGGCCGACTCCGCCGATCCACCATCGCTGGGAGTCTGCGCGGGAGCCGACGGCGGGGCCACCGGCACTCTCCGTGCTTCCGACAAGCGGAGTGCCTCGGTGACACGGGCTAGCTCGGCGGTGAGCCCAGCGATGGTGTCGTCGCGCTTCTCGATCTCCTCTAGGAGATCAATCTTCTCGTTCGCGGCGCGCTCTTTCTCCTTCTGCATCTGGGCCATGAGGGACATGTTGTAGTACTCGGTGTCCATGCGCACCGAGATTTCCTGCAGCAGTAGGAGGAGGAAAACGTGAGGGCCGCGGTGGTTTGGTTTACACTCCCTACTGCACGTCGGCGACAGTATCGTCGACTTACCTCTGGCTGTATTTGGGTCGGGTCGCGACGCTTGTTGATCGTCTCGGTGTCGACGCTCTCCACCCGTTTCGCCCAGTGCTGGAAGAGGGGGATCCGGCAGAGCTTGGAACCTTGGACGTACGGGTGCCATGGTGTGCGGACTAGCTTCACCGCTAGGTCCTCGGCGACGATGCGGCGCAGCATCAGGAGAGTGCGCCAGAAGTGCACCGCGGCTTTGTCGGCGTCTGACCCCTCGACAGCCTTCCCTTCCGCCTGCCATTTGTCACGGGTACGGGGAGCTCAGAAAAGGTCGGCAACACGACTCGGCGGCAAGCTACGAGGGCGTCGACTAACATACCTCCTTCAGCATGTCGTCGACGCCGGGGAATATGTGCTCGGCGAGGAGCTTCAGGAGCTTCTCGGAGGGCGGCACCCTGCTCCGACCCAAGAAGTAGTCCTGCTTGTACCCCGAGTACCCGGCCTTCTTCATCACCACCCCCACCGGAATGGCGGTGATGTACGCTCGCGTCATCTTGTCGAGAGCCCAGTGTCCAAGCTCCGCGATCTCGGCGCGCGGCGTGCCGTCGATAGCCAGCTCCTGGGCCCCGCCCGCTCGAGCGGCGTGCACGTTCCTCTTGCAGAACACCTTGTTGGTGTCCCACAACTGCCGCGTCCAGCGTTGGTGGGTTGCCGCAGAGAGCTCACCCTGGTCGGTGTCGTTTTTGGCGAAGAACAGGTGCTTCTTGTACCAGCTAGCGCGTGTGCTGGTGTCGACCGGCGGAATGAGGCGGACGCCGTGAAACTGACCGATCTGATCGAGGACGAAGTGCAACCACAGGCCCGTCTCGCCGACGGCGCACAACTCCGCTTCGAGGTGCCGCGCGGCGTAGCTCTGCTGCAGACGAGCATCCTTGGACGTCTTCGAGTTCCGCGCTCCGATGACCATGACGACCGGCTGGTTCTCCGGGTTGATCGAGGAGGTGCTCGCCAGTCGGTACAAGAAGATGTCGGGGAGAGTGATCTCGCGGATGCTTGCACCGCGCAGGAGAGAGTGGTGGGAGAGTAGCGTGAGCACCTTCAAGAGAAGAAACCTCCACAGCGTCTGCGAAGGACCCGTACCCCGCGGGTTCCACGCCTTGGCCGCCCACGCCGGCAGCACCCTGAACATGATCTGGCGGAACTGTTCGGCGGTGTAGGTATCGCCGATGGTTCCGCGACGGCGATCGGCGCAGTTCCTGCCAACAATGCCATGGGCAAGGGGTATTTAGGGCGGCGTCGACAAAGATCATGACAGCAGGAGAGTGGTCGACGTAGGTTAAAACATAAACTCACTTGATGTCCCGCTCGTTCTTGGTGCGGATCATGTACCGCACCTCCGACCTGACCACCGATATCTCCCTCATGATGCTCAGTTCCGTCTCCCGGAAGAGCGTCGCCTCCACTCTCGCCGCCATCTGGCATGCCTTTATGCGCCCGAGGAGCGTGTGTACCGTTGTCGACTGCACCGGCTGTGTTCCTGTGGCGTTGTCGGCCCCCTTGCCGGACTCGGCATCGAGGTTCAACTCCCGAATCATGTACTTCACGTATGCGCGAAGCCGGTCCTTGGTGACCCTAGGGCCGTGCAGCCACACGTGAGACCGGGGGACATCGGCCTCTTGGTCCCAGTTTTTCTTCTTGTTCTCCCGGATGTAGTGCCCTATCTCGTCGACGTGCTTAAGCCTGTACTCCTGCGGAAGCTTGTTGCGAATTTGCTTCAACATCTTCGCCGCCCACCTCTTGTAGTGATAGATCCACGAGGTGTACTGCCTCAGCGTGCTGTTCCTCTCCACGGTTTGCAGGTGGCGAAGAGCGTCCATGACGAGCACGTCTACGCACGCGTAAACCATGTCCTCCTCGACGAAGTCTGCCGCTCTCCACTGTTCGCGCGGCACCGCCAAGTTCTCCTGGTCCTCGTCCTCGTCCTGGTCGAGCAGTATGTCGATGAATTGCAGTTCCCGCCTGAGTCGTTCGTCCAAGGTGCGCGGATTAGAGCTACGAGGTGGACGGTCGTCGTTTTCGTCATCGCTTTCCTCCTCCTCCTCCTCCTCCTCCTCCTCCTCCTCCTCCTCCTCCCCCCCCTCCTCCTCCGCGTCCTCGTCATCGACCTGGTTTCCAGGGGCGGCCGGTGCCGACGAGGTACCTGGCCGACCATTTTGCGTAGGAGTCTGTTTTTTCTTCTTGTTGAACTTCCCTATCGGCGGTGGCGGAACGTCCGTGGTGAACACCCCTTCTGGGATCTGCGTCAGCTTGTCCAGATCGTAGAGTAACTGCAGGTTGTCTTCGTCGGTAGGTGTCGGACTGTGGTCGGTGGATGTCGGACTGCGGTCGGTGGTCGTCGGACCCTGGTCGGTGGATGGCCTAGCGTCGGACATGTCGACGTCGGCCATGTCGGTACACGTCTGCTGCTCTACCGTCGTCCGTGTGCGTTGGGGAGGTTGTTAAACCACTGCCGGTACTGAGTCACGGGTGCGGTGTACGCCCGAACAGTTGCGCGGCGGTCGTCCTCGAGATGTCCCTCAATAACGTCTATCTCGGCGTCGACCTCGAGATCGCGGGGGGTGGTAAACCAGAGACGGTACTGTGTGACGGGTGCGGCGAACGCGCGAAGCGTCAGGCGGTCTTCGTCTTCTTCGAATTCTCGCTCAAGCGCGTCTAACTCGGCTTCGAGTTCAAGCTGTTCCAGCTGCGCCTTGATGTCGGCGTCTACCGAGTCGGCGGGGGGTGGGATGGGTTGCGGCTGTTGGGCCCTCGGGCGACCTCTGGCCATGCGTCGCCGACTTGCTACGTCGACTCGCGACGTGGAACCTGTGCCGACTTGGACGAACAATCGGCTGTCGAGCAACCTACAGGCGCGATGACAGACTGGCAGCTGAAAATTCTAAGGGAACGAGAGAGCAGGAAGGAACGCAGGAACGGACAAGCGAATGAGCAGGCTCGCGGGGCAACGGACGGGTATGGTCCTGAGCGACTACGATGCTGCCGCGCGTCACGCACACCCCAATGCATCCGCCGCCGTGCATGTGTTCTCGTAAAGGCGGCGCACTGTCCGACGTGGCACGTGCCAGGCATGGCTAGCTGGGCGCCGCGCTGCACGGAAGGGGCGTAAGCCAGTGCCATTCCACGTCGGAATGGGCGTGCGTTACGTGGCTTGCGACCGCCATTGGCGCCCCAGTGCAGAAATTAAGGCAAGCAGACATGGATCTCCCGGAGGCCCGGGATGACTCAAGCACGGCGTGGCAACCATGCCGTGGGGGGCCTATGATCGGCGCCGACTTCCACTCGGCGCGCTTGGCAGAGAACGTGCCGTGTGGCCGGGTTTGTGTGCCTTGGGATGATCTGGTCGACACCGACTTCCCTGGCAACCCGCGATGCCACAAGACAGTGAAGATGTGGACGGTCCGATTTGCGCCGCGTGGGTTTGCACCGCTAGAGCGACGCGTGGCCACGACGCCCACGTCGTGGCAGCCTTGTAATCGGTGGGGCGGGTCTCGCACCTCCCTATTGGTCCGCGGCTCGACGTGGCGAATTTTGTCCGCTGAGATTTCCTTCTCAGGAATCTCCCAGCGCAAACGGGTGTCGTCGGATTGTCGACAATCCCGAGGGCTCCCGAGGCCCCTGGGACGCCATTTGGGCCCGTCTGGGAGCTCGGAGGTCGTCGGGAGGTCGTCAATCCCGAGGGGGGGCCTTGTCCCTTTTGAACCGCGAAATTGGGCGGCATTTTTCGTCCGCTGAGGTATATCATCCCGATCATTGCAGGTGTCAGAAGTACTGTACACCTCTCCACGAATCTCGACATGCGTTGATACTGTAGTCAGTACCCTCCTGCGATGTCGAATGCTGCTTCCGGGCAGGTGGTGGTTCGTATCACTGTACTTGCGAAATGAACGCAAAACATACTATTCTGTGTTGCACTAAAACAGTCCATAGCCGAGATCATTTTTTATTGGTGATCCTCCATTTGTGGGCACCTTACACAAGTGCCAAGCAGCGCAACAGAAAACCACATCAGGATGTCAACTGAGGTCAACAGATGCCAAACCCTTTTTCCAGACATTACCCGCGTCAGCAATGCACAGCACAACACAGGACAGGCGCTGGAGGGAAGGAGAGGAACGAGTCGGCTTGGATAATCAAACTCCATCCAACCCTATCTCCAGAGGCTGTCAATGCAGTGAAAATTGGGTTGGGTACTACTAGGCAACCCAGCGGTGTTACTAGCGACGAGATTAGGAAAGGACCTGATAGTTCTTTGCCACACCATACGTTTCGGCCCAGTTTGTAAGACAAATTTTCTATAGGGGTAGGCGACTTGGTCCGAACTCCAACTCCGCGTTAATCAAGAAGTTGAGACAACATCACAAACAACCCTCGTTTTGTTTCGGGGGCTAAAAAAAAAACCCCCAGACGGGCATGCATCCGGTCAGGGAGCCTCAACCCTAAACGCGGGGAGGCATGGTGTTTAGGGTTGAGGCTCCCTCGGATGGCATGCCATCCGATGGGGTTTTAGTTTTTTTCTGCCCGGGGCAGCATGTCGTCAAGTCGTCAGAGGGTCGTCAGGCTTGACGACCCGTTTCCGCTGAGATTTTCCGAGGGAGTTCGGGGGTTGAAATTTGTGTTTCAGGGGGGTTCAGTGAGACTGGAGCGAGATTGGTCAAAATTGGGCGGGGAAAACCAAAGCGCGTCAAATGTGGCTCCAATTTTGTCGAGCCGCTACATTGCCGACATCACCCCGCTTTTTCTGTACCAATTTTAGACACCAATTGGACCAATACTGCGCAACACTGTATAAGTCCCGAAATAGATGTGGATGGCCACGGGGAAGGGCGCGGCTCGGGCGCTCGACCTACCTCGACCCAAACCCCCAAAATGCCCGAGGCGAAATAAAAAACTACGACCCAGCTGGACCTGGTGCTTGGCCGTTTTATCTATTTCCAGATAGATAATTGGCGAAAGGTAACCAGTTCGCCAATTTTTTCGCCAGCGTGAACAGTTGACGGAGACGCAGGTTACCGTATCGTTAAGCGTTAACACAGGCGACTAACAGTTAGATCGCAAGCGCCTGACGACAGCCGCGCGATACACTGTAGTGTATTTGATTGTCGAAATTCTGTCAGTCTGTATAATTGTTTCAATGATTTTATTCTCAATGCAATGTGTATTACTGAATTATGTGAATGATGGGGTGGTTTTAAGGGGGGGTTTTTATTATTGAAATGGATAAAGAATGTCTTAAGGTATCTATTCAATGCTGTCTCAGTGTTTTTTTTGCAGGGATGGCCATACAAATGGCTGAAATGTGGAGCTCAAAATGGTCATATTTTGGGGGTTTCATGGACATATGCTTGGGTTTTCATGTTTTTTTTTTGGGAATCTGTCTCCCCTAGTACTGCTCTACTTGTTTTAACCTTTTTTAAAGTTTGCAACAGTCTGTACTTTTTGGTTCATGTTAGCCAACTCAAGTATGTCAGTAGTACATGCTAGGTCATTCTTTGGCAAACAGCAAGTCAACATTGCTTTTTGTATTTGTTATTTCATAACATTCAATGTATTGTTAGGCTTGGAATGCCCTGCCCATCACACATGCCACGTCAAACCAACGATAAGATGAGAGAAAATGGGGAAAACGTTTGATGATCTGCTTGGGTGTTCTCAACATCTATTTGCTGTGTTCTCTTATAATGATGTAGATGTTTACCTCCCCCAATACACTTTAACATAGTGTCCTAGTGCTTCCATCGTTTTGAACCTTTGGGTTTTGGTTAAAAAGATGATTTACACGTCTATTACAATTAGGGGGGGGTTGTGAAAGCTAACATCTATATTTGCTTGTGTTTTTCAATGCGTTGTTGAGTTGTAATTATGTGCCTTACACATGGATTGCCTCCTTGCATTGTCCTTTGTGGTGTGGGTTTTGGGGCACTTGTATGTGTTTTGTTAGGCCTGCTTGCAATCTGGCTTGATTAAAGTTTACACATTACTGTCCAAGGTGTAGATTGTAGTAGCGTATAAAAAGGGGTGGTGATTTTCGAGACTGGATCTGACATACGGGTGACTTCCCCGAGATGGAACTGCTTTTTCGGCGCATACGAGGTGCATTTTCGACGAGGCACATGCACCGAACTTAGTAGCCCAATTTCGAGTTGTATAATAGCGATTAGGCGATGGAATTTGGGCAATTTTCGAATTGACCATCCTTGCATGCACTCGAACTCGAAATCACTGACATCCACGTGGCGGCTCAAGGGATAACTCTCGAAATTTGCGTGGGGAGGATGGTTATTGGTCGAAATCTGTCGCTGACGCATTTTCAGAGTGCAGTACAACTTGAGATTGTGCCCATACGAGGGGCTTTTAGATCGGGGGTCAGTACTGGTTTCATGGCTAAGGGTCAGTACTGCTTTGAGGTCGCCACAACCATGTAGGGTCAAATGTTTGAACACGACCTCAAAGTTCGGGCTCAGGTCGGGCTCAGGTCATTTTTCCATTTTACATCTTCTCTTTCAGTTTTTGTCCAGCTTCTTCCTTAGATCCCAGCCTCCCTGTTTCCTCCACTTCGTCAATGGAGCCTTCGATGGAAGTAGAGGCTGCTGGCTTGCGTGTGCGCCTCTCTCGTTTAGAGTTCGAGAACATGCGACACAAGCGTCGGGAATGGACCGAGAATATGCTCAACTTTGTTATGGTGTAAGATGCCCTCGTAGTATTGATTCTCGGCTAGAGATGTCACGTTTCGAGATTTACAGGCTCTCTGACACGTGTAGAGTACAAGTAGCGATCGAGCGAAAAACGCTCTAGGCGCTCCAACGTCTTACCCATATTCCGAGATGTAGTTTCCTCTATTCTACTGCTCAACAGAGGCGATCGGTTCTCGAAAGGCGCTTAGATCTCTATTTCGAGAAATATTTCCGCGAATACGGATGTGTTGTGTTGCGCTGCTCTGATCTCTGAAAGCTCCGTGTGTTGTCTCTTGCAGGAAGATTTCGAAAGGAGAGGCTGACCGCGGAGCAGCTTTCGAAAATGGAAATCATCCCCATGAGTACAGTAAATGCGGCCAGGGCGAAACAACCTTTCGAACCCATGGGTCCTGGCAGACTCGATGGTGTGCTTGGCAAGCAACTCGTAGTCTTTCCGCTGTGGTCAAGGTAAGCTCGAATTTCATAGGTTACGGTGTCAATATTTATTGCTCTGAACATACAGCGGCTGTTCGAGGTTTTACGCGCTGGCTAACCTTTCACCCCACCGCCCCATGCAGCATGACTGCCGAACCTGGAGCGCGCTGTAGCCTTTTCATGCTTGTTCGGCCCGACAGTCTGGCCGACCACCCGAATCTTCCGGTTGCGACGCGTCTGCTGCATTTCGACCCCAAATCGAATTCTCCACCACACAAGCACAGCGACCTCGCCCTACAAGTTGTCAAGTAAGATTTAGCTACTGTCGCTCGTCACATGTGCTTGATGACGGTACGGCAGATCAGAGCCTAATTTTGTCGAAACCCCACATGTTGAGCAGATGGCTGGAGGTGCAGCTCTTGACGGAGTATTCTAGAGGAGAAGCAATCAATGGAGACTCGGAGGTGCAGGAAACATTCCGCGACATCAGGAGACGGATTACGAGCGGGTGGAGGCTCGACAGTGCGTCAGTAAGTTTACGGTGCAAACTCATCTTGTACATTGGAACTCTAAACATGACAAGAGCTAACCTGCTCCATTTCCCTTTCATGCAGAAGCTAACTCCAATGGTCTCCTCGAGGGAGGTCGGAAGCGGTTCTCATGTAGCGTACCAGTGGCGTAAAATGCTCGATCAGTTTGACTCGATTCTCTTACAGCATGATCGAGACGATAAATTTAGGGTTCTCGGAAAACCACCCTACCGGCGAGAGGATATATTCAAGGACATAGTGACCAGCTGCGAAAAGTATTTTAAGCGACTTGAAGCTGGTGTTGAGGAGAGTGCGGGAGAGTTGCACAACCTGGGGCACGTCGGGGACGCTGCTGAGGACACGGGTGCCCCGCCCTTTATTGATGCGGAAATAGTCGCGTTGGGGGCCATGGTTGCCGACGGCGCACGAATGGGTCTGGCCAACGAGCGTCAGAGCGTAACGGATGAGCGTCAGAGGATGGATAGAGAGGAGGAACCGTTTCAGAGGAGTGCGCGCGAGATCTTGCGTGGAATGAGGGAGGCGCAGCAGATGGAACCAGAGGATAAGGCCGAGCGTTGCGGATCGGATGCCCTACAACAGAGGGGGGAGGGGGAGAGGATGGAGGAGTTAGTAATGGGTATTGAGGCAGTGCAGCTCTCGGTCGAGAATGATGAACTAGAGCAGGGGCAGGGTACGGACATGAGGCAGGGGAGTCCGAATGTCGTAGGCGAATCGGAGGAGGTGCAGAGAGAGGAACGTGAGAATAGGGTGGTGTATCAGAGGCGGGAGGCAAGAACAAAGAAGAAGTATGATCAGGGGAGGGAAGCACGCGAGGGGGAAGAGGCGAATCAGAGGGTGGAACAGAAGCGGATGAGACTCGAGGACCAGGAGCGAGAGGTGAGTTCGATGGAGGGGGACAGGGAGAGGGAGGAAGAAAATGTGAGGGAGAAAGAGAGGAAGGTCGAGCGCGAAAAGGAGGACTTGCGGCAAAGGGAAGAAGACGAGAGGAAGAGCGAGGAGGCGAGGAAGATGGAGCGCGAAAAGGAGGAAAAGCGGCAGAAGGAGGAGGAAGAGCGGAAGAGGGAGGAGAAAAAGGCTGAGCGCGAACAGGAGAAAAGCGGCAGAGGGTGGAGGAAGAGCGGAAGAGGGAGGAGGAGAAAAAGGCTGAGCGCGAACGGGAGGAAACGCGGCAGAGGGAGGTGGAAGAGCGGAAGAGGGAGGAGGAGAAAAAGGCTGAGCGCGAACGGGAGGAAACGCGGCAGAGGGAGGTGGAAGAGCGGAAGAGGGAGGAGAAAAAGGCTGAGCGCGAACGGGAGGAAACGCGGCAGAGGGAGGTGGAAGAGCGGAAGAGGGAGGAGGAGAAAAAGGCTGAGCGCGAACGGGAGGAAACGCGGCAGAGGGAGGTGGAAGAGCGGAAGAGGGAGGAGGAGAAAAAGGCTGAGCGCGAACGGGAGGAAACGCGGCAGAGGGAGGTGGAAGAGCGGAAGAGGGAGGAGGAGAAAAAGGCTGAGCGCGAACGGGAGGAAACGCGGCAGAGGGAGGTGGAAGAGCGGAAGAGGGAGGAGAAAAAGGCTGAGCGCGAACGGGAGGAAACGCGGCAGAGGGAGGTGGAAGAGCGGAAGAGGGAGGAGGAGAAAAAGGCTGAGCGCGAACGGGAGGAAACGGGGCAGAGGGAGGTGGAAGAGCGGAAGAGGGAGGAGAAAAAGGCTGAGCGCGAACAGGAGGAAAAGCGGCAGAGGGAGGAGGAAGAGCGGAAGAGGGAGAAAAAGGCTGAGCGCGAACAGGAGGAAAAGCGGCAGAGGGAGGAGGAAGAGCGGAAGAGGGAGGAGGAGAAAAGGGTTGAGCGCGAACTGGAGGAAAAGCGGCAGAGGGAGGTGGAAGAGCGGAAGAGGGAGGAGGAGAAAAAGGCTGAGCGCGAACGGGAGGAAAAGCGGCAGAGGGAGGTGGAAGAGCGGAAGAGGGCGGAAGAGAAGGCTGAGCGCGAAAAGGAGGAGAAACGGCAGGAGGATGAGCGGAAGAGGGAGGAAGAGACTAAGCTGGAGCGTGAAAAGGAGGAGAAACGGCAGAGGGAGGATGAAGAACGGAAGAGGGAGGAGAAGGCAGAGCGCGAACAGGAGGAGAAGCGGAAGAGGGAGGAGGAAGAGCGGAACAGGGAGGAGAAGGCTGAGCGCGAAGAGGAGAAACGGCAGAGGGAGGATGAGCGGAAGAGGGAGGATGAGCGGAAGAGGGAGGAGAAGGCTGAGCGCGAACAGGAGGAGAAGCGGCAGAGGGAGGAGGAAGAGCGGAACAGGGAGAAGGCTGAGCGCGAAAAGGATGAGAAACAGCAGGAGGATGAGCGGAAGAGGGAGGATGAGCGGGAGAGGGAGGAAGCGACGAAGATGGAGCGCGAAAAGGAGATGAAGCGGCAGAGGGAGGATGAAGAACGGAAGAGGGAAAAGACGGCAGAGCGCGAACAGGAGGAGAAGCGGCAGAGGGAGGAGGAAGAGCGGAAGAGGGAGGAGAAGGCTGAGCGCGAAAAGGAGGAGAAACGGCAGAGGGAGGACGAGCGGAAGAGGGAGGATGAGCGGAAGAGGGAGGAAGCGACGAAGGTGGAGCGCGAAAACGAGGAGAAGCGGCAGAGGGAGGATGAAGAGCGGAAGAGGGAGGAGGCTGAGCGCGAACAGGAGAAGCGGCAGACGGAGGAGGAAGAGCGGAACAGGGAGGAGAAAAAGACAGAGCGCGAACAGGAGGAGAAGCGGCAGAGGGAGGTGGAAGAGCGGAAGAGGGAGGAGGAAAGAAAGGCTGAGCGCGAAAAGGAGAAGCGTCGAAGGGAGGAGGCGCAGATGAGGGAGGAGAAGCAGCAGGCTGAGCGCGAACAGGAGGACAAGAGGCAGAGAGAGGAAGAGCAGAACAGGGAGGAGGAGAAAAAGGCAGAGCGCGAACAGGAGGAAAAGCGGCGGAGAGAGGACACGTGAACGGGAGCGGAAGAGGCTGGAGGCGAAGGGTCGAGAAACGCGCGAAAAGGAGGCGAGGGTGGAGGATCGAGAGCGACAGAGGCTGGTGGTCGAGACCGAGGAGCGAGAAGCGCGCGAAAGGGAGGAACCGCGGCAGAGGCAGGAACGGGAACGGAAGAGAATCGAAAGCGAACGCAGAAGGAAAGAGCTTCAAAGGCTTGAGCGCGAGAGGCAACTGGCCAAACAGACGGAGGAAGCCGGTGAGCATCAGGGTGTGGAGCGTCAGAGGGGTCGACGTATAGAGAATGAGCGGCGTGGGATAGGGGGCACTACACAGAGGCACGAAAGGCAGAGAGAGGTTGTTGGGTTGAATGAACAAGGTGCTGGGGGGCAGCGGCGTGGGGATGGAACTCGTCACACGATCGATGGCCATAGGGGCGCGAGGGTCTTTCAAGCGCAGTTGGGGCCGGATGCAGGGGAAGGAGCTCGGCAAGTGGTGGTTGGCGACCACCCAACCGAGGGGCATCAGGGGACGACTGTTGGTCGGGCAGCGGATGTTGGTTTACCGGGATTGAGAACTGGCGGAACAAGACAGGTAATACAGCGGGAAGGTGGCCGGCGTGATGATCAAGCAGCTCGAAACAGGGTCGGCGAGGGAGACAGTAGGAGGGTCGAGCAGTCAAGGCAAGCTGGTAGGCGAGAGGGTGAAGCACGTGGAACGCGGCAGGGTGAGAGAATGGCGGAGGATCAGGTCTGGCGTGGGGTGGGATGGGGAATGGAGGGAATGCGACACAGGGAGAATCAGCAAAGACATGCGGGATGACGGGTGGACGAGGAAAGAGAGAGTGCGGCGAGTGCGCTCCCTATGCAGAGGCATCATCCACGAGCGGCGGAGAATCCTGCTGCGGTGCAGAGGAACTAGAGGATGGTGAATGGGTGGCTGTGGAGACGGAACTGGCGGGACTGGAGAATGCGGGGCCCCAGGTTTTCGAGGAGACGGAGCGAGGGTTTGAGGAGGCTGGCGACCGCATCGCAGCTGGCGGCAGGGTGCATACCACAGCAGAGCTAATGCGGCGTTTGACGTTGGTGGCAAGGTCCGTGGCCAGGACTTCGTCGGAGCAACGTGTTCGTTTCAGCGACTGCATGGCAGAGATTCGCGAGTTTGGGTTGCAGATGCAGGGTTGGGACATGCGCCACATGCAGGACTACGATGATATAACTCACGAGTACCACGAGCTCAAGGCTGAGGTGGTCCGGGAACGCAACGAGCTAAACCAATTGCGTACTGCTGTTTCGACCTCTGTCGCCGAGGCACGAGCGGTAGCAGCTGATGCGGGTCGCGCAGCTGCAGCAGCGGCTGTGGGAGCATTGCAGGAAAAGTTAGAGGGTTTTTTCGAGAACTTAGGGGTGAAGCTGAAGAGTGTGGTTGAGCAGGTGATAGAGCGATCGTCGCTGGAGGCCACGATCACATCCAGCTCCATGGAACACCTGCAAGCAGCTATTGACAACAGTGTATACACAGTGTGGAAGGATCTCAGAACTGCCGACGACCAGAACAATCTGACTTTCACCAAGATTCAGAAGGCGCTTTCTGGACTGTCAACAAAGCTCAAAGGGCTGACTGGACCCATCAAAGTCCGAAAACCACCCACCGCCGGAGCAGAGGCCACACCAAGGCCTTCGCGAACGCAGCCCGAAGCAGATTCCCCGGACATCCCAATCTCCGCAGCACAACGAGTGATGGAAAGGTTTGCCGCGACGTCCGAGGGTGAGGCGGGTGAGACGGGCGCTGGTGTGGCAGATATTGACTTGTCTGAACCAGTGAGGAGAAACTGGAGAGAGACGTACGCAGCAAAGAAAGTGCAGAAAGAGAAGGAGAAGGAGAGCGTGGAGAGGAGGACGGCTGAAGCGCGGAAGCGGCAAGCACTTCAGACGGCGCAAGCGGCGGCTGCAAAGAAGAGGCGGGCTGAGAGCGGGTTGGGAAATACGAGGGTGGAGGACCGGCCTGGGACTGTTAGCAGCGGGAGAGTGACGGAAAACCAACCGGCGGGTACAGCCGCCGAGGCAAGGATGGTGGAACGCGAAAAGGAGGATAAGCGGCGGAGAGAGGAGCAAAAAAGGGAGGAGGCGAGGAAGGTGGAACGCGAAAAGGAGGAGAAGCGGCAGAAGGAGGAGGAGGAGCGGAAGAGGGAGGAGGCGAGGAAGGCGGAACGCGAAAAGGAGGAGAATTGGCAGAAGGAGGAGGCGAGGAAGGCGGGACGGGAAAAGGAGAAGCGCCAGAAGGAGGAGCGGAAAAAGGAGGAGTCGAGGAAGGCGGAACGCGAAAAGGAGGAGAAGCGGCAGAAGGAGGAGGCGAGGACGGCGGAACGGGAAAAGGAGAAGCGGTAGAAGGAGGAGGAGCGGAAAAAGGAGGAGGCGAGGAAGGCGGAACGCGAAAAGGAGGAGAATCGGCAGGAGGAGGAGCGGAAAAAGGAGCAAGCGAGGAAGGCGGAACGCGAAAAGGAGGAGAAGCGGCAGAAGGAGGAGGAGGAGCGGAAGAGGGAGGAGGCGAGGAAGGCGGAACGCGAAAAGGAGGAGAAGCGGCAGAAGGAGGAGGAGGAGCGGAAGAGGGAGGAGGCGAGGAAGGCGGAACGCGAAAAGGAGGAGAAGCGGCAGAAGGAGGAGGAGGAGCGGAAGAGGGAGGAGGCGAGGAAGGCGGAACGCGAAAAGGAGGAGAAGCGGCAGAAGGAGGAGGAGGAGCGGAAGAGGGAGGAGGCGAGGAAGGCGGAACGCGAAAAGGAGGAGAAGCGGCAGAAGGAGGAGGAGGAGCGGAAGAGGGAGGAGGCGAGGAAGGCGGAACGCGAAAAGGAGGAGAAGCGGCAGAAGGAGGAGGAGGAGCGGAAGAGGGAGGAGGCGAGGAAGGCGGAACGCGAAAAGGAGGAGAAGCGGCAGAAGGAGGAGGAGGAGCGGAAGAGGGAGGAGGCGAGGAAGGCGGAACGCGAAAAGGAGGAGAAGCGGCAGAAGGAGGAGGAGGAGCGGAAGAGGGAGGAGGCGAGGAAGGCGGAACGCGAAAAGGAGGAGAAGCGGCAGAAGGAGGAACGGAAGAGAGAGGAGGCGAGGAAGGCGGAACGCGAAAAGGAGGAGAAGCGTCAGGAAGAAGAGGAAGAGCGGAAGAGGGAGGAGGCGAGGAAGGCGGAACGCGAAAAGGAGGAGAAGCGGCAGAAGGAGGAGGCGAGGGCGATGGAAAGGAGGCGGGCACAAAGGGAGGCGGAGTTAGAAGCTAAGCGTCAGCAGATTGCAAAGTTCGCTGAAACAAAGCGGTTGGAGGCAGCAAAGCGAAAAAGAGACCTCGAAATAGAGCGTCGGAAAGCCATGGAGGAGATCGAGCGTATTGCACGGTTGGAGGAAGCCGCAAAGGAGGAAGAGGAGAGGCAACAAAAGGAGTTAGAGGCAGAAACAGAGAAAATGGAAAACGAGAGGCGACGGATTGCGGGTGAGGATGAGGAAGGGGCAGCGGAGCAACGGCACGGAGGAGAGGCGGAAGGAGAAGGGTGGGCCGGGATTCTTCAAGTGGTTCCCGATGACCCACTGCAAGTAGTGGACCTCGTGGAGGAGCGGCAGGGTTCAGTACAACTGACAGGCCATGGAGTTTTAGAGACTCAACCGCCATCGAAAAGGCCACGCATTGACCAGGCGGGAACGAACTTCGACGCGGATGAGGGGTCTTTGGGGACAGCTGCGTCAGATGAATGTGTCGGTGAAAATGTGTCGGGAAATCAGAACGTTCAACCAACGCTGGGGGAGGCGACGGGAGAGGTGGCACCGCGAAGAACGGATGCGCTACCAGATGAGCTAGGGAAGCGGTGGGGAGAAACAAGGCATTTCAGATCGAGTGGTCTTACCACACGCGAAAAGAAGAACAAGAAGGGGGAAGTGGTGTCCGTGCGCTTCAACTCGGAGCAAACCGTCGGAGGTGTGAAGAGGAACATGGGGAGCTACAAGGAGAGGAAGCTGCGCGATTTCACAGTGGCCGTCTGTTGGATGACCTACTTCCCCGACACCGACATGCCACATTACGGCTTGGATCCTGCCGAGCTTGGCTTGTGGGCGGTCCACCTCGATTTCGCTCGTGACCTCCCGACGGGTGTCTGGAGTGTCATGAACGAATTGAACCTCGACAAGTTCGAGAAGTGAGTATTCGATTCGACTTAGAAAGTTTTAGTACATTTTCCCGTTTTCCCACACTAACCGTGTACCCACCTCTCCTGTGCAGCTTCGAAAACGTCATGAACAAGACGCATTCACGGATGAAGGACGGCGCGCATTTCCAGGTGGCCGTTTGCACAGGGATTGGACAGGCCCTGGTACACGGAGGGAGTGGGCTGGTGTCGCCCCCCGCGAATGTCACTCCCGCGGTCTATGCAGCGGGAGTAGCTGCAACCCTCTACACCTTGTGGTGTGCCTCGATCGGCATTCCCCACCAGGACTGGGCGGAGGGTGCGGATGAGGCGGCTCGTGGCACGCTCAACGAGGCAAGCCTTGCTAGTCGAGCAACCTCTACTGCTCGGCTTGGAGTGTGGACTTAAAAAGCCGTGAAGAACCTAACGCACGAGAAGGCGGATTGGGAAGTGGTGCTCACCAAGGCCATTCTCGGCCTTGTGGATCCCGAGCCCGGGGAGGCAGAGGCTATCGAAATGGCCAAGGTTGTTTCGAGGGTGCTGGTGTACTGGTGCGAGTGCTGTCACGCAAACCACAATCTTTACGCGTATCAGGGTGGGATGCTCCATTTTCCCCAGCCCACAAAAGGGGGACGGCGGAAGGGGAATGCGGGAGGCAACGAGTGATGCAGTAGGGGGAGGGTAGTTTCGAGTTTGCTGCAGCTCTGTACTATAGTCTGTCGCATGTTGTAGTTTTCGAGTCTTCCATTTCCAGCTTGTAAATACATTTCGGTTACTTCGGACTTAGAGCTCTGTACTGTTTTGGCCCCTTGATAGAGCCCTATACAATATTGTCTCTGATACTTTGTTTCCGATACATAGTTTGTCAACGTCTCAAATTGTTCTCAAATCCAATTGTTTCGCTCGAACACAATCCTCCGCAGACCATGGGGAATAATATTCCGACATGCCAGTACTCTAAACACTGTCTAGGTTTCCGAAGTGGCTTACAAGGTGCTGGTGTACTGGTGCGGGTGCTCTCTGCCGGCGCAGTCTACGCATATCAGAAATGCTGCATCTTGGCCAGCCTTAATGCGGTGGACGGAGACGGCGAATGTGGGTATAAAATTCCGAGGGTGCCAGCTTTATCTGTTGCATGCATTGCTCGAAAGCTTGGCGTGAAAATGGACTTCAATTCTCGAGGGTTAGAGGTCTGTACCACGGTGTTTTCTTGATTGCTTGTGTGATTGTTTTCCAGTAACTAACCTACTCAGGATTTCGCTCGTGAATATTAGGCGTGACGCGAGTGCAACCCTAAGTCTTCTCTTGCTTCGGATATATGTGGCATGCTTTGATGATCGACACATTCCCCTGTTTTCGAGATATTCCCATTCTTAACATAGACGTTCCAATAACTTTAGTGTTACTCTAAAGGAGGATTTAGAATCTAGAACAGAAGAAAGGAAAGGTGGAGGGAAGTGCTCTCTGGCGGCGCAGTGATTACTTTCTCGCTTGGCATCATAGTCTGTAGCTAACCCTGATTTTCGAGAGATTCCCAGGTTACACTGACTAGTGTGCCAGGTAACAATATACTCCAAAGTGAGTAAGCACTTTCGAGATTTGTTCGCGTATTTTGTCTGAGCCGTCGTAGCACTGTTATCGACAAACCAGTTTCGAACACGATCCGATTGGTATGATTGGATCTTCGCAATGGCATCTCGGGTGGCCTCCTCCGATTCATTAGCCCTACACTTCTCGACTGTGAGCATCACGTTCCTCATCCGCTTCATTTTTTTGTCGCCAGTATCGTCCTTCACACCCTTCTCAATGTACGAGAAAGTGGGGTAGAAACTTTTTTTGGACGACAGCTGGCGGAGAGTCTTTCCGTCCATCAAAAATGTCACCTTCACCCAGTGTTCCCATGCCTCTGCGACCGTCTCCGAGTCCCGCCAGGGTTTAACGACAAGGTCGAAAAATGCCCGCACTGGAGTGGTGACTTGTGCCTTCTGGGGCTTCGGAGCCTCCCCGCCAGCTTCCTCCATTGTCGACGAGCCCGTCCCTCGATCAGCAGCCTGTGCGTTCGCGCTGCTCCCTGCACGCGCCTTCAGAGCAGCCAGCTCCGCTTTGAGCTGCTCGTTTTCAGCGGCCGTCTTCTTCTCCCTCTCTTCGGTTTCAGCGAGCCTGTTCTTTAGCTCGCCGATCTCGTGATCCTTCTGACCACATTCCGTCCGGTACAGGTTGTTCTCCACCAGGAGCTGCTGGTACTTTCGGGATGAGTTCAGCTTGTAGATCGCATCCTGCGGGAAAACGGACGAGGGTTTTCAGGCAATGTCAGGTCTGTCGAAATGGAAAGGCCGATCAGAGAACTGTTGTACTTACAGCGGCTGCAGAGCTGCCTCTGGCTTCACGAAGTTCAATGCCAGCCTTGTGCATGATTGCCACTTTGATGGCCCATTTCTGGAAGAAACCGAGGGTGGCGGCAGAGCGGATTCATGTCCGTGTACGGGTGGCGCTGGCACTCGCATGGCCGTCTTGTACCGTTGAACAGATGGTCGTGATCGGGACAGTAGAACCACCACATGGCAAGGTCCTGTGCCACGATGTCTCGCCCAGGGTTTGCAAGAGCTTCCAAAAAACTTCTGCCAGAGTGGTGCGGCTTATCCGGATTGTCGTGGTTGTACTTATCGACCTGAGATGATAGAACAGAGAAGACATTCAGCTTTGCCAAGTGCAACATTAGACACTGCAAAAGGGTGGGTAATGAAGGGATACCTTTGCCAAATCAGATTCGAGGCGCGGGAAGATGAACAGCTTGAAGAGGTCTTGCAACTGTTGCCACTCGGCTGGATTGTCAAGTTTAGCGTGCGCTCTGCCAATGTAGTAATCTCCCGGCTCCCCACTGAATCCGGCCATCATCAAGACCGGCCAAAACGGAACTCCCACGACGTAGGATTTTCGCATCTCGCCCTGCTCCCAGCCGCCGAGAGCGTTGATGTCGGGGTCGGGACAGCGATCGTCACTCAGGCCTTGGGCTCCCGATCGGCGAAACGCATGGGTCTTTTTGCTAATCCGCCAGGGCGGTCGAGCTACTTCGTGCATGATCCCAACTGGATTAGTTGTTGTGGGTCACGTACGGAAGCTCTTCCTGCAGTTGTTCCCTTCCGTGCCTCAATGGGAAAAAAATGTGCTTCTTTGACCACTGGAGGGGGTCGCTGAAGTCCAGTGGCGGAATGATGTCCGCTCCGAATCGCAGTGGCACGAGGTCGTAGACGAAATGAATCCACAGAAAAAGACCACCAACACCGAAAGCGCGAAGTTGATGTGCCGGGCCAAGAATTGGTGGGTCAGCCTGTTGGTCGCATTCGTCTTGGACTTTCGAGAGGCGAAAACCACCACAGGGAGATCCTTCTGGCGGTCGGGGACGGCCGTGCTGCTACGCGTGTGGCGGACAAACATGTTGGCGAATCGAAGAGCACGAATGCTGCATCCCCTTCCCAACATTTGGTGTGCGAGCTGAATCATCACCTGCACCGCAAAACACCGCCAGAGACTTTCTGATAATGCAATCCTGGTTCTCTGGTAGCACAATTTGATTTGCCTCAAAAAGTGCTTTTCGTGCAGGTCCGCGTACTGCTCCGACGTGTAGCAATCGTCCAGAGAGTTTCGGTGCTGATCCTTGCCCTCCCTGCATGGACCCACATGGAACGTGCTTAGGCATCAAATTTTCGAGAATCCGTTTGGCCATGAAGTGTGTAAATACTCACTCAAACTGCTTGTCGTGCAGCTGTTTCAGCTTGAGCTTCATGTACTCCCGCGCTTCGCCGATGTACTCATTTGCTTGGGCCTTCGGGTAGTCGTAGAGTCGAGCTTCAAGTCTGCCCAGGAAGCCCAAAGCGCTCATCTTTGCCTTCATCATGCTCGGCGTACTAGGGATGGGCTCCTTTCCAGCCACCACTTCTTCGCCCCTACGCATCATCTCGGCCTGCGCGGGGGTTTCCTCTGCCATGTACCGCAGGAACCTCTGAATCCTCCATCCAGTAACACGGGGCCCGTGGAGATAAACTTCATCCAAATCCACAGTTGACCACTCCGCCTTTTTGTCGTCCCCCAGATGGATTCCAACCTCATCACGCGCCAGCGGGTTCAGACGCTCCTCCGCCGGGACCTCAGTCTTGGGCAACGTTGACATGAACATGATGACCCACCACTTGTAGTGCAGCCAATACAGGATGTAGTCTTTTCTGGTTTTCGCCGCGAGATAATCAAAAGGGATTTTTGCGCGGCGAATCCTGCTGGCCACGTCGGCCTGTTTTCGAACTGACTCATGCGTTGCTGATGCTGGCCAATCTGCATTTCTCTGAGGCGCGGCCTGCGATGCTTGCCCCTCCGCATTTCCCTGTGGCGCAGCCTCTGGTTCTTGTCCCTCAGCATTTCTCGCGGGCGCAGCCGACGATCCGACACCATGTGCACTTCCATGTGGCGATGCCTGTGATTCTGGGCCGTTCACATTGCCACGGGGCGGTTCCCCAAAAAGACTTCGCCGGGTGGCATTATCTTCAGAGGTTGGGCTTCGGCTAGCATTTTCCTCCCAATTCTCCTCAAACAACGCTCGGTGGGGGTCGTCGTCATCTTCCGCGAGATCAATGAACACCCCCCTCGGAATTCCGCCCCTCTGAATTCCGCCCTCAGCCACATTTCCCTCGACCCCGACTTCAGGGTTCGAGGCCGGAAATTCCTCCTGAGCATCCAGGAACACATCGCCCCCAACAGCTGCCTCGAATTCCGTGTCCGCATCGCGGTCCCCGGTTAGATCAATCGGGGCATTGGGCAGTTGGCAGTCTGGAAGATCATGATACTCCTCATTGAGGTCGAAAGCTGCGCTAAGAAAATTACCCGTACCGCCTTCGCCCGCCATCACGGTGTACCTGTTTCAGAGGGCTGTATGCTTCACAGGTGCGCGAAACCTGTCCTGAAACGCTTATTTTCGACATGCGAAATCTAAAACGCCTCGTCGGGAATTGGATGGACTGCCAGCAAGCCCAAGAGAATGTTGTGTTGAAAAGAGAATCGTGATCGGAGTTGTTACAGGGAAAATAAACTATGAATGTAACCCTTCTGAGTGGAGAACAATGATGATATGAAACGGATGTTCCATTCAGAGTTCTTTAGCATCTCTAAAATGTTCTCATTTTCCAGAGTACAAAAAATCCTACGCGGACTCGACCCTCGGCGTGTGTGCAACTCTGAACGGAGCAATGTATCATGCCATGTTGGATTGAAGGTATGGAAGCAAGCAGGCTGATGTTTTCCCCTAAGATGTGTTAAATTTTGACGAAGGAATCAAGAAATGACACACAACAGAGAGCTATTTAAGCATTCTGGGACTCAGCCACATGAACATGAGCACCACAACCTCTGACTGCATCCCT